CATTCATTTATCATTTTTATTACTAAAAAAAACCCTAAATCTCCATCTAATATCTCATTTCTAATAAAATCCTCTCCAAACTTCCACTTAATCTCTTAAATTTAATAAAAACTTTAATCTACTATCTTCAATAAAATCATCCAAAACATTCATTTATCATTTTTATTAATAAAAAAACCCTAAATCTCTATCTAATATCTCATTTCCAATAAATATCTCTCTAAACTTCCTTCTAATCTCTTAAATTTAATAAAAACCCCCTCCTAATCTATCATCTTCAATAAATTCTTCCAAAATCTCATCTCTAATAAAAACTTCTTTAAACTTTCTTATCATCTTTAACAATTCTCCACTAACTCTCGGGCTTTTTTCTCCATTTTTCCTATAATTAAACGGCAATTCTCAATTTTTATTTCATTATTCTAGATTAAAAATCTACACCTCATTCTTCTACATCTTCTTCTATATTATATATAAACAATGGATATATGCACTTTTTCATTCTAATCTCTTTTTTCATTCTTTTTACAACATTCCCATAACAATCACTCCCAACAACATGATTTTTATCATTTCCGGAACTCTTATTTTCATTCCTTCATTCGGTTTCACTTCTTCCTCTTTCTCTTCCTCTTTTTGTGTTTCTGTTTCTTTACTTGAATCACTCGTACATCTCGTAGGTTTGCATTTTCGCATTGACGTCAATGTCACCGTTGATGTCACTGTAGATGTACTTGTCAACGTACTCGTATGCAACGATGTACTCGTCACCCATGTATCTGTCGTTTGAACTAATGTACATTCTTCCGTTACCTTCCCTCCATCTACCGATTCTGTCGTCGTTGCCGTCGTTGTCGTTGTCGTCGTCGTCGTTGTTGTTGTTGTCGTCGTCGTCGTTGTCGTTGCTGTCGTCGTCGTTGTCTGTGTCGCCGTTGATGTCACCGTATGATGCGGTGTAACTTTTAATCCTTCTATTCCTTCACACAACTCGTCTATTTCTTTACAGACCGTTTCACACTTCGGGCAATCCTTTCTAAACTCGCAGTCTCCTTTCAAACCTTTACATTTCTCTTTCAATTCTAAATACAATTCCAATGCTCTCGCCGTTGCAACAAATGCCTTCTTTTCTGGTTCTGATACTTCTCCACTTACAAATGTTCTCCGAACAAGTATAACATTACTCGTGTTTGTCGTTCCACTTGGTGTTGATCCTCCTGGTGCTGGTGGCCCTGCTGGTGCTCCTGGTGTTCCTCCTGATGGCCCTGCTGGCCCTGCTGGTGGTGTTGATGGTGTTGATGGTGTTCCTGGTGCTGCTGGCCCTGCTGGTGCTGCTGGTGTTCCTGGTGTTGATGGTGCTCCTGGTGCTGCTGGTGCTGCTGGTGGTACTGGTAGTGGTGCCCCTCCTGATGTTGGTTGTGCTGGCGGTGCTAGTGTTGGTGCTGGTACGCCTCCTGGTGTTGGTTGTGCTGGTGCTGGTGGCTGTACCGGTGGTCCCACTGGTTTAGGAACACTGCCATCTTGAGCCTTTGATCCTCCACCTTGTCCATCTTGTTCAGGTCTTGATAATACTAACTTAGCTTCCTTCGTAAATTTTTCTGATTCCTGTTTCGCCTTTTCGTATTCATCTTTCTTCTTCTTTAATTCATTTTTCTCTTCATTCAGTTTATTTTCTAAGGTTGGACATTTTCTTTTTACTTTTTCAACCAACTTTTTGCAAACTTTTTCCTCAACATCCTTATCTTTATCAGTATTACACAAACTATTGAATTTCTGATTTGCTGAATTTTTCTGCTCACTACAATGCTTTCTCAATGCTTTTTTACATTCATCATCTTTGTCTAAACTACCTTTCAATTCATGCGTCAATTCATTCTCCAATTTTAACTTTTCAAAGAATGGCTTGCATTTCTCTTCCAGTTCTAAACAGACTCCATTCTTATTGGAATTGCTTGCTTTTTTCAACCTATCTGGACAATTTTCTATATATTGATGACAATATGGATCAAACAACGTGCAGAGTTCTTCAACCAATGTTTCATTTCCTTTTTCAATTTTATTTATAATTTTTCCATTTTCCATGTTATTTTTTAAAAAAAGACACTCATTTTCTGTTTGTTCTACCATAAAACTACATGTTTCTTCTCGTAAAGCACATGAAACACTAAACTCATCCTTTCCTCTTTTAGATAATTCCTCACATTCTTTCTTTAATACTGCCGTACAATTTCCTTGAGTTCTTAATGCATCATCTCCTCTTTTTAATAATCTTTTTCTCAATTCTTCTGTAACTTTTAAATATTCACATCGTCTATTCAGTGTATCACATTTCTCATGATTCAAATATGAATCACTTTCAAGATCTTCGCACTTCTTCTTCAATTCTACACAATCTTCCTTTCTTGGAAAATCTCTTCTCAAATTTAAAACTACTTCTAATTCTTCCGATTGAAGAATTACATCATCTAAAAGTTCATAACATAGTTCAGTCGGTCGATGACACTTTGCAAAGTATCTTCTATCCTTCTTAAGTTTTGTATAATTACCTACTACCGATTTTTGACATTCTTTAAGATTCTCATCAGCCAATCCTAAATTACCAATAAGCCCTTTCAATCCTTCTTGAAAGTATCTATTCAACATCCTATCTTGTCCCTTTTTATAGCATGCTACTCTTACATTTTCACATGCTTTTTCAATTTTATTCGTACATACACTTTCTAAATGGAAACATTCTGATTCAAACTTTCTACAATCTTCCCTACTAACCAATTTTGATACCTGTTCCCATGAAAAATATTCTGATTCTTTATCTTTTTCAAATTCCGTAGACAATCCTTTCAGATAAAGTTCTAATTTTAAATTCGTACATTTATCTTCTACTTCTACTAATTCTTTGCATTTATTCTCTTTATCTTTATCTTTATCTTCACATAATTCTTCTAATTCATAATCTAGGTGTTTAAAAAATTCACAACCTTCTAACGCTTCTTTGCATTTTTCTTTATTATCTTTTTCAGTCCTTCCTTTGATCAACAATAATATTAGATCTTGCAACGTCTTATATTTTGGTTTTCCAACAATAATTCCCTTAGCTTCTTCTTTTTTATAAAGATTTTCCACTTCAATCTTTTCCGGAAATCTTGGTTTTTCTCCAACAGGACTAAAATCTAATTTTGGTCCTTCATATACAATCCCTTTTCCCTTACATTTTTCCTTAGACTCTTTACATTTTGAATTACTACAACTTGATCCATAGAAATAACACTTTTCAAGATATTCTTGACATTTTTCCACTAATTCTTTATCTTCAAGTTCCTTCTCTAAAGGCTTACAATTATCTCCATGATTCTTTCCAAGGTATTCACACGTTTTATTTGAATTAAAACATGAAAACACTAATTCATCACTATATTCACTTAATCCTTGACAAATTTCTTTCATTTTTTTTTTACATTCATTTGTATCATTAACCTTCCCTTTAAGAGCTCTTAAAAGAATTTCTTTTGTCACTTCTCGACGTCTCTGTCCATAACATCTATCTCTCAACTTAACGCATTTCTCTTCAAGATTAGTTGGATCTGCTTCTTCTAATAATACACATTTTTCTTCACATTTTTTACACTTTTCATCTGTTAGGTTTTTCAATGCTTCTTCAACTTCTGTTTTGAAATCATCCAATTCTTTTTTAACTTTATTTTTCAGGTTTTTGCATTTTTCTTCTTGTTTTCCATTTTCACAAAGTCCCTTAACTTTGACATCCACATTCTTTAATTCTCCATCTATTTTCTTCAATTCAGCACAATATTCTTCGAGCTTTTTCTTGCATTTAGCATCATCATTATATTCCTTCTTCACAATTAAACCCAAAACCTGTTCCTCCTTAATCTCATCATTTCCTGCTGCTTGTCCTGCTGCTTGCCTCTTAACCGGCTGTGCCATCGCCGCCTCTTTCTGGGCGACTTCCTCTACCCATCGCTTGTCCCTGAGTAGCATATGACTGGGTGAATCAAATCTAAATCTTGAAATAATTCTTTCAAAATAACCATACATTTTAATTTTTTTATGATAAGCATAGATTTCCTTAATCTTTTATGATAAGCTTGGACTTTACCCTATAAAGCAAAATTGCGGGGTAAAAAATTGTGGGGGTAAAATTGCGGGGTAAAATAATCAAAATTTTAATTCTTAATTCTTCATTCTTTATTAAAAATTTATAGATCATTCTTCTATATCTTCTATATTATATATAAAAAGTGTATATATGCACTTTTTCATTCTAATCTCTTTTTTCATTCTTTTTACAACATTCCCATAACAATCACTCCCAACAACATGATTTTTATCATTTCCGGAACTATTATTTTCATTCCTTCATTCGGTTTCACTTCTTCCTCTTCCTCCTCTTTTTGTGTTTCTGTTTCTTTATTTGAATCAGTTGTACATCTCATAGGTTTGCATTTTTGCGTCGACGTCAATGTCACTGTAGATGTTAGTGTAAATGTACTTGTCAACATACCTGTTGTTTGAGAAAATGTACATTGTTCTATTACATTTCCTCCATTTATCAACTTCGTCGTCGTTAATGTCACCGTATGTTGCGGTGTAACTTTTAATGCTTGTATTCCTTCACACAACTTGTCTATTTCTTTACAGATAGGTTCACCCTCCGGGCAATCCTTTCTAAAACCGCAGTCTACTTTCAAAGCTTTGCATTTCTCTTTCAATTCTAGATACAATTCCAATGCTCTTGCCATTCTATCAAATGCCTTTTTTTCTGCTTCTGATACCCCTCCATTTACAAATGTTTTCCGAACAAGTCTAACATTAGCTTGCTCAGGTCTTAATGGTAACTTAGCTTCCTTCGCAAATTTTTCTGCTTCCTGTTTCGCCTTTTCGTATTCATCTTTCTTCTTCTTTAATTCATCTTTCTCTTTATTCAGTTCATTTTTTAAGGTTGGACATTTTCCTTTTACTTTTTCAACCAACTTCTTGCAAAGTTCTTCTTTCTTAGTATTTTTACATAGAGTATTCAGTGTTTGATTCCTTGCTTTTTCCACCTTAGTACAGTAGTTTCCCAATGCTTTTCTACATTCATCATCTTTACCTAAATTACCTTTCAATTCATGCGTCAACTCATCCTCCAATTTTAACTTTTCCAAGAATGGCTTGCATTTCTCTTTCACTTGCAAACAGACTCCTTTTTCATTCCCAGTGTCTCCTTTTTTCAACCTATTTGGACAATTTTCCATATATTGATGACAATATTGATCAAATAACGTGCAGATCTTTTCAACCAATCTTTCATTTGATTTTTCTTTTTCAATTTTACTTAGAATTTTTTCATTGTCCATGTTATTTTTTAAAAAAAGACACTCATTTCCTGTTTGTTTTACCATAAAACTACATGTTTCTTCTCGTAAAGCACATGAAACACTAAAATCTTCTTTTCCTCTTCTAGATAATTCCTCACATTCTTTCTTTAATACTGCCGTACAATTTCCTTGAGTTCTCAATGCATCATCTCCTCTTTTTAATAATCTTTTTCTCAATTCTTCTGTAACTTTTAAATATTCACATCGTCTATTCAGTGTATCACATTTCTTATGATTCAAATATGAATAACTTTTAAGATCATCGCACTTTTTCTTCAATTCAACACAATCTTCCTTGCTTGGAAAATCTCTTCTCGAATTTAAAACTACTTCTAATTCTTCCGATTGAGCACTAATATCATCTAAAAGTTCAAGGCATAGTTCATTTGGTTGATGACACTTTGCAAAGTATCTTTTATCCTCCTTAAGTTTTCTATAATTACCTACTACCGATTTTTGACATTTTTCAAGATTGCTAGTAATAAATCCAAAATTACCAATAAGCCCTTTCAATCCTTCTTGAAAGTATCTATTCAACATCCTATCTTGTCCCTTTTTATAGCATGCTACTCTTACATTTTCACATGCTTTTCCAATTCCATTCGTACATACCCCTTCTAAATGGAAACATTCTGATTCAAACTTTCCACAATCTTTCCTACTAACCAATTTTGATACCTGTCCCCATGAAAAATAATCTGATTCTTTATTTTTTTCAAATTCCGTAGACAATCCTTTCAGGTAAAGTTCTAATTTAAAATTCATACATCTCACATCTACATTTACTAATTCTTTGCATTTATTGTTTTTATTTTTATCTCCACATAATTCTTCTAATTCATAATCTAGGTGTTTAAAAGATTCACAACCTTTTAACGCTCCTTTGCATTTTTCTTTTGGAGTATTTTCATTCCTTCCTTTGATCAACAATAATATTAGATCTTGCAACGTCTTATCTTTTGATTCTCCATCAATAATTCCCTTAGCTTCCAGTCTTTTATAAAGATTTTCTATTTCAATCTTTTGCAGAAATCCTGGTTTTTCTTCAACCGGACTAAAATCTAATTTTGGTCCTTCATATTCAATTCCTTTTCCCTTACATTTATTCTTGACTTTATCACATTTTGTATCCTTACAACTTGATCCATAAAAATAACACTTTTCAAGATATTCTTGACATTTTTCCACTAATTCATTATCTTCAAGTTCCCTCCCTAAAGGTTTGCAAATATCTCCATAACTCTTTTTAAGCTGTTCACATCTCTCATCTGAATTAAGACATAAAAACATTAATTTATCATTATATCCACTTAATCTTTGACAAATTCCTTTCATTTTTCTTTTACATTCATTTGTATCATCAACCTTCCCTTCAAGAGCCCTAAAAAAAATTTCTTTTGTCACTTCTTGATGCCTCCGTCCATAACATCTATCTCTCAACCTAACGCACTTCTCTATAAGATTACTTGGATCTGCTTCTTCTAATAATACACATTTTTCTTCACATTTTCTACACTTTCCATCTGTTAGGTTATTCAATGCTTCTTCAACTTCTGTTTTAAAACTATCTAATTCTTTTTTAACCCGTTCTTTCAGGCTTTTGCATTTTTCTCCTTGTTTTCCATCTTCACAAAGTCCCTTAACTTTGGCATCCACATTCTCTAATTTTCCATCTATTTTCTTCAATTCAGCACAATATTCTTCGAGCTTTTTCTTGCAATTAGCATCATCTTCATATTCCTTCTTCACAATTAAACCCAAAACCTGTTCCTCCTTAATCTCATCATTTCCTGCTGCTTGTCCTGCTGCTTGCCTCTTAACCAGCTGTGCCATCACCGCCCTTTTCTGGGAAATTTCCTCAACCCATTGGTTATCTTGAGGATAGCCTTCAGGAAAAAAATTTTCATAATCATCTTTTCTAAAATAATCAACTCCCGGATGAGTTTCAAAGTAATTCATATTAGAATCCTTATTAATTCTACGATTCCAAGTGCCTTTAGAACCTTTTATCTTTTCCAATAGTAATAATTTTTCATTTTCAAATAACTCTATCACTTGAAAGTCTGGAAAAAATAAGTAAATGCTCAAAAAAGAAAAATATGATGTTAGATGAATAAAGTATAGATCTAAATTAAAAAGCAACAAAGTGATAAAAAGATTTTACATAAACAGTTAAAATTATCTAAAATATCATTTTTATTTCACTTTGAATGCTTTTTCAGTTAAATCTTGTTTAAATACTCTTTTTTGAAAAAAAAATGAAAATGGGAAAATCAATCACAAGTACTTAAATTTTTTAAAAGGCTTACCTTGTTCATTTATGTACGATATTGCATTTTCTAGAGCGGCTACCAAAATGCAACTTAAATATATAAAAAACGTAAAAGATATACTCTTCATTGATTATAGATCATAAAGAAATAAAAAAATCAAAAAAAAATAATATCCTGTTGCCAGAATAAATATTAAGCAAAGGAGAAAATACTGGCCGTAAATCGTAAGCTTTTATCGGATTGCGATAAAAACAAAAAAAATAGGATTTCCATTTTAATAACTTTAACTTTATATTTAGTAGAAAAATATTCATATAAGTGTGTTTAGAAAGCAAAATTTATAGCATTTTTATTATTATAGAATATTAAAAAAATCCTAAATTTACAAAAATTTTCCTTCTCTTAGCTTTTTTTCCATTTGACGTTCTGTTTCATATAAAATACGGTCAACAATTCCTGCAATTGTCAGGACACCACTGATAATAATCACAGTACTTGTTAAAAATGTGCTAAAATTTCCTCGGGTTTCTTTTTCAATAATTTTTATAGGACTAATGTCATAGGAGAAAAATACGCCAGGTATTCCATCTTTGGGGCTTACATGAGTAGGATGATTAGGATCGCTATCACCTGATACTGATCGTTCATGAACAGTAACAGAGTATTTATTGGTATCCAGTGAGGGTTTTGATAAATATTCGAAACGATATGCAACACATTTAATAAAATATGAATATTTTAAAGTAGCTAATAATCATGAGTAACTTTAAACTAATTAATTGTCTTCTCTTAACGGTTATTTGTTTCTTTTTTTACATTATCCAAAGGATTTTGTAAACTTCTTCCTTCAATTTCAGGCCCAAAACTAAGCTTATTGATTGTATGGGAGAAATCATGAGGCAATGAATCAGTCATATAATCATAAATATCATGGATGTGATTCCTCATAATTTGCGATGAATGCCCAGGAGCAAAATGAAAATTACCAATAACTATTAATAATTATAATAAATCAATAATATTCATTTTAAATATACCTTTATTAACTTCTATTCTTCCAACAAAATTGCATCCTTCATCAGAATCATTCAAATTATTATAATTTTCTTTACACTAATTCCCTTTAATAATAAATATAATTTTAAGTTAAAAAAACTTGTTCAAAAGCCTTTGTATCTGGAATAGGCCAGTCATTTGAGGTATATGCATCTATTACATCTTGACATGTGTTGCAACAACCTTCCTTTGCTCCATAACAAGAACCGCAATAATCAGGAGGATATATTTTAGTTGGTTGTTGGAAATTAAGTGTATTGAGAGATGTTGAGTTAATAAAAACTCCATTACTGTCAAGCCTATTTTTAACTACATTGTGTGAAACATCTGTTTGAAGCTCTCCAGAGACGTCCATAACATCAAGAGAAAGTACTAGTGATCTTTAATATACAAAAATAAATTAGTAATATATACTAGAACAAGGAATTTTAGGAAATGTTAGATTTAAGTTAATTTGCAATTTTTCTCCTAAAAAAAAGGAAATACTATTAGAAAACGTATAAATATATCTATTTTTTAAAAAATTACCTCTACTACGATCTATTGTAAGTTCCGGTAATATAACAATTTGCCTATAATCATGCCATTCAAAAGATATTAAAACAAAAATTACAATAATTGATAATATCGTAATAAATCCTCCATTTATAGTCTTAATTTGTGCATCCTCTATTGTTTTTGAAAATGCATCAAAACGGCGAAATCCTGTACGTTGGCTCATGACTTGGCTTTTATTAAAACAAAAAAGGCTTTTTTTATCTAAGTTATTTAAAAATTTTATATTTCTATACTTTATAACGTTTTAAGATGTATAAATTTCATCGAGTAATTCATAACTTACTTCTTTAATGATTTTAAAATGTTAAAATCATAAATTATAAAATAAAATATATAGATATTATAAATTATTAAATATTATCTTAGATAAAATTTTCTTTTAGTAAAAATATTTTTAAATCCTTTTATAATTAAATTATTTAATACTTTTATGGGAGACTTAAATACAAAAAGCTTATATAAAGTGTTGAAAGGTAAATGTGATTTTATGAATAATTTCCCATATAAAATAGCATAAATTTTTATAGTAGAGATCTCAAAAAAATAATTTTAGTGATAAATATAATATTTATAAATATTGCAAATAAAAGTTTGATAAAAAGGACAATAAGTTTTATAAAAATTATTTAATTTAAATATACACTTAGTTATTTTTTAAAAACAATTTGGTTTGGCATAAATTTTTGGATTTTTTTAATATCCGAAATTTAAAATTTTGAAAAAAGTTTTTAAAAGAAAATTATGTCTGATCCTGAATTTGAAGAAATATGTCTCCTCCAATCAGGAAGAGATTGTAAAAAAAAAAATGATTCTTTTTCTTCAAAAGATTCTAGTTTTGATAAAATAAAAACAGAAGAATTGAAAATTAATTTTGATAAAGAATATGATGAAAATTTATATAGTAATGATAGAGACTCTATTGAATACAATACTACCATTCCTATTAATATCGATGATGAGGAGCAAAATTCTAAAAATGAAACACATAAACTTGTAGGCATGTTATAATTATTTCCATAATTATTTTTTTCTTAATAATAAATATAATTTATACAGGTCAATACACAGTTCCTGCCCATCTTTTAAATGAATTCTCTAATGAAGATTCTGAGTTAATTACTAAAGTTAGAAGCAAGCGGCAAATTGTGAGCAGAGAATCGGATTATCAAAAACGGCGTTTTGATCAGATACTTACACCTGCACGATATGACGCATTTTCTGAAGATAGAAAAGACAAGGATTCAGATAGTGGCCGTTCATTTGCTGATATAATGCGTGAAAGAGATCTTGAAAGAGAGGAAGAGAGAGTTCATCGTGCAATTGCTAAAAAAAAGGAAGTTCAAAGTAACGATGATAAGGAAGATAAAGAATCAAAGCCTAGAAAAAGACGCTGGGATACCTCTGAACCATCTTCTGATGATATGTCAAATAAATCGAACTGGAATGACGTCCAAGATACGCCTGTTATTAAAAAACGATCAAGATGGGATCAAACACCTGCTCCTGTAGCTTTAGGATCTGCAACTGATGCACCTACGCCAAAACAGTCACGATGGGATCAAACCCCTGTTATTGGTATTACACCTATTGGTTTGCAAGGTATTTTTTTTTTATTTTATACATAATTAATTTTTATATAGGCTTACAAACACCTTTGCCAAATATGATACCTCAAATGCCTATTTCATTTGGAACAGATGTTTCTCAGCGCTTTTATGATTTTTCAGATGAAGAACTTGATGAAATTTTACCTGTAAAAGGATTTAAGGTTCTTGATCCTCCTCCAGGATATGCTTCTATACGAACACCTGTTAGAAAACTTGTTGCTACACCTGTGTTTTCTAATGACTGCGGTTTTACAATGCAGGAAATAGATAACGCAGCTAATAAACAGCTTAATGCTGGACTACCTACTGATATTCCTGGTGTCGGTGATCTCGCATTTTTTAAGCAAGAAGATATGAAGTATTTTGGGAAACTCATGGATTCTACTGATGAGTCTGAGCTTTCTGTTGAAGAATTAAAAGAACGAAAAATTATGCGATTATTACTTAAAATTAAAAATGGAACTCCTTCAATGAGGAAATCCGCTTTGAGACAAATTACAGATAAAGCAAGAGAGTTCGGTGCAGGTTCTTTATTTAATCAAATTCTTCCCCTATTAATGGAACGTACTCTTGAAGATCAGGAAAGGCACCTTCTTGTAAAAGTTATTGATAGGATTTTATATAAACTTGATGATCTTGTACGTCCATATGTGCACAAAATTCTTGTTGTTATTGAGCCCTTATTAATTGATGAAGATTATTATGCACGTGTTGAGGGCCGTGAAATTATTTCAAATTTGTCGAAAGCTGCTGGTTTAGCTCATATGATTTCTACTATGCGTCCAGATATTGATCATGTTGATGAATATGTTCGGAATACTACAGCAAGAGCTTTTTCAGTAGTAGCATCTGCTCTTGGAATCCCTGCTTTGCTTCCTTTTTTGAAAGCTGTTTGTCGTAGTAAAAAGAGTTGGCAAGCGAGACATACTGGCGTCAAAATAGTTCAACAAATAGCTATTCTTATGGGTTGTGCAATTTTACCTCATTTAACTAGTTTAGTAGATGCTATTGGAGGAGGATTAGAGGATGAACAGCAAAAGGTTAGAATTATTACTGCCTTAGCTATTGCTGCTCTTGCAGAAGCTGCTGCCCCATATGGCTTTGAATCTTTTGATATTGTCTTGCGTCCGCTATGGAAGGGTGTTCAGAAACATCGGGGTAAAGGACTTGCCGCATTTTTAAAAGCAACTGGCTATATAATTCCATTAATGGATGCGGAATATGCAAATCATTATACTACACAAATTATGAAAATCTTGATACGAGAGTTTCAATCTCCAGATGAAGAAATGAAAAAAATTGTTTTGAAAGTTGTTAGTCAATCTGCTGCCACCGATGGCGTGGATTCTGCATATTTAAGAGTAGAAGTTATGCCTGAGTTTTTCAAAAACTTTTGGGTACGAAGAATGGCTCTTGATAGAAGAAATTATCGTCAAGTTGTCGAAACAACTGTAGAGCTTGCCCAAAAAGTTGGTGTTACAGAAATTATAGAAAAAATTGTTGATCATTTAAAGGATGAAAGTGAGCCGTATAGGAAAATGGCTGTCGAAACAATTGAAAAAATTATCGCTGGATTAGGCGCTGTTGACATTAATAAACGCCTTGAAGAACGTTTGATTGATGGTGTTTTATATGCTTTCCAAGAGCAATCTATGGAAGATATTGTTATGCTAAATGGTTTTGGAACAGTGGTTAATGCATTGGGCATGAGATGTAAACCATATCTTCCGCAAATTGTTTCTACAATTTTGTGGAGATTAAATAATAAATCTGCCAAAGTAAGACAGCAATCTGCAGATTTAATTTCTCGTATTGCTGTTGTTATGAAGACATGCGGAGAAGAACAACTCATGGGTAAACTTGGTGTGGTGCTTTATGAATATTTAGGAGAAGAATATCCTGAAGTTCTTGGATCTATTCTTGGTGCTTTGAAGTCAATTGTAAATGTTGTTGGAATGACTTCGATGACGCCACCAATTAAAGATTTATTGCCTAGATTGACACCTATTCTTCGTAATCGTCATGAAAAAGTTCAAGAAAATACTATCGATCTTGTTGGTCGTATTGCTGATCGTGGTTCAGAATTCGTATCAGCACGTGAGTGGATGAGAATATGTTTTGAACTTTTAGACATGCTTAAAGCACATAAAAAAGGTATCCGTCGAGCAGCTGTGAATACTTTTGGTTTTATTGCAAAGGCTATCGGTCCACAAGATGTATTAGCTACTTTACTTAATAATTTGAAAGTTCAAGAACGGCAAAATCGTGTTTGTACAACTGTGGCAATTGCTATCGTTGCAGAAACATGTGCACCTTTTACTGTTTTACCTGCAGTAATGAATGAATATAGAGTTCCAGGTAGCAACTTATATATTCTCATGTTTTGGAGTTAACAATATAATAGAACTTAATGTTCAGAATGGTGTTTTGAAATCTCTTTCATTCTTATTCGAATATATAGGTGAAATGGGGAAAGATTATATATATGCAGTCGTACCATTGTTATGCGATGCATTAACAGATAGAGATCAGGTTCATCGACAAACAGCAGCTACTACTGTTTCTCATTTGTCTCTTGGTGTTGTTGGTCTTGGTTGTGAAGATGCAATGATTCATTTATTGAATACCGTATGGCCAAATATTTTTGAACAATCTCCTCATCTTATTAATGCTGGTATTTTTTTTAATATTTTTATGAAATATTTTAATGCATGTAGTTATTAACGCTATCGACGGTATTCGAACTGCTATTGGGCCTGGTATATTAATGATGTATATTTTGCAAGGTTTATTTCATCCAAGTAGAAAAGTTCGTGATGTTTATTGGCGTCTTTATAATAATATGTATGTTCAGCAAGCAGATTCGATGGTTCCATATTATCCAAATATTGAAGATGATGAATGTAGTCATTTTTTTCGTCACGAAATACAAGTTTGGGTATAAAAAAAGTATTTTTCTGTCAGCATTTTGGTATTCTATTTTATATAACTATTTTAAAAGGTTAAATCTATAAAAAACACAAGTTGGTTTTGTTTATATATTTAAATAACAGATACTTATGTTATTATCTATTATCTACGAATTAAAATATTTAATGAAGTATTTGGATGGGTTTATTATCAATTAATATATTCATTGTGTATAATTTAGAGGCATAGTTTTTTGGAGAATTTAATTAATGTTAAGTTGAAATTTTATTATAATTATTGGCAATTATTAGTATTCGAATATTTTCTTATATACAAGATTTTTTATTTTATTTAATATTTTATTATAAAATTATATTTTTATCTAATTAGAATTTATAAAAATAATATGAATATATAAATTTATTAATATTTTACGTTAAATAATTGAAATTTCGTAAAACATTATACAAACAATGCCGAACAAAATTAAAAACTATTGCATTTAAAAATCTTAATGAATGTTTTATCATAATTGAAAATAATAAATGTCTTTTAATAGAAAGCAAAATCATTTAAGATAAGATTGTTTTAAGTTATCAAATTATCTTGATAATTAATCAATATAATGTAATAGATAATGTTAATTTTTTTCAGATATTAATACAAATTTCTAGTAGTTATTAAATTTCTTAAGACATCAAATTCTATAATCTACTTTAAAAATTAAATAATATAAATACAATTCAAATGTATTTTTTAGGAAAATTTGGTTAATTTTACTCGAAATCGTTTTATAATAAGATAATGTCTTACCAAATGGGAGAAATCGATTATCATTAAAATAATTTATTATCAAAAGTTTTGAAAAATATCTATTATTAAGATATATTATTTAATATATCGATTAGAAATTTGCTTTAAAAATCTATTTCATTTAGAACATTATTGTATTTAAAAATGCTTTCAAGTTATATAGAATATCTAATATATATTCTGTTAAAAAGATTCTTCATAAACTTACAATTTAATTTACTATATGAAATTTTTATTTAAAAAATAACGATTGATTATTAAATCTTTTTAATATGAAATATTTTTTGAAAAAAAATAAAATCGGATAGAAAAGAAACTACAAATATGATATAAAATTAAAGTATTACTCGTTAATGAAATGGTATATACGTATCAATAGAAAGTATTATTTTAAAAAATTTTATAATATAATAATTTTATATTATTAGATTTTCATTAACAATAAAAATATTTTATCAGATAAATTTTTTAATTTTTAGTTTTAAAATCCAAAATAGTTAAAAAAAGCATTTTTTATTCTAATTATATTAGAATATAAATTTATGTTATAAAACATAGATTTAAAATTAATAAATTACAAATAAAAACGTTTTTAGTTTTGCCAATAAATTTTATAAGTAAATATTTTAAATATTTTGAAACGTAAATTTACTTTTTTTGCTATTATAAATATATTAAAATTTTAAAATCTTTAATAAATTAAAAATGTTATAAAAATTTAAAGTATTTTATTCTATTTTTTTCCTTAAGGTTTAAAAATAGAAACAATCGAAGTTAACTGGTTTTTTAAAAAATAATATAATAAAATTTATGATTACATTTTAATGATGTCTTTAGACAACAAACAAATTAGATAATATATAGAAATATATAAACATAGATATGTTATATATAACTAATCAATAAAATTTTATTAATATAAATTATAAAAATTGTTAATTTTAATTTAATATTCGTAAAACAATTTTTAATTATACCTAAATATAACCTGGGAATGATTTTATTAATAAAATTAAAGTTCTAAGGTGTTTTAGATATCCTTATTTAATGATGAAGAATTAGGATCTATATCCCTTCAGAATTGGCTTTTTTCTTCTTGATTATCACCAATATCATTAGGCTTTTCTAACAAATTCTTCCATAGATCAAGCAGCTTTTCACTTCTTTCTTTAATAAAATACTTTTCATCACTAGGTATATCTGAAAGTTGGACAATTCTTTTTAATACTTTTCCAATTTTTGTAGCCTTAATAAAAATCAATCAATCATAGACCAAAGAAATAGAATTTACTCTTAAAATTGCAGCATCAATTCCCTTAAATGTTTCTAACTTTTCTAACTGTTCATTTACTATAGGCATATCCTATATATGTTTAGTTCAAGTTATCATAAAAAAGTTAATTTTTACAGTTTCGGAGGGAACTTTTCCATTAGTAAGCATAATCCTTTGCAACTTATGTCTAAAAAATAAAACCTGCTGTTTTTTTTGTTCCCATTTTACTTGTAATGATTTCTCTGAAGAAATAATAGAATTTTCTTCTGATTTAAGTTTCCCATTCAGAATTTTATTTAAATTCCTTTGAGAACCATCGGATATCATTTTTTCCTATCAATTAATTAGATATATTTTTTAGTAATATTAAATAATACTTGATTATTTAATTTTACTTTATGTCGGTCATTCTCGTGCCTTCTTTTCTTATTTTCAGCTTTTCTAGATTCTATTTTTCGCTTTAACGCTCCTTTTATCGCATTATCATCAATATCACCATCTTTTAAATTATCATTAAATTCATCTTCATCTTCATCCTCATCTTTTTCCGATTCATCTTTCATTTCAAGAGATTGCTGAGCAAGCAAATCTTCAACTGTTGGGCATGTTTTTGCAATTTCATAACTTCTTCGTATATCCTTTTTTGTAGTTTTTCTAGAAAGAAAATCATCAATCATTTCTGGGGTTAAAGGTCTTATATCATTCTTAGAGGCCCATATACTAATTCCTCTGTAAATATACATACAAATGTCTTCAAAAAAAAAAAAAACAAAATATGTTGTACTTACTATTCCGGTGTTGGAAAAAATCTTACAAGCCAATGTTGAACATCCATACCATTTCTACGTTTTTTTGAAACTGGTCGTGCATCCATAACATCTTTAGGTGCAATATCTTCTGGAAAGACCTAATAAATATAGATTAATCTTATTCTATAGATTACTTATTAATATAAAACGCATAAATACCATTCCTGGCCACCAAGGATAGCCGGAAATCTTTGCCAAGACCAGATCTCCAACATTATATATTGAGACGCCTGTCTCTTGCTTTTTCATCTTTAAAATATCTTTCTTTTTATTGATCTCATTATCTTGAATCTTTTCTGATTTTAACTCTTCAATTGTTGAAAACTCGCATTCGTCTATAAACTTTTCTTCCATTTCAGCATTTCCCATGTTAGTGTCCAAGATGCTTTATCCTCTCAAAATTGCCTCCGAGATATTTACTTTTTATTATTTCTAATAGGAATAATGTTTTTATCCAATTTGCCGTTTTTATTCTCGTAAAAAGGGGAGTTAAAATTAAATGTTTAATAAAAAAAATAATCTTATTTAATATTTTATTGTTGACAATTCTACTTTATAAATATAAAAATTAAACATACTCTATTTTCAGAACTTATAAATTCCATTAAACTAAAAATAAATTTAATTTAGATATGAAAAAATATATAAATAGAAAATATTTTCAAAATAGAAAGAAATAATAGTAAAAATAGAACAATTTACTAAAAATTAGATAATAGAAATTCTTGGAGAAATACATAAATATATAAAATACTGGCCTTTTTCTTAAAGACAAACTTTTCAAAATACATGATTCTATTCTATCGAGAAAAAAATATAAAAATAATTATATTTAGACATATTCTATGATGTATTCTAAATTCTTATTAAAACATTCATATAGTATTGAAAATTTAGAATTTTAATTAAATCAATATTTCCTAAAAAACAGCTATTAAATATGGAGTACCTAATTATAATTAATTTTAATAAAAAAGCTTTATCTGATATTGTAATTTATTTAGAAAAAAATCGATTTATAAAATACTTATTAAAGTATATAATTTTTCTATCGAACTTATTTAATAAAAAATTGGTAATTTGTATTAAAAAATTAAATGGTATCCTAAACTTTTTCTTTTAAATGATATGGCAACTCAAATTCTTCGATTTCAAGGCCATGAATATTTTACACAAAGATTAATACTATCTTTATTAAGTAAAAAAATGATACGAATTGAAAAGATCCGTTCTGATGATACAAATCCTGGCCTTCGAGGCATGTAACAATCAATATTTTGACTTGAATAAGTCTTTTAGCTTAACATTGAATTTATAGATTATGAAATTTCATTTCTTCGTTTATTGGAAACAATTACAAATGGTTCGCAAATTAATATTTCATATACAGGTATTTTATCAAAAAAATGGATCCTATTATTTTATTTAGAGATTAACTTCTAAGGCACAATTATTTTATTTAAACCAGGTCAAATTCATGGAGGAAAATTTACTCATGATTGCGGAACATCGAGATCGATAGGATATTTTCTTTTACCATTACTTAGCATTTTGCCATTCTCAAAAATACCATTTGACTTAACATTTACTGGCTTAACTGTTGATAATTATGATGTTGGTGTAGATATAATTCGAACAAGTATTCTTCCAATTATGCGTAAATTTGGAATAAATGATGGACTCGAACTTCGAGTAAGTTAATTATGCTTTTTTTATATTTTTATATCATATAGATTTTAAAACGGGGTTCTTCGCCTCTTGGAGGTGGTGAAATTCGTTTTATATGTCCATCTATTCGTGCACTTTGTACAGTTCATCTTTTATCATCTGGACGAATAAAACGTATTCGTGGAGTTGCTTCATCCACATGTGTATCTCCTTCTATTGCTAATAGGCTTGTTGAATCTGCGAGAAGCATACTGAATAGATTTATTCCTGATATATTTATATATACAGATGTTCGAAAAGGAGAAGAATGCGGAAAATCTCCAGGATTTTCTTTATCACTTGTTGCTGAGTCAAATACGGAATCTTTATATACAAGTGAATTGTCAGGAGAAGCAGGAGATATTCCTGAAGATATAGGTATTAACTGTGCCAAAATTTTATTGTCGCAAATCCTAAATGGAGGTTGCGTTGATAACATTGCATGTAAATATGTTCTTCTTGGAATGGTTTTAGGGTCGGAAGATGTCGGACGCATAAGAATATCTAGAAAAATTGATGAACACTTAGTAGCATTTTTAAGAGATGTTAAATTATTTTTTAATATAGAAATGAGATTTATTCCTAGTGGAAATGAAATAATAGTAAGCTGTAAGGGTATAGGATATACTAATTATAATAAAATGGTCACTTAAAAATTTATATTTAAATAAGAATATCAAATAATATAATATTAAAATAATATGTAATTTTTCTTAATATTATTGCAGAATGAAATCTTTAAAATATTATAAATATCTAATATTTATTTTTTAAATATTATTGCAGAAATGATATTTAAAGTCTATCTTATTTTTAATTTTCTTATTATAATTAAAAAAATATTAATTATTTTAATAGAATATCATAAATATAAGAAAAACAACAAGCATATCATGTAAAATTAAGTAATCTTTTTAAAGTTTCGTTATAGGGCAAAGGAACCTATTTTTAAAACTTCGAAAATTGATTTTTAAAGGTTCATAACATATTAAAATAATTTATATTAATTAAATTAGAAAATAAACTCCTAAATATATTTTAAGTAGGCTTATAATTATTTTTATTAATACTATATATAAGCCATGCCATCAAAATATCATCCACCTGCTCAGAATATGGACCAGTACAAATATTCTGAAATATCCAATAAAGTCAGTAAAGCTGATCAAAGATTTGTTACTCGTCGGGATCATGAAGCAACAGGAGAGCCTGAATCACTTTCAGGACGAATTAGTGTAAAAGATATGGGATCTCGTGTTTCTAGAAATACTCAGCCAGAAAGTACTATAAAAAAAGAAACTCAAGTAATAGATGATGAATTTGATCAAAAATATAAAAAAAAAAAAACATTAAAAAACAAAAATACTTATTCTTCTATATTGGATACTACAGAAGATTTAGAGGGCCTTGTATATTATCCGAAAACCAAAGAAACTCGTGAAACATATGAAGCACTTTTAGCTTATGTTCACGAATTTGTTGGAGATCAAAGTCATGATATAATAAGGAGTGCTAGTGACGCTGTTTTAGAATTCTTAAAAGATGAAAATTTAAAAGATTATGATAAAAAAAAAGAAATTGATAAATTACTCGGTGTAAATATACCGAGTGAAAGATTTAGCCAATTAATTGCTATTGGAAAAAAGATAACAGATTATTCTTCTGAAGATTCTAGAAATATTGTGGAGAACGATGATCATGAGCTTGATGAACAAAGAGTTGCAGTTATTTTTGATGATGATGAAAACGAAGATAGCGAAAATGAAATTGATGAAGATGATCAAGAGGAATCTAATACAAGTACTGACACAGAAGGTGTGGAAAATTACATAACTATTGTTAACGGGAAAACAAATAAACATTTCACTAGTAAAGAAAATAAAGAAAAAGTTTTCGCTCATCAAATCGACACATTTTGGTTACAACGAACTATTTCTGCATATTATACCGATCCATATATTATTCAGGAAAAAACATCATCAGCTATTTCTTTTTTAGAATCAGATATTTCATTTGGACAACTTGAAAATAAGCTTATGGAGTTATTTGATTATGATAAATTTGAACTTGTGAAAATATTAACTAGAAATCGAGATACAATTGTATGGTGTACGCGTCTCTTACGAACAATTGATGTTGAAGCTAAAAAAGAAATCGAAACTCAGATGAAATTAGAAGGTTATGAATGGATTTTACGAGAACTTAAAGAAGATAGGGAGTCATTGTCTTTGATGTATCCAGAGAAGCATGATAACAACATGATGGATATTGATTTGCCCCAAGATGTAGAGAAACATATGCATAAGGATATTTCTGTGTCACAAATATCTGAAATTATACCTAAAAAAGTCATTGATTTAAATTCACTTATATTTTCTCAAGGTGCTCATTTAATGTCGAATAAAAAATGTAAATTACCAGAAGGTTCTTTTAAACGATCTAAAAAAGGTTATGAAGAAATTCACGTTCCAGCACCAAAAAAAGCAATAGTTAAAGATATAAAAAGTATTCTAATATCTGATATGCCTGAATGGATTCGTCCTGTCTTTGGTAATACCGAAAAATTAAATCCTATTCAAAGCAAGCTCTATCCTATGGCATTCGAAAAAGATAATAATTTGCTTATTTGCGCACCTACGGGCGCTGGAAAAACAAATGTGGCTATTCTTTGCATTTTAAACGAATTAAAAAAACATCGCAATGAGTCTACAGGAGAAATTAATAAAAATGACTTTAAAATTGTTTATATTGCTCCATTGAAGGCTCTTGTACAAGAAATTGTCGGCAATTTTAGATCTAGGTTGTCTCAATATGACATCCAGGTGGAAGAATTAACAGGAGATACACAACTTACTAAAGCTCAAATATCTTATACTCAAATAATCGTAACTACTCCTGAAAAATGGGATATCATTACTAGAAAAGCTACAGAAACGTCATATACTAATCTGGTTCGTCTAATAATTATTGATGAAATTCATTTACTTCATGATGATCGAGGTCCTGTTTTAGAAGCTATTGTCGCTCGGACAATCCGAAAAATGGAACAAACATTTGAGCCCGTTCGTTTAATAGGACTCTCGGCTACTCTTCCTAACTATATGGATGTTGCCGCATTTTTAAAGGTAGACTTGAAGCAAGGTCTATTTTATTTTGATAATTCATATCGTCCTTGTCCATTAAAACAAGAATTTATCGGGATTACTGAAAAAAAAGCTATCAAAAGATTGCAGGTTATCAATGATGTTACATATGAGAAAGTAATCGAACAAGCTAGAAAATTTCAAGTTTTAATTTTTGTCCATTCACGTAAAGAAACTGCTAAAACTGCGAAATTTATACGCGATAAATGCCTCGAAGAAGAAACCATTGGACAAATTTTACGTTTTGATGCAGCAACAAAAGAAATTCTTCAGTCAGAAGCAAAAGAAGTTAATGACTCCAATTTAAAAGATCTTCTTCCTTATGGGCTTGGCATTCATCATGCTGGCATGACTCGTGCCGATCGAAGGTCAGCTGAAGAACTTTTTGCAGCTGGTCATATTCAAGTTTTAGTTAGTACTTCCACTTTAGCATGGGGCGTTAATCTTCCTGCACATGCTGTTATTATTAAAGGAACTCAAATTTATTCACCAGAAAAAGGTCGCTGGGTAGAGTTATCTCCTCAAGATGTTCTTCAAATGTTAGGCAGAGCAGGAAGGCCACAATATGATTCTTATGGTGAAGGTATAATTATTACATCGCATACAGAACTTCAATATTATTTAAGTTTGCTTAACCAGCAATTGCCAATAGAAAGTCAGTTTATTAGTAAAATCGTTGATAATTTGAACGCAGAAATCGTTTTAGGTACTGTAAGAAACAGAGATGAAGCAGCACAATGGCTTGGATATACTTATTTGTAAGGCTTATAATAATGATAAATAATAACTTAGCATTTTCTAGATATGTTCGAATGTTACGATCTCCTACAATATATAATGTCGGAGCAGATTATGCTGATGATGTAGATTTAGAACAAAAACGAATTGATCTTATTCATTCAGCTGCATTATTGCTAGATAAACATAATTTAATAAAATATGATAAAAAAACAGGTATTTTTCAAGCAACGGAATTGGGAAGAATTGCATCACATTATTACATTACTTATGAATCTATGGCTATATATAATCAATATCTTAAACCTACATTGTCATATATTGAACTTTTTCGTATATTTTGTCTTTCAGATGAATTTAAATATATTCCAGTAAGGGAAGAAGAAAAACTTGAACTTCAAAAATTGCTTGATAGAGTTCCTATTCCTATTAAGGAGGGCGCTGAAGAACCATCTGCTAAGATTAATACTTTATTACAAGCTTATATATCTAAGTTAAAACTTGAAGGTTTTGCTTTAATTTCAGATATGATATATGTCACACAGTCCGCAAAGAGAATTTTAAGGGCTATTTTTGACATTTCTTTAAAGAGGGGATGGTCACAGGTTGCTAAATCAGCCCTTGATATGTGTAAAATGGTTGAGAAATGTATGTGGCCTACCATGACTCCTTTAAGACAATTTAAAATATGTCCTTCTGAAGTTATTCGCAAGGTTGAACGAAAAGATTTATCATGGAGTAGATATTTTGATTTAGATCCTCATGAACTTGGAGAATTAATAAATGTACCTAAAGCCGGGAAATTAGTTCATAAACTTATTCAGCATTTTCCAAAATTGCAACTTCAGGCACATGTTCAGCCTATTACACGATCTATATTGAGGGTGAGTTTGACTATTACACCTCAATTTGAATGGGACCATGAAATACATGGGTTTACTGAACTTTTTTGGATTATAGCTGAAGATGTAAATGGGGAGCAAATTCTCTTTCATGATCAATTTATATTAAAGGAAAATTATGCAAAAGATGAACATTATGTTGAATTTACTGTCCCAATATCTGAACCAATACCACCAAATTATTTTATTACAATAATCTCAGATAGATGGATGCATTCTGAAACGAAGCTAGCTATAGCATTTAAACATTTAATTCTCCCAGAAAAATTTCCTCCGCATACTCCTTTACTTGATTTACATCCGCTTCCTGTTGCTGTGTTACGCAAACAGGAATTTATTAAACTTTATTCGTCTCATTTTCAGAATTTCAATAAAATTCAGACTCAAGTATTTAATACATTGTTTACTACTGATGAGACTGTTTTTATAGGTGCCCCTACTGGTAGTGGAAAAACAATTTGTGCAGAATTCGCCTTAATGAGACATTGGATGCAAGAAAATTCGGGAAAAGCGGTATATATTGCACCATTTCAAGAGCTTATTGATGAAAGATATAATGACTGGAATGAAAAATTTAGAACTTTAGAAAATTCTAAAAGTATAGTTAAATTAACAGAAGAGACTAGTGAAAATCTGAAATTATTACAAAAAGCAGATTTAATTCTTGCAACTCCTGTTCAGTGGGATGTGTTATCTCGTAGATGGAAACATCGTAAAAATATTCAAACTATTCAATTATTTATTGTAGACGAAATCCATGCAGTCGGAGGTCATATAGGACCTGTATACGAAGTAATTATATCACGAATTCGCTATGTTGCAGCTCAAACCGGAAACAAAGTTCGAATTGTTGCTTTAGGGGTTTCTTTAGCAAATGCTAGAGATTTAGGGGAATGGATAGGTGCAAATCAACATTGTATATATAACTTTAGTCCAAAAGACAGACCTAGACCTCTTGAAGTGACTATGCAATCATTTACGGTTCCTCATTTTCCATCATTAATGATAGCAATGACAAAACCATTATATTTGATTATAACAACATTATCATCTGATTGTTCTTCTCTAATATTTGTCCCAAGCAGAAAACAATGTCGCAATATATCTCTTGATATTTTGACGCATTGTAATGCCAATAATAATGAAAACAGATTTCTTTTATCGACATCTGATGATATTATGTTATATATTGGGAAAATTCAGGATGATGTTTTAGCAAATTGCTTAACTCATGGTATTGGGTATTATCACGAGGCACTCAGCAAATCTGATAAAGATATTGTTAAATCATTGTATAAATCTAGAATCATTCAAATCCTTTTCGCTTCAAGGGATGTAGCTTATTCATTAGGTGTTACAGCACATATGGTCATTGTAATGGGTACACAATATTTTGAAGGAAGAGAACATAGGTATATTGATTATCCGATTAGCGAAATATTACAAATGTTGGGATATGCATATCAACCAGATCATGATGGAATTAGTAGAGCAATTTTAATGACGCCTGCTGTGAAAAAAGAATATTATAGAAAATTTCTAAGTGAAGCGTTGCCAATTGAAAGTCATCTTCAAATATTTATGCATGACGCATTTGTTACCGAGATAGCTACATCTACAATTGAAAATAAACAGGAGGCAGTAGATTGGCTCACTTGGTCATACATGTACCGTCGTTTAGTCGCTAACCCGGGATTTTACGGACTTCAAGATATCTCTCACGAATCACTTAGTAGTTATTTGTCTGATTTAGTAGAAACTACTCTGAACGATCTGATGGAAAAAAGAATTATTTCTATAGAAGATGATTTTTATGTTACACCTTTAAATCTAGCGATGATTGCAAGTTATTATAATCTTACTTACATTACTATTGAAACTATGGCTTTAAGCTTGACCTCTAAAACTAAAATGAAGGGTTTATTAGAAGTTGTTACTGCTGCTGCTGAATTTGAGTCAATTCCTATTCGTAGACATGAAGATATAATATTACGGCGTATTTATGAAAGAATTCCTGTAAAGCTTCAGAATCAAGATTTTGATTCTCCTTCTTTTAAAGCATTTATATTATTACAAGGTATTATATATTATATATTATACATATTTATAAAGTTAATTTGTATTAGCACATTTTTCACGCTTTCAACTACCTATTGATTTAGTTGCAGATCAGGTATTAGTGTTGCAAAAGATAATTAATCTTCTTAGCGCATGTGTTGATGTTATGTCATCAGAAGGTTATTTGAATTCTAGTTATCCAATGGAGTTATCACAAATGTAAGATTTTTTTTTATTATTTTTAAGCCAATTTTTTTATTATATTTAGGTGTGTTCAAGCAATATGGGATCGCGATAGTCCATTAAAACAAATACCACATTTTACTAATGATGTAATTAAAAGATGTAATGATACTGGGTAACCTGGAAATTTTCAAATATATTGTAATTTATTTTTTATTAGATTAGAATCTGTATATGATTTAGGCGAGTTTTTAGCAGATGCTTCAAAGGAATCAAGAGATAAGCTTTTAGAAATGGATTCAAAAAAACTACGTGATGTAGCTAATTTTGTCAATAATTATCCATCAATAGATATTACATTCGAGCTTGAAGATACAGGGTCTATTACTGTTGGAAATAAGGCGAGTATTAATATCATTCTTACAAGAGAAACAGAAGAGGTTAATACTCTGGTTTATGCTCCCTTTTTTCCTATTTCAAAAAATGAACACTGGTGGATTGTAATTGGCGATGGTGTATCTTTATTAGCTATTAAAAAGGTTACTTTACAAAAAGTTTTATCTCTAAAACTAGACTTTATTCCTCCAAACGCAGGAAAACATGAATATATTTTATCCTGTTTTAGTGATTCTTATGTTGGTGTAGATCAAGATATAAAGGTGGATATAGTTGTTGCAGAAGGAAGAGAAAATAATGAAGCAGATGAATAAATATTTATAATTTAAAAATATTTAAATGTGAATAAGTTCTTATGATATTTTTTTGAGACATAATTTCTTTAAAATGTGACTTACTATTTTCTTAAGATTTAAAGAAGCATTGGTGTGTTTTATTATTAATAAAATACATAATATTATCAGTAAAATAACTATATTAATTAAGATATAATGATTCAAATTTTATATAAAACGAAATGTTATAAATAATTAATGCTTTTCGAAGTTCATAAAACTTTTTGCTATAGGAATAATATAAAATAATTTTTCTACTAGTTTTTTATTTTGAACCCTTAAAATTTACGATAAAAATTAAAAATTGAAATTTTATCTATAAAATAATGGTCGAATTCGTCCTCAAGGCATTTAATGATTCAGATATAGAGTAAGGATTGTTCTCATATTGACTAATTATCATGTTCGATTTAATTATTTTAATATATTAACATTTAATAAAATTAAAAAATAATTTCAATGTTATTCAACATTTATTTTTATAGCATATTATTATTTGATATTATGGAACTTTTTATTTAAAGAAATATCTATATAAAATTAAATATTAATGTGTTTTAGAGCTAAATCAAAAGAAGACATTACATTCATTGTTTTAGGAGCATCAGGTGATCTAGCAAATAAAAAAATCGTTTGGAATTTACGATTAATTATCTCTTATATTACTAACATTTCTTTTTAAGTTTCCTGCTTTATTTCAACTCGTAAATAATATATTTGGTATTTTCATTTTAATAATATTAGTATCAAAACAATCTTATATCAAGAAAAATTCACGTGATTGGATATGCTAGAACTAAAATGAATAATCAAGAGTTCCATTCTAGGTTTTCTTCATATATAAAAATAACTTCTAAAGATGAGTCGGTTTTTAAGGAATTTAAAAATGCATGTACATATATTAGTGGCAAATACAATAATAATGGGTTTAAAAAGCTACTATTTCATTGTGAAGAAATAGAAGGTATATTCTATAGTTATTTATTTGACTTAATTTTTATAGACAAATCTCAAAAACAAAGTAGAATTTTTTATATGGCTCTTCCTCCTAATATTTTTAATTGTGCTTCTTATTATTTAAAGAAATTGCTTTATCCAGAATCCGGTATTGCTAGATTAGTGATTGAAAAACCCTTTGGAAAAGATTTTGAAAGTAATAAAAAACTTCAGAAAGCTCTTACATGTATGTGGAAAGAGAATGAAATTTTTCGAATTGACCATTATCTTGGCAAAGAAATGGTTAAAAACCTTTTAATAATGCGTTTTTCAAATGTTTTTTTAGACGCATCATGGAATAAACATTATATATCAAATATTCGGGTAATAAAATAGGCTCTTACTACTTATTTTATTAATAAGGTCGAGATTATATTTAAAGAACCTTTTGGAGTAGAAGGACGTGGAGGATATTTTAACGAATTTGGGATTATTAGAGACGTAATGCAAAATCGTATAAATTTTAAAATTTTCTGAAAACATTTTAATATTACAGATTTATTGCAGATATTGGTTATTTTAGCTATGGAGAGGCCTGATTCTTTTTTTTCTGATGATATTCGTGACAGAAAAGTCAAAATTCTTCAAGATATACCTGTTATCGAACCTAAGGATGTTATTATTGGTCAATATACATGTTCCGAAGACAGATCTAAGCTTGGTTATACAGATGACGAAACTATACCAAAAGATTCACGCTGTCCCACGTTTGCCGCCTTAACGATGTTCATAGAAAATGAACGCTGGAAATGTGTTCCATTTATTTTGATCGCTGGTAAAGGTATTGCTTTATTTAGCAATTAGGCTAGAAAATGTATTTTAATATATTTTTAGCATTGGATGAACAAAAAGTAGAGATTCGTATTCAATATAAAGATGCTTTTGGAGAAATGTTTGGAAATGTTTTACGAAATGAATTGGTTATATCTATACAACCGGAAGAAGGGTATATATATTATTATTACTAAAAATATATTGACAGTTTATTAGAATTCATATGAATATTAATTCAAAATATCCTGGATTGGATATGTATGCTGTTTCTACAAAATTAAATTTTATATATAAACATGAATTTCCAAATATAAAAATCCCTGAAGCATATGAAAGTTTATTGTTAGATGCTATAAAAGGGTAATTAAGTAAATTTGTATTTTTTATTATTTAATGGTTTATAGTGATCAATCGAATTTTGTGCGTGATGATGAATTAGATCATTCATGGAGAATATTTACACCACTCTTACACTATTTAGATGAGCATGAAGATATTAAGCCTATTCTTTATCCATATGGTAGTGGAGGACCATCAGAGCTTTTTGACTATATTAAAAGTTATGGTTGTAAATTATGTCAGTATAATTATTTTTCAATTTTTTTATTAATCAAATTAAGGATAAATATTACCTTTTATAATTGATTTTGATAAATGAGTATTAAAAAATTTGATTTTAATGAATTTAATATATCGTATTTATTTGATATAAATTAAGTTTTTTAATAAAATTGTGATTTAGTGTAATTCTCCTAGTTTATAATACATACATATTACAAATTTGAAAATATTGATAACTGTAAAGTTACAGAGATAATTGAAAATAAAAAATATTTTATAATAATTAATCCTTAGTTATAGGTTTTCCATCTTTTTTTTTCATAGTATAATAACATAAATGACACGCATATAAAAGTTTTGCATTGTATAAATTATTAGTTGATGTCGATACATTATTTTTTGGCCACCATACAGGAGATATATTAGTTTCACATATATAACAAGACCTCGTTACTTCTTTTATAGGCGAATGTTGATCTTTTTTAAGATTTCTCAATTCTTCCAATTTAATTGCAATAGTCAAAGGAGTAATATGTCCATAATAAGCATTCATATTAATTCGTCTATTTCCTATTTTTGCAGAAATCATTGAAGTTTTATAATTTTCAACATAAGCCTTAATAGCATACTATATTCTTATTAATAATAAATATAGAATAATGAAAAGAATACCTTATTTATTTCATAGTCATACTCATTAATAGCATGAACTATAGTTTTTTTCATATTATGATTGGGACACCATATAGCAGCAGTCATAATTCCAAATTCCCCACTAAATTTTATAGTAACAGCATTATCTTTTCTTGAACCTTTTACTAAAGCTATATCAAATCCAATAGTATACCCTGCATAGATGGCACAAGTCACATGTAGTGGAATATGACAAACATGACACAATGCACATACTCCTCGAACCTTTTTACATATAAAGCATACCTGAATAATGTCATAAAATTATTTAATATATATAAAATTTACTTGTTGCCATCTGGATAATGAAATGGCGCCGATTCCTTCTATAGGTTGCAATGTAGAAGAATCAGTAAATTTAAGTTCTGGAATCCATATAGCGCATGTAACGTGTGCCCAATTATTTCCTGATGTTTGTTTAAGAGCTTCTCTAAAGAAAGAATTTGAATTAAGAGATGGGCAATCATGAACTGAACAAAGAACACATTGATAATTCTAAAAAAATTAGTTTTAAGAATCCCTTTAAAGAAATAATACAGTAGAAACCATAGGCGTTTTATCATTAATACACATATCGCAAATCCATGAATTAGGATCAACGTAAGAAATTCCATAACATGCTAAAGATATTAATAATAATAACTTGAAAATTCAACATACTTTTATGAACCATGAGTTCACATGTTTTACATGTATAAAGTATAGATTTTGGTTCCAAAAGCTCGCAAACACGGCAAGATATAGAATTTCCTTTTAAAATTAATGAATCATCTATATCTTTTTTCGGATATTTCACATCTGTTTTTAAACGACGTCTTTTTCCTGGTCCATTTTTATCACAATTTTCTTCAATTTTTTCTTTCTCTTCAAATAAATGTTGTTCTTTTAAAAGTTCTTCCTCGAATTTCTTTTTTCTCCAACGTGCACCAGGTTCTGATAATTTTTTAGCAATTTCTTCGGGTGGTTCCCAGCGTACACTATATTTCCTCCATAATTCACCACATCTTTGGCAAAGTGCTGTAACTACATTTTTATCAGAAATAAAAGAACCACCTGGTGCCCGTTTCCAAAGTTTACTTTTAGTTATAGAACAAAATTTGCAGATGAAACTTTTATGCTTTAATGTAGCTTTTTCAGAATTATAGGCACTATCGTCACTGCTATCTGCTATATCCTCCGTTAAGTGTAAAGAAGAATCTAATATAGATCTATTATGATTTGAAGAAAATAGCTTTTCTTCTTTCTTGCGACGACCTGAATAATTTCCCCATATTTTTTTTCCAGATTCTGTCTTTTTCCATATATAATAAAACTTAATTATTTCTGGAAGGGATTTTGTTGGAATCTCGTTAGCAACTAAAGATAATTCACTTCCATATTGAGAAATGGCATTTTCAAACTGTTCTAGTTCAAGAACATTAAAATCAGGTATGCGAAGGTGCTTTTTAGTCAAAAATGATAAACTTGAAATGGAAGCATTTATATCAAATTGATTTTCATAAAGTGTTGTTAATGCTATATCCTGAAAATCCGTAGAAAAGTGAGGTATAGAGAGATTTTCAGCTATATATTTAATTTTGTTAAGATAGTTATCTACTAAATCATCTGGAATGTTTTCTGGCTTTGAAAATAATTTTATGCTTGTATGATCATGTCCTCTTAAAACTAAAAAAAATTAAAATATATTAAACAAATATAAAACTTACCATATCTAGTACCTATTTCATTGGTAAAAGAAAAGTTTTTGTTGAATAAAGATTTCGAATTAGATGGTTTAGGAAAACACTCTTTAGAATTGTTAACTTTTGTATTATCCATTTTAGCTTCTGAATTAGTTTGTTCCAATATTTCTTCTTCTGAAGCGTTAGAAAACTTATAAATATGTTTTCCCTTTCTTTTTTTCCGTAAATCTACTACTACTTGTTGTTTTTCTATAAAAGATTCATCTTGTTCTGGAATGACTGCTTGATGTTTACCACCAATTCTAGATGCTGCTCTAGGATAGATTCTGTCATCGTAATCCAATACGTCTTCTATATTGCAATGTATTCCTAAATATCTATATGGCCATAATTTAGTAATTGCTTTTTGCTGTTCAGTTGGCTGTTTGTATTTTTTTTTTTCGTTTATTTCACTATAATTATTAGATTCTGTAATATTAGATGATATTGATGATATATCAGATAGTTCAGAATCTTCATTATTATTATCAACATCATTTTGTACGCTTTTTTTTCTTAAGTTAATAGTTTTTGATTGCCTTTCTGAAGGAATTTCCAAACTTTTATTTGCTTTTATACGGCGATGCTCAGCTCTAGAACAGGAGGTACAGGTCCAGACAAATCCTTTTGTAGGCTTTTTGAGTAAAGGGGGCTTAACACAATGCATATGATAATCATCATGACAAACAGCACATCTAATAGATTCAATACTTTTGCATGTCAATTCTTATATAATAAAAATAATTAAAAATACCTTAAACACCAGTTGCCACAACGTTTACAACCTCTATGTTGCATTGCCAACTCTTTTCCTCTTCCAATCTCTACAATTACATACTTCCATTCTTGCCTAAGAACTTCTTTTACTCTATCTGGAACATTTGTTACTTTATGTATAGGCACAACTTCGTAATAACGATATATATAGCGATCAAAAAGTCTATCATAATAAAAAGAATTCGGTATTTTTCGATATTCATCATGGTTTTCTATCTCATCTTTATGAAATATTCTACACTTTCCCCTATATGCTGATAAGGGACATATATCAGAATGCATGGAAGCAAATAATTGACGAGAATCATTGGTTTTTTTTTGAACATCCCTTGGTCTATAAAACCAATTCACACGGATTGCATTAATAGAACTATCAGGATCATTATTCATTGACGTAAACTCCATGATTCTTGCAAGATAATATGGTTCACCAGGTGGCTCAGAAACTAAATAGATAGTATCTAAATTAAATAAAAAAACTAAAAAAAAAAGAAAAACGAAAATACCATTACGATAAAGAACTGATCCGTCTGTTAGTGTACAGACAGGTTCCTTTTGACCATTTTTTTGTATATAATTTATTTTAACAATTCTAGCAATATGATCTACTTTATCTGTATTTTTTCTCTTTCGTTTAGGATTATGTAATTCTTGTGATTTTGTGTTATATGATTTATCTTCTATGATATTTTCTGAAGGATATTTTTCTTTAATATTATATTCAAGCATTTTATTATATAACTTAATAAAGATTTAAACTTGATAAAATATTATAATAAACCTTAATAACTTTGTTGATTTTGCATAGAAAAGATATTCCTTGTGGATTTAATGAAGATCTTTATTTTTCTGTTAATGTTACGTTTCTATTTTATATTTTTAAGTTAAATTTTAAAATAATTTTTTATTGGTTAATATTATAAAAAGTTAATATGATTGAAAAATAATATAAAAATAAACAAAAGTATATTTACTTTCATATATAGAGAGTGCTATCATAAATACATAAAAATATGATGGTTAAAAATTTATAATATATGGATAGATATATTAAATATGTGAGTGGAAAAAATAAATATATGATTAAATCAATATTCCAATTTTTTTAAAAAGTGTTTTTAAAATTCTTTATTAAATAATTACTAATTTTTTATTAGTATTATTGTAGATTGTGTTATTTTTAATAATAAAATAAAATAGGAACAATTGAGATGAAATTTTATAGTAAAATTTTAGTTTTATAAAAAGATTAAATGTAGAAAAAAACAAACTAAACTATAAAGATATTTTAAATTTTATAATATATTTTTTAATTTTATGATATAATTTAATTTTTTTTAGATTATAAATCTCATGAGAAACATTTTGAAAAATAGGTTAAATAATTTTAGTAAACTTCTGAAATTAATTATTTATAACTTATTTTTTGAAAGCTAAAAAATTAATCAATTTTATAATTTTTTAACGAAAATTATATAAATTTTATATTTTTAAAATTTAATATTAAATGTTTAAATTCTCTAATTATATAAACATAAAATATAAAAATCATCAATATTTTATGAGCTTTGGTTTTCGCTGTTAGGTAAACCTAATACCTTTAGAAGATAAACAAATAATAACTATCTAAAATATGATAAAATAACGTTAAATTTTTAAATTATTACAAAAGTTTATTTTTTTTTTTTAAAGGATACCTAATATAATATCGCTAATTTTTTAACACTTATGAAAAAGGTCTCGACCTGCCTTCTGGCGGAATCGAACCACCGACCTTTCGCTTACTAGGCGAATATTATAACCACTAAACTAAGAAGGCATTTAATAGTAATGCGGCCCTTATTTACATTAATAATTCTAAATGAGAAATTTGAGGTTTATTAAAATATATAAAAGCTATTAAAAAAACAAGTTATTCTGATATTAAAAGAAATATTAAGGAATTAAAGATTTGCTATTTTGAAAATAATAAAGACATTTAAAATAATTTATATTTGTTTAATCTTATATTTTTAGTATTTTAAAATCTTTAAAATTTAGATAAATTTATTTATATTCTAATTATTAGTTTAATTATAAAAGTTAAAATAAAATATAGTATGCGAAACTATTTTCTCTTTGCTATAGATACAAAAATTTTTATATCTAAAATTAAATATTTAAATAAAATAATTTGAAATAATTATTTTAAATCTATTAGTAAATATTACATAAAACAATGGCATATTAAATATGTAGATATTAAAATATTCAACAAATTAATAAAACTAATTTAAATAATATATTTTTTCAAATATTTAAATGCATTATCTAACTAGATAAATAAACATAATATTTATATTTTGATATAATTAGATTATACGTTTACTTAAAAAATAATATATCAACAATTCTACAACTCATAAATTAGCATAAACCAAAGAATAACTATGTAAAATAAATACCATGTTGCTTATAAGATTTATTATTCTATGATGCAAAAAAAAGATATCTTAAGAATATTTTTCTTTCAAAGCGTTAACCAAATTAACATATTCTTTCATAGCATCTTCTTTAGATTTTCCTTTTCAATAAATTTACAAGGTTACATGTTAGAAAAATAATTTTTCACCTTTCTGTTTATTCCATGAATCCCTTTGAAAAAAATCAGAAATATTAATAACAAAAAAAAATCTAAAATAATTACCATTTACATTTCCCCTATATTTTCTGTCAATATATAATACGAAAACAGAAATATCTACCTTAGGATCAAAAAATCCAGGCCTTTCCTTATTAATGTCTCCTTCTATAACTAAAGAAAATAAATATAAAGGAAGACGCGATTTATTTATTACCCTGCTTATACCTGAATTATATAAAAATGCAATAAGAAAATGAATATGCAAATATATCCTATATCAAATATACACTTACAGTGCATAAAGCTTTAATGCAATCAAATAAGTTTCTTTAACTCAAAGACTTACCTCTAAAAGCTCAGAATCAGACGGTGTTGATGAAAGCCTTTTAACCTAAAAAATAATATTCTAAGAAAATCTTAAAAAAATAAAATATGTAATACATCTCTTGCTGCTTGTTCGAATTCTTCAATAAGCGACATTCTAAATTAATATTATTTAAAGCCAGTATTTCAACGAAATATTAAAAAATAAATATAATCTGAAAATATTAAAATTTTTTATTTAAAGCCTTCTATGCAAAATTAATAAACAAATATTTCTTCAACAATTACAATTTATAGATATTAATCTAATTAAAATATATTTTAAATTTATCACACTTATTTTACATAATATACTAATATTTAATTAAAATTTAATTTTTTAAAAAATTTATTTCACAAAATAAAAATGTACTAGTAAAAATTTTAAAAATAATATTTTTTATATATTATATATTATATTATCACTTTTTTTTTAATATCCTCGTTATATATAAGCTGATTTTTATTCAATAAATATTTTAGAGAAAATAGAAAGTTGAAAATTAGGATTTTAAAATAAAATATTTAAAGAACATAAGGTTTCTTATTAAATAAATACATTATTTTGTTTAAAATGAGCTGGTAGTTTAAAGTTTTATTGAATAAATAAAAGCTAACATTAAAATAGGAAAGGGTTTCAAAAAGCTGTAGTAAGGGTATAAAATTCATTAAAAATAGTCTTTTTATTAAAAATAAATAATAAGGCGCCTCAACAATTTAAGGGGAAGCTTAATATTGGAGAAAATACAGTGGATGCAGCTTATACAGATGTTGAGACTCAGTTTAAGGAACTTGAACAAAAATTAAGAAAATTGTTCAATAATACCAAAAAATATGTTCAATCAATAACAGGCATATCTATAATATAACTTTTTTGTATTATTTAATGGAAAAAAGACATTTTGAATTATCAAATGGAATTTGCTGGGATTATCGAAGAAATTTATAAACCGATTACAGGAAAAGCTACAGAAGTTGAAAATAAATCACATGAAGAATGTAGCGAAGGTATGTTATGGATATTATCCTTTATTTTTTTTTCATCTTAATTTTTAGCTGTTGAAGCCTGTCAAAAATATCAAACTATTGTTAAAGAACTTCAAGAGACGCTTACTCCAGAACTGGAAATGATTGAATCAAGAATCATTGGTCCTACTAATGAATTATTATCTATTATTTCTTCTATTCATAAAATAACGGAGAAACGAGAACGAAAACGTTTGGATTATGACCGTCACAGATCTAATTTAAAGAAACTTCAAGACAAAAAAGAAAAAACCTTAAAAGATGAAAGGGCTCTTTATAGCGCAGAAAATGTTGTTGAACATAGTACACAAGAGTTTGAATATTATAATACTTTATTAAAAGAAGAACTTCCTATACTTTTTGATTTAGAAACTAATTTTATTCAACCATTATTTCAAAATTTTTATTATATACAACTCAATATATATTATACTCTTTATGAAAAAATGAAGCGTATTGATATTGGATATTTTGATCTAAATACAGAAATTGTTGAGGGATTTGAACTGAAACGGAACAATATTCAAGAAATAACAGAAGGCCTTGGTATTGTAAAATTTACTATGTCTCGGAGATGTTAGTAATACATGATATTTCCTAATTAACTAATATCTTTTTAGCTCGATGTATCTCTGAATTTGACAATTCTAAACCAACTAAATTATCTCCTACATTATCTCATTTAGAATCAAATACGCAATCGGAAGAGTTGCCTTCTTATTACGAAGTACAGAATTTACGAAGCTATCAGTCAAATTGTGGAAATAACATTGGAGAAAGTAGTAATGTTAATAATAAGTATTCTAATATCAAAAAGATGCCACCTCCTCTTCCAAGCAAACCAACTGTATTAAAAGGGAGACAATGTGCAGTGGCGTTGTATGACTACGAAGCACAGGTCAAATAATTACAAGCATTTGTTTTTAATATTTATTTTTTTCAGGTGGAAGGCGATCTTTCTTTTAAAGTAGGAGATAGAATTGAAATAATAAAGAGGACAGAGAACAAAAATGTATATATTATTTAATGCAACAGTTTAAAAGTTTAACATATTCTAGGATTGGTGGACTGGGAAATTAAATGGAGTTCAGGGAATATTTCCAGGAAATTATACAGTATTGGAGTAGTTGTGATCTGTCTATTGTTTTTTTTTTGAAGAAATGCTGTTTTAAAAATAAGAATTTTTCAATAATTTTATATTAAAAGAAATAATATTAGTGTTTTTGTTTTATTGTATTTTATTTTAAACTCAAAAACAAGAATCATCAAATTTTAAAATAAAAAAAATATTATTTTAAATAAGGTAATATGATTCTTAAATACATTTATTTTGTCAAATAAATGTATTTTAGTTTTTATTTTATGGATATGTAGAATACGAAATTACATAAATTGAATTATAATCTTACAATAAAAAGAATTTAATAAGATATATTAACTTTTCATCTTTAAATATTTATTAAAGTAGTATTACAGATTCTACAATTAATAATTATGATAAATATTAAAAATAAATTATTAAAAATGAATTATTAAAATAAATTATAAACAACCATTTAAATAACTTAAATATAATTATAAAATATTTATGTTATTTAATATCTTCATTTAAATTGGTTATTTAAAAATTCTATAAAAATTTCTTGAATTTTACTTTTACTAGATGTTTGTATTCTATTAAGATTAATAAACTGATGCCTTATGGATTGCAATTTTGACAACGTAACATTATTCGGTAAAATTATACTCTAAATGATATTTAATAGATATTATTAGTCAAATATAGATCATACTTGATTTATCGAATCAATTTTTATCTCTGATTTCGAATCATTAATCGTTTGATTTTCAATTATTGTATTTATAATTTCTTGAGTAATTTTATTAAGTTCGAATAAATAGTCAGATGATGATAATGGTTTCTGAAAAAATTAATTTTTTCTCTAATCTATAAATCATCTACCACAAGAGTTGATGCATTAGGTTTGATCATTTTTGTGCTAGATAAGATTTTCCATATCGAATCAACAGGAAATGATAAATCTGAATATATTACAGTAAATAAAGGTGAATCCCATTTTGTCGATGAATTAGGCTCTTCATATCTCATCAAAAGCTCCTCAAATCTAAATTTATAAAAAAAAATATTAAAAAAATCAATACGCTTTACATGTCTTGAGGATATCCTAAAGATTTCCGTGTGTAATTCCATTTTCTACATATATCAATTGGAGTCCCACAATGAATCTTAAAACGTAAACTATAAAGTTCTATTTTACAGAGTACTTTACCACACAATAAGATGTACCACTATTTTTAGCCTCACAATACAATTGATATCTATAACCCTTAATATAATTCATCCCATCACATAATACAATTGTATTTTTATTTAAAGCACGCCCAACGGCTGAATACATTGCCGCTCTAGCAGCTTTCTCTTTCGTCGCATCTAATATAAGATATTTTTATTTAAAAAAAAGCTATAAAGCTACTTCCATAAGCATCCTTTTTGATTCCAAGAGATTCATCATTGACTAAAATGACTTGAAATGGGGGTTTTCTTTCATATAATTCTATCCTATTGCAAAGTGCTTTTCTAAGTTCAAGTGCTCTCCGAGTTTTTCCTGAAGAAGGATAACCTATAAGTAAATAATTAACATCATCTATAAGTCTCTCTCTCAAAAACAGAAACCTGTAAAGACAACTAATGGCATATCAAGGCCTAAAAGATTATTTTAAACAAAATAAATCAGAGATCATTCATCTTAAATGGTTACCTTAGTAAGCAACGAATAGTAATGTAAGGTAAAAAAATATACAACTTCTTTTTTTTGTTTTGTTTTTTTAATATTCTTTAAAATTTCATAATATTTTATCAGTTTTTAAATTAATTTTAGGAATTTAGATATTATAAAGTTGATTATTTTTATACCCGAAGATTTAAAATTTTAATGGCACCTTTAATATTTTGATAAATTATAATATGGTGTTTATATTCTTAAAAGATATCTTTTTCTATATATTTCTATGTATAAAATAATATTTTCATGAATTTATTTAAAAATGCTTAGAATATTATGGTTTAATTAGTTTATTGAATTTCTAAAAAAAAAAAAAAAGCTTCATGAAAATATTATTTTATTGTCTTGAAATTTATATTAAATTATGAATAATATAGTAAAAAATATTAAAAAAATTAAAATGTCTATTTTATAAAAAATTGATTACATAATCATTAGTAATTTCGATATCGATCTTCCATAAAATCAAGTTGGCACAAAAAACGATATTTAGAAATAAATTGAGAGAAGGAGGATTCTTCGACAACAAGGGATGTTTTTTGAAGAAAGATCTGCATGCTTTTGGAGATGTGCAAAAGCGGAGAAACTATTTTTAAGGCCATGGTTACTTAAAACGAATATACACCGAGAATTTCTCCAAACTTACCAAAAGCCATCTTCTACGCTTTGGATGCACCAAAATATAGGTAATCCCGTAGGGAAAAAAATACGAGAGATGACTCGTTCTACATCTTTTTTGAAAACTAGATCTAGCCCCAGAAAAGCAGCAATGACACTGGTAAATCAAATTTTAATTTTTAAGAATTAAATATTAGCAATATATTGACTTTTAATCAAGACTCCACGTGCAGTAGAAAGACTTAAAGAGCTTTTGAATCAACCAGAGCCAAAAATGATAAGAATAGGCACAAAACAGAAAGGATGCGCAGGTTTGTCATATTTACTCGAATATGTAGATGAGCCGGGAAAATTTGATGAGACAATAATCCAAGATGGTATTATTTCCTTCTTTTCTGGTATTTGTTATTAATAAATCTTTAGGAGTAGCCATTCTTATTGATAATCGTGCATTATTTACCATTATTGGTAGCAAAATGGATTGGATTCAAGATAAACTTGCAGCGCGATTTGTATTCGATAATCCTAATGCAACTAGCACATGTGGTAAGAAAAATCTTTTTATTGTTTAATAATAAGAATTTTTAAAATATTCTTTATAGGATGCCAAGGAAGTTTTTCAATCAACTAATATATAAATATTTTAACTAATTAATGCTTCTTATAAAGGACTCATATTTCATTTTTTCTTTAGAGTTTTAAAAGAAAACAAAAAGACCAAATTATAAAAAAATGATATTTCTTTATTGCATATTCTTCAACACGTCATCTTATCATTTTGGTATTAAAACATACTTTTGTTATAAAATCAAATTATTATTTTATGATTTAATAATAAAGTGTGTAATTAATTATTTCATAATAAAAAATACGTTATTAAAAAACATGAATTTATATATCTTTAGCCATTTCTAATTCGTATTTAAATATATATAATAATCTGAGCTCAAACAACCTAATTAAGATTATTTAGAAAAAAAAATCATATAAATATTTCATATTTTTATTAACCTGATCCCGATTTTAAGACATTTTAACTATTTTTATTATTTAAACAATATCCATTAAATAGTTTTAAAAGTGTATTCATTTTAAATAGCTTATAAATGTTAAATTTTATTTACTGTTATAATATAGTTCATATAGATAATAAGCTAAAAATCAATATATCAAAAAGCAAAAAAAACATTCTTAAAAAAATACAAATATAAACTTATTAAAAAGATTCATTAGCCAAAAGATAATTTCTAGGTAGTAATTCATTATAGAAAACAATCTATAAAGATTTTGACGCTGACTCGAAAAAAGATTTTTACGATACATATAACATTATCATTTAAAGCTATTACTACTAAATATTGTAAAGGAAATAGTAGACAAAAGACCTTTATATATATATATATAACATATACGGGATATATATAGTAATATATATATTTAATAAGTACTTGTTAAATATTTTAGATACTTAATATACCTACCTTCTTTATAAGTCTATAAGACATATACAATTAGTATATAGTATTAGAGAAGCAGATATATTTATTGCTAAGGATTTACGAGATTATTTAAAGATATTTAGATAACTTATTCTTAGCAACATGGGATGCAAAATCAGTACTCAAAATAGTATAGAAAAGCAACGCAATGAGGAAATAGAAAATCAATTGAAAAGAGATAAAATTATTATGCGTAATGAAATTAAAATGCTTCTTCTTGGTATTTTTTGTTATTGCTGAAAAAATATATCTTAAATATTTTAGGAGCCGGTGAATCAGGAAAATCAACAATTTTAAAGCAAATGAAACTTATTCATGAAGGAGGTTATAGTGTTGAAGAGAAAGAATCATTTAAGGAAATCATTTATTCTAATACGATTCAATCTATGCGTGTTATTCTTGAAGCAATGGAAGTAATGGATATCCCACTTGATGACCCAAAAAATATACAATATGTACAAGTCATTCTTAGTCAGCCAAATCAGATTGAAGGGGAAATACTTCCCCAAGAGATTGGTGAAGCAGTTATTTGTTTATGGAAAGATGCTGGTGTACAACAATGTTTTCGGAGATCTCGTGAATATCAATTAAATGACTCAGCAAAATAGTATGTTATTTGCTCAAAAAAAGTCTTATATTTATTTTTAGTTATTTTGATTCAATTGATAGAATCTCACGTCCAGATTATTTACCAACAGATCAAGATGTATTACGCTCTCGTGTTAAAACAACTGGCATTACAGAAACCACATTTATTATTGGAGATGTAATTTATCGTATGTTTGATGTTGGAGGGCAACGCTCTGAGAGAAAAAAATGGATTCATTGTTTTGAAAATGTGACAACAATTATTTTTCTTGTCGCTATTTCAGAATATGATCAATTACTTCTTGAAGATGAAACAGTAAATCGCATGCATGAAGCACTTACTCTTTTTGATTCTATATGTAATTCTCGCTGGTTTATAAAGACAAGTATTATATTGTTTTTAAATAAAATAGATATTTTTCGAGAAAAACTTTCTGTTTCTCCAATGAAAAATTATTTTTCTGACTATACAGGTACGTTTTATTGAATAGAAATAATTTTATAGGAAAAATCTTATTAATTTAGGGGGGGATGATTATAATGCAGCATGTGATTATATTTTAAACAGATTTGTTTCATTAAACCAATCCAATACTAAACAAATTTATACTCATTTTACATGTGCGACTGATAGCAGTCAGGTGAATAATTTTTTTTATATAAATCATTCTAACACCATTAGATAAAATTTGTAATGTCCGCTGTTAATGATATCATTATACAGACAAATTTGAGGGGTTGTGGTATTCTATAAAATATCCATGTATACCTTTTAAAACACTATATTTTTTCTATATTCCAAGAAATTTGATATAATCATGTCAATTTTTATATTTTTATATTTCATAATATCTAATTATTTTTATTTCTTTTATTGAAGAAAAATACATAATGTGTTCAAAAGAAGACATGCCTTTAGTTTGTTCATTTAAAGACATTTATCATCATGCAAGTCCTCATCGTCGTCGATTAATGTAATCTATTTATTGTTAAATCCTTTATATTGAACAATGTAGAATTGATACATTATTTACTGAATCTTCACCTGCTGATTTATGGTATATTCATCAAAAACTTATAAACAAAAAACCATATTATTTTGATATTCTTAGTCATTTACCCTATGAACTTTTAGAAATGATTTTTAAATACCTGGATGTAGAAGATATTATAATATTTTCAATGGTAAATACTGTATTTTTAATATCAAAAAAATAATATTATTAGGTATGCAAACGGTGGAATATTCTTGTTACATGCAATTCAGTTTCAAAAATGTTAATAACTATTTATTTTAATATCCAAACTATAGAAAATGCAAATAATAATTGGTATTCACTTTTTCAAAAATATGCAAAAAAATATTTAAGAATTAAGAAAGGAATGCTTAAGTCATTTAATATACTCTATCCTTATAACAAGGTAATATCCTGTTCTCTTTATACTCGATTACAGGATAATTATCTTATACTTTATAATCATTCTATCACTGAAAGTTCTAATAAAGGGATTACTTTATATCGCCTAAAACCAGGTATCAGTCAAAAAGATGCAATATATATTTCTACTGAAAATTATGGGGGAATTTTAAATGCTTCTTTGGATTCTTGTATTCTTGTAAGTGTTAATTATTTTGGGTATATTTAATAATATATTGTAATTATACCTATAATATTTATAGTGTATTTTATATATGGTCACTTAATACTCTGGAATTAATAGATACATTTAAGTTAGGGAGTTCTGATGTAGCATTTATGACTTGTCGTGATAATAATATTTGTATCAGCACATTTAGTAAGGTTTTAAGTGTCTGGAATTTAAAATTAAAAAAATTTATGTTCTATAAGACTTTAGAACAAATAGATCCTGTAAAAACAAATTTATTTATAGATAAATACTTATTATTTATTTAGAATTTACCAAAAAAGTGTAATGTTATAGCTATGGAGTTTTTAAAAAGAAATAACGAATTAATTCTCTGCGTTGAAAATATGTCTTCAAATAACGAGATTTTGTATTATCAATATAGAATTTATGTTTTGTTGTCAGATTGTGGACGTATATTACGATATGGAAGTTTAATGAATAAAAATATGCCGTTTAAAACTAATATTATCAACGAAGATGAGCTAATAATCTTTTATCAGTTTAACAGCGATCGATATTTAAAGATGGATTTAAAAACTATGCATATTGTCACTTGTTTATTCCATAAAAATCATATTCAAGAACTTGAATATCTTATTTATCCTCAAAATTCATTCATTATTAAACATCTAAAATCCATAGATAATTCTTCAGATAACGGTCTATATGTTGAAAAGTGCGACCCTGAAACTGGACTTCTTTTATCTAAAAATAAAATTTTAGGAAGCGAAAATATAATTTATAACCAACCTTGTTTAAAAAATAGAGATTCATTGCAAGGAAATAACAATTGGATTGTCTATAATCATCAAAATAAGGTTTTTCTGTGGGAGCTTTGATATCTAAAAAATGAATACTTGTGTTTAATAACTATAAAATATTTAAGCTTAAATAATTTTTAGAATTTTTATTTTATAAGTAAAAAACTGATTACAATTACCGTATCATATTATTAATCTACAATTATTTATTGGGATATATTTTTATTTACAATATTAACATTGTTTCATGAACTATACGATTTAATATTGAACGAGAATATTAATGCTTTTGATTTTTTTATGATTAATTTACAATGAAAACAAAGCAGACCTTTTTCTCATGCCTCCAAAACTGTAAATAAGGATAGAACTAAAAAACAAACCGACAGTAATGGCAATTGCAATTTGAATCATGACAATACCAAAAGACAAAGAATTAGGACTAGATGAATGCTCAACTCCAACATTAGAAATATTATAATCAGTAGATGAATTATGGGCAAAAATTTCATTTGATTCCCCTATACCGATATAAACACCTCTTTGTGCAGCTAAACCAGATGGAATTTGAACAAAGATTGCAGGTAAAACAACGGTAAAGGCTAGATCATGGCCAATCCTAGAATATATATTACCAAGACATCCTATTACAAAAGCCCTTATCAAATTAAAACAGTTTCATAATTGCAACTAACATCATACCCTATAGCATTAGAAACTTGAGAAGCACCAAATCTTTTTGAAGAAAAAAAATTTACGATGTATCCTGCACCTGCTATAATTACAGCAACAGGAAATTGCTGTGGTTTTGCTTGGTTAACAACTAAAATACTGTTTTTATTAGCTATTACTAACATAAACTACCAAGTTATGATACCAAGCAGTAAAGATAGGAACAGAAATAAAACGATATAAAATATCAATATTACTTTGACAATATGTTTCATTACTAGCTTTTCGATCCATTGAACCATAAATAACAGAACCAATAGTAATTCCAAAACCAAGAAATAATGAATAAATAATAGCATAGAATAATCTTACAGAGCCTGCAACTATATTTTTAGTTTGAAGTTCTAATGACCCGCACACTTTTTAAATAAGAAATAGAAAACCTTTAAAAAAACAACTTACATACTAAATATCCTGGCAATATGAGTGCAATAGAACTCTCTGCCATACTTGCAAAACAAAAAATATATTTTCCCTGATTTTTTCGATCTGGTATACTTCCAAAAGCTCTTGCGAGAAAACTTGTAATAATAGTAGCTGATATTTCAAAGGCATTTGCATACATAAAACTTCGTGGTGTAACAACTACTCTTAATAAACCTAAAATAGTGCCTAAAAGAAAGGAAATAGGCATATCAAACCAAGATGCATTAAATGCGAAAGGACCTACTAATGCACTTGCAAATCCATAAAAAAGAATTACAACCCAATTCTTATAATACTGTTTTCGATTAATTACTTCATCAAGATTTTTCATTGCTTCTTCAACTCCAATAAGATCATGAATTACTTGTTTATAAATAAAATGAGTCTCCTGTAACTTTCCGATATCTAATCCTTGATTGACACGAACAACATGCATATCTGACGTATGAGTTATCAAATCACCAAAGGAAATAATCATGCATCCTGGAATATATAAAAACTGGCCATCAATCTCGAGAACTCTTGATGTTAATTTCATGCATTCTTCTAAACGATGCGTAGGACTTCCGTAAAGCATTAATGCATGACATAGCCTCAATATAAATTTTTGTCGCTGTAAAACATCTGCTAAATGTATTGTAATACGAATCTCATCCTCCAATCTCGATCGGGAAAGACTATGTTTTATAGCATTAGCTAGTCCACTACTATGCTTACGTAACTTATATGGAGGTCGTGACGATTTTGATAATCCAGAACCAGAATCATCACGATGGATATTTAAAAGACCAGGAAGTGCAACAGTCGCTGACGATGTTGCCAATAAAGCAGATAAAGAAGTTGATGAACTGTTGGTCGATTTACTATGCCATTTAGGCGTACTACGGCCTGTACCCGGCGGTGTTATATTTATATTTTGGCGATTAAAATGTATATTATCAGAATTATATCTATTTTTATTAGTATCATTTTTTATATAAAATTATGTTATACAATTTCAAAAGATGAGATAACACTCCTCCCCGAAAACCAGATGCTTGTGTTGTATCTTCCCCCGGTATACGTGTTGAATCGTCTGATATATCTGATCCTTTTAATATTTTTTTCTGACGATATGACTCTCCACGTAAATGTGAACGCACTAGATCATATGCATATTTTGTTAATGAATAAATTTCTCTCCCACGTTTTTTCCCCGTTTTTTTTTTAGATGAAGCTGCTGACGCTTGTTTATTCGATGGTTTAGGAACACACTGTTCAAATTCTTCAGGCACAGAAAAAGTAGAAGGAGATTCTCCACTCAAAAAAGGACTGCTCGAAACTCTATGAGGAGGATCTAATAATTGAACACTTGGAATTTTTGTCTGTTGAGATTCAAGAAGTTGTGACGTATAAAGCGATAAAGGTGATATCCCTAACCGTTGAGATGATTCAAAAGAATCAAGAACAGGAGACAGAGGGCTTGATTCTGTCTCTCCGGGCAATGCAAGATGCTCTTTGGAATCCAATGCAGATGTTTCAACCTCTTCCTGAATATAAAAAGATGATACACGTTTATGTCTTTGAGAACTACTAGATTGTGTAGCTTCCTCTGAAATATGTGTTGACTCTTTAATAATAACTGATTCCATATTTTCTAAGTCCTCTTTCGCGTCAAACCTAACGCGATGTATATTTCGTTTTTGTCTACGCTTAGAAAGATCTTCAGCACATGATTCATCTGGAATATCTCCTGCATCTGAAGAAGTATTGCCTGCTTGTTCTGACATGAATTATATTTAAGAGGATGTCCTTAAAAGCTTCTTTCCTGTAATTATCTTATCAAAATTAAATATCAAAAGTTGCTACGTTTAATCAAGATGTTTGGGTTTAAAAAAACGAGGGTTAGAGATATATATAAGGTAATTATAAATATTTATAAAAAAACTAATAGAGATAAAGTTTATATAAATGAAGTAATAAGTCTAAATACTAAACCTTAGTTGATAAGATATGGTCAATTAATATATTTTGAAAAAGTTTAAGATACTTTTAATAGATCATCAGCCCCATCTTGAGTAGATTCGGTAGAAAAGATGATATTCTGCCGTTGCACACCAGCATGCAATATTTTATTGATAGCTTGCCTGCGTAATCTGAGAGAAAAGTTTTTATTTTCGGATTCATTAGGCGAAAGTAACTCTTCCATAGGAGGAGGACCACGTGGTTGACGATAGGGAACTCCTTCTTTATTTAAAGGAGCAGAATTACCATGAAATCCAGTTTCTGAATTAACATTTACAGCAGATCCATTGGTATTTGTATGAAAAACCGGAAAATATTTGTTTTTCTTAAGATTCGAATTTTGAGAAAAATAAGGAGAAGCAGAACCAGAAAAAGCTAGGGAATGAAGTTCTAAAGGACTGGAATAGCTAGGAAGTCCATAATGCGATTCGTGAACCATTGGAGAATAAGGAGAAGCATGCTGTTCTGATATATGATTTGGAGAAAAGCCTTTAAAAAACGCACCAGAAGCGGTCGGAGGGGCAGGTTTTACTTTTCTTGATTGACATGAATATTGCTGAGATAAAATAGGTTGTGTAAAGGATGAATCAGAAAATAATAATGGAGAATATTTTTGTCGAGTCATTCCCCTAAATTCATCAAAGTTATGCTGATAAGGCGTAGATGGTTCTGAGACAGAATTTACAGGAAAGCTTGCTTTCTGATAAGTGGATAAGCCAAGTCCTTGTGCTGTCCTAGGTGATAAAGCAAGCATATGTGGGTAAGTTGAAACCTGATATTTATTAATATATATAACTTAAATTAATTTCTAACAACCCCCAACTGTCTTGCATCATATACATCTTTCCTATAGACATTCTGAAACTAATATAATGTTATTTATTAATATATATTTATAAGAAAAAATACATACAGGAGCATACGTCTCCTCATTTTTTTGACTTCTCAACTCATGTTCCGCTTGTTTATCCAAACATGGAGCAGTGCGCAGTCCGGCTAAAAGATACGAACGGGGAGTATTCAAAGGTGTTAAATTTGGTGATGATGCATCTATTGTGGCATCAGAAATAAAGGATGAATTCTTTACATTGTGAAATCCTTTATAAGAAGCATATTCACGTTCTGAAGTATTAGATACATCACTATTTGTTACTGTATTGTTGGTCATCAAGCTAGAATTTAGACGAGACAAGACATCCAGTGTCTAATAAATAATAATCTGAAAAAATTGATAAAAAGTTAAACTAGATGACAAAAATGTTTAAAATATAGAAAAAAATAAGAAAATATTTTAAAAATGCCGATATCCCTTTATTTTATGTAGTTAATTAGTTTTCTTTAATAAAAATAGATCGCATATTTTTTTGATAAAAATAAGGTTATAAAAAACATAAAAAGGATTAAAAAGAAGGAGGTTTTAACTAATAGAAAAACATAAGGCTCGTCAGCATAAATAGATTATAAACTAAACGTACTCTTTTATGTTATTTATTAACGTTTTTAAATTTTAAGATGGACGGAGCTTTCACAAGGGTTGACAAAAAATACAAGAAATAAAAAAATGTATATAACCATCTTTATAACAAAGAAATCTTGTACATGGCATACATTCTTCAAATAAAAAATATTTTAGTGGTGAAATATGAAGATTCAACATGCCTTATGAAAAGTGAATAGATATTGAATAAATGATGATGTAATTTTAAAAAGCAAAAACTCTATACAGATGAATTATACCGATTTGGACCATAATATACACGATTTATAAAACACGACTCATAAAGAATAACCATTTCCAAAACGCTATTTTAACCTTTGAAACTCAATTTTTTAATTTACAAAAAAATCCTCAGTGCTTTTTTACTCGTCACGTCTTGTAATTTCCCTAAGCACGTCCTTTATATTTATATCACTTGTTCCTGAATTAACTTGAGCTTGTTTCTCACGTTCTTGAATTGCTTTGGCAACATTGCTTAAGAGTTGTGTTGCATAGCGATTCGAGACTTGGGTAAAAGAATCTATAACGTGTAAAGAATGATAAAGTCTATCGACTTTAAATTCCAAATTTGCTTTTTCTGATTTAAGCCATTCCAATAATTCTGAATGATCAATTGGGCAATCCAATTTAATGTCTTCTGAAGGAAATAATACGCCATTAGCAGCAGTTTCTGAAACAATGTCTTGTGGATTCTCGAAATCTCTGTTGTTTTTGCAAGATAGAAATGAAGTCTCAAGCCTATTCCATGTATTTATTTCCTCCTTTAACCTAATTTCTATAAATAAAACAAATAATCTCAAACAATAAACACATACCTAGACAATTTTTCTTCAAATTCTTTAATTTTTTTTTGATTTTCTATATTCCTCGGGTGAGGCTTTGGTTTTATTAAAATATCTTCTTCCTAAAAAATGTATTATTACTAAATAATAACATCTTTTTTCAAATACCTTTCTATTATACCAACTTGGGGATAATTTATTTTCAATTAAATCGCTTAGAATTTCTTCTTCAATTGTCCTAGCTATATATCTTTAGATAATTTTTTTTTCATCTAAATATACCTAAAGAAGCTGCACGGGAATCTTTTCCAAGCCCGCTCATCTTTTGTTCATCTAATGCACGTTTTGCACACCAAATCAATAATTGTTTCATTCTGACTGGCTCAGGTAAATCCTCTGAAATATGTTTAAAAAAACTCTCATGACTAATACTTGGATGCGGTAATGCTAAAAATCACTAATTTAATAATATCGTAGATATAACATTTACTTTCTACCTATAGATCCATTTGCAATAATAGAACTTGCTCGTTTTCCACGGAGTCCAAGGCTACTACGTCGCCGTTGACGCAAATCTCGATTTTTTTCAATAACTGGCGTATCACATGTTGGTAATTTAATAAAACTATCCATCATATGCATAGAAGAATGTGTAGATGTATCTCCATAAGATTCTTGCATCTCAGGTTTACGTGTACGCACAAATTGAAATCCTGAATCTTCCTCATGTATTGCTAAATATATCGTTAAATTTTAAACATAAAAATAAAGCTCCTACTCGTCTTTAACTAAACTCTCTTGTAAGTTAGTCATATACATTATGTTGTTCTTACACATCGCACATCTTGTAAGGCCTTACATGGCCCTGCTGCATTAAAAATTCCTTTTTGAGGCATAAAAAAAATAAAGAATATGCAAGCAATGGATTCCTAGTAAAATACGTGCGTTATAAAGAAGTTTTAATATGTAAAATAGCTTAAAATATCAATTCAATTTATACTGATAGATCTGTTGTTGCCCGAACGATGTCAAGGTTTAAGATAAAAAGAATTTAACCAGCCGCTTCAAAAAAGAATTAGAAAAATACATATTTAGAAGAATAGGAAACTAAAATAAACATTTTATTTTGTATCTCCAATTGTATCTTTTTTAATGTTTTTTTGTAATTTTTTTTAAAAAAAAAAAAAGAAAATAAAATATTGATATTTAAAAGATTATAGTGAAATAATTTGATATAGATAATTTTTGAAGTAGAAATTAAAAAGAGAGTATTCTTTATCTGTGAAATGATTTAATATTTATTTTTATAGATTTTTATAGAATAAAAATCAGTTGTAATAAAATTATCGGTAATATTTGTTAGGAATCCATGGCATTTTAATAACAGTTGCGTTACGAAGCTTCCCACGGACATTTACTGCTACATTTGTGTTTTTTTTGTGATAACCAGTTTTGATATAGCCCATAGCAATATTTTTTTGAAGAGAAGGAGAAGGACAGCCTGAAGTAATTCGTCCAATCGTTTCCGAGCCATCAATATTAAGAATTATAGCACCACCTATAATAATTTGTCAATTTAAGAAAAGTATAATGAATTTCTTACATCTTGCTGGTGCTTCTTTGACAATTAAACCAATTCTTCGCTGTTGTATCCCTTCTTGTAATTGCTGTAAGATCCTTTTATCTCCTAAAAATCCACCTTCGGCACGTCTTCGTTTCCCAATTATCCAGGAAAGACTTGCTTCAACTGGCGTTACCGTATGATCTATATCTGTGCCGTACAAACACATGCCCGCTTTTCCATCGTCAATATCCTATTGAATAGAGGAAAGTAAAGCAAATTCTAACCTTCTAAACGAAGCGAATCTCTAGCTCCAAGACCTGATAACTTTAATTCTTTAGTAGTAGCTAAAAGTTCTTTTAAAATAGAAACAGCATTTTCAATAGGAATAGAAATCTATTAGGGGTTATACAAAAATATATATCAATTTATTCACTACTTCAAATCCATCTTCACCTGTATATCCTGTTCGAGAAATATGAACATTTGATCCTGCAAGTTTAATAAAAAGACATTTTCCGAACTTTATATTTGTAAGATCAGTATTTGTATGTTCCTGCAAAATATCGGCTGATAATGGCCCTAAAATATGATTATATAATCTAAATAAAAAAATATGTCTTGCCTTGAAGTGCCAATAAACCCCTATCTTTTAATTCTTTGAGTTGGACATTTGAATCACCCCATAAATCTAAATGCTTCTTAAAATATGACTTATTTTTTTCACGTGTTGCTGCATTAGTAACTAAATAAAATTCATCTTTGTTATGACGATATATCATTATATCGTCTTCAATTCCTCCATTAGAATTTAATAAAGTAGATAACAAAGATGAATATAAAGGCATTTCATTTATATCTGAAGGTGTTAAAGACTCTAAAAAAGAGATAGATGATGATCCTGAAACGCTAAAAAGCATAAAAACATCTCCAAATTATTCATCTTCAGTTACTTAAGTTGAAACTAGCCCAATCAGTGGATTCATCATTTATAATTCTTTAAACCATATGAGACACATCAAAAACACCTGCTTTGCTGCGAACATGTTTATGAGACTCCAAAATACTCTGATCCATATATCGAACCGGCATTAAATATCCTGCAAAAGGGACCATCTGTCCTCCATGTTCCACATGAAAATCATAGAAAGGCGTTTTTAAAAGCCTCGACTAAATCGAATTAATATCAAGTAGATATTAAAGAATCCTTTACTGTCAAAGAAGTATAGAATTTAGGAAATAAACATCTTGATGAACTTTTTGATTTTAAAACATAAAATGCACGTTGAAAGTACATTTTAAAAAATATGTAGAAAATCGATTTTCAATAGCTTTTAGATAAAAAATAAAAAATAAGATTTAAACTATTAGAAATTTTCTTAGATTTAAAAATAAACTAAGAACACAATTTTAAACTCTGTCAATCTAATAAGACAAATAAAGTATTAAGTTTAAAAGAATGAAACAGTTAAAACCAATATTATGCTTAAAATAAAATTTAAGCCTATAATTCAATAGAAAATACTATTAAGAATAATTTTGTTAAAAAAATTTTTAAAGATTAAAAAATTAATTTAAAGTAGGTGCTTCAGACGCTTGTAAAAAATTAGAACAAGCCTATAATTATGTTATCAGTTTTTCTTTAAGAAATAATAGATACATACAGGTTCTAAAGTTGAGGGTTCAATTAAAGGTATATATTTATGATGATTATATAAAATGTTGGCTATTTCTCGTTGAACATCAGTAAATGTTTCATAAGAAATATAAGGAATTGCATGTTTGATACAATATTTTTCAAGAGAAAAACCTTTTCGAGCAAATAAGATATCTACGTTTTTTGCAACAGAAAAATCAGAAATACCATCTCCAATAAATATTATGAGTGGAGATAATTCTTTTGAATCATTATTTGAATATTTTTTTATACAATTTTTAACCGATGCTGCTTTATCATGGCCAAATGGAGTATTGTCATGCCATATTGGTTTCCAAATTCCATTTGAAGTGACTTCTACATCGTTTGCAATAATTCTAATATGTTCAGCCTAAAAAAGGTAAAAAAAAAGACAGTTTATGACGTTAATCACACCATTTCAACCCCTAAAAACTTAGATAAAGCTGCTTTAAGTAAAGGATGAAGTCCAGATGAAATGATCCAAAATGGAATACTAAAATTTAAACAAAAATCATAAAAATTGTAAAATCCTGGATCTATTTCTAATTCTTGCATAATTATATCAATACCTTCTGTCAAAGGAAGTTTTAGATGTCCCCATAATTCTTCTGAAATATCTCGAAATGTTCGTTCTCCACGATGAAGTGCCTCCTCAAGTTTTTCTTGCTTTTCAGGACTATATCCATAACGATCGAACAAGATCTTTCCAGTATCTTGAATTACAATAGTTCTTAAATAGTTAGTAATAATTAAATAGAGAATTTGAGCCTGAAATAGCTAAAATACTGTATTAAGTCTTACCCATCAAAATCAGAAAATACAAATAAATTTGGTTTATTTTTGCAAAGATCCGTATTTCCGAGGAAAGATTCGTTCATTTCGTTCATTTCTTTATCTTGTTTTCTAATTAAATTATTCAGATCGAATTTATGCTGTCATAATATCTTTTATATGCATCGTCTATACGGTGTCTTATGCAGAAAATATAGATTTTTAAGACTATTAAAACACTTTATTAAGACTTTAGTTGCGTTAAATAGGTATTTAAATTATATTTAGATGTTTATATATAGGAAAAACCTAAGTGAATATAAGTAAAATATAGAATTATACATAATATATATAGTTTTGTTTGCTATATATATCTTATTAAATTACTAGATATAAAACAAAATAGGGACATGCAACCGATATTTTATATTTTTGAGGTCTATTTTTACAAAGTATTCTAGATATTCTGGAAATTTATTAAACATAAATTCTTATGTTTAATCCTTTCGACATGCAGATTTATTTGATTCAGGTAAATAATTAAATTAAAAAAAAATAATTAATAAAAATTTAAAGTATTTAATCCTAAATATCATTTATATGGATTTATAAACATTAACTCAGAAATTTATAGAATAAAGATTAAAATATAAAAAAAGGATTTAGAAAAAACAAGTGTCATGACACTGGTAACCATGGTAACAATCAGTTGCCTTGTTCATTATGTATTATGAAAATGATGATTTAAATATTTTTATTCAATTATTTGTTCATTCAGAAGCTTTTTCTCGTTTTTTTCTATAAAATAAATCAATGTATAGAATCTTAGTTATTTAGATATCTGAAACAGATTCACATAATTCATCAAATAATGCCGACTGACGCATCATTGATGTTACCCATTCATGTGATGGATGATGTAATGTCAATAGCCTATTCCAATTAGGATTTTTTTGTAGTACTTTTCTCAGCTACTCTATATATACAGAAGTATCTTTGCCAAGAAGTGTTGCTGTTACAATTGCATTTGCTAACGCATCACCATCATGTGGTGTTAGTGTTAATACTTGTGCCAATGTTTCCTCTGCATCTTCTAGTCTTCCTAACTGTAATTCTGCTACCGCTTGTCCTGTTAAAGTCAATGAATTAGGAGTTGTCTGGGCTAATTCTTCGTAAATATAAAATGAATTTAGCGCTGCTTGACCACCCTGGTCACTATTAGAGTTATCATCTTCTTGTTAAATATACTTTATATAAATCAATCCATGCTTCTGATAATTGAATTATTATATCATCTGAAGCCCAAGTCCTAGCTATTTCTAGTTCTTTTTGTGCTTCCTTTAACTGATTTTCCTTAAGAAAAATTTGTATTATCAATGCTACTCTATAATTCTATTTAAAAAGAAGATATAAAACAGTTATATAACAAACGCCTCCACATTCTCTGAATGTCCCTTTAAAAGTTCTAGTGCTTCCTCATATTGCTCTTCACGATACAATACATGCCCACCCAAAACTTGTACCGTTGCATTTTTCGATGACGTTGAAATACAAGAACGAATTTCAGATATCCCTTGTTCTTTATCACCCTCTTCATACAATACCCAACCGCGTAACGCTAAAAACTCGGGCGTTGTCTCATTTTTAAGCTCCCAAAGAATTTCATTACCTTTACCCAACATTCGTTGAGCTCGTCCTTTTAAGATACGAGCTGCTTGATTTTCTCCTAAGTCTTTTTCAAGAAGAAGATTAAAACAACCCTGGTAAAACAGGTTTCTTGCTTGAAAAAAGTCTATTTCAATATCCATCATGAAAATGGAGGTTTGTCGGGATTAAAAATATATTGAAATTAAAAAGCTTTAAAATAAGATAAAAGTATTCAAAAAACTTTAATATATATATATAGATAGATAGATTATATTAGAAGCTTTTCAATATCACAAGCAATATTTTCTGGTTTTGTAAAAGAGGAATAACGGTTTACAACCTAATAGAATATTAAGATGAAATGAAAAAGGAAAAAATATAAGAAAACATACTTCACCTGTTTTATTTATTAAAAACTTTTCAAAATTCCACTTTATTCGGGAAATATTAAGTAAACCTTTCCTTAGAAAATCAATAATAATAAATAAGATGAAAATTTTTACTTTTGATTTTTAAGAAATACATAAACAGGATCAGCGTTATCTCCATTGACTTCAATCTTATCAAAAATAAGGAATGTTACATTATATTTTCGAGAACAAAATTCAATAATTTCTAAAAATTAGCTTTTTATATAAGCAAGTAAAAAAAAACCTTCATTTGTTCCAGGTTCTTGATTCCCTTATAAAATATAAATAAGTAGATAAGATAAAGTTTTTTTCAAACCAAATTGGTTGCATGGAAATGCAAGAATCTCCTAATAATTTGTCAATTATATATTTTAAAGTTGAAATCATATACAAAGCCGGAATCTTTATATTTTTGATAAAGTTTTTCAAGATTAGAATATTGTCTAAGCAATAATCAAGAAAGAATACAAATAAATATTATTTTACGATGTGAAGCCACACTAAAAAAGTTAATGTGATATATATTTAAATTTAACCTAATACCTTAGATGCTACATTCCTATAAAAATATTAATTTGTAAGCATAGTAAATAAGGATAACATACACTATCAAGACAACTTTATTTCTTAATATATTGAAATCATATGCTTGATTATTGAGTGTAGGCTTTAAATTATAAAAACTCATTAAGAAAATATAATAATTATAAAGCAATATTTATAAAATAAATATTCAAGTCAGATCTAAATATATTAGTTATTTTTATATTTATATTTAAGAATAATTATAAAAAATAAATTTAAATAACCCTGAAATTTTAAGAAAAATATGAATTACAGTAGGTTATATATTTAGTTTTTGGAAAGTTTTAAATTTATAGACTTTTATAAATATAATGAGTAATTGTTTTCTAGAAATTATATATATTAAGTACATTTTAAATCATATAATTGTTTAATATTAAATTCCTAAATATTATTAATTAGGCATTATTATAATTTCTTTAAGAATAAAGAAAATAAACTATTTTTAAAAATCTTATAGTTATTTGAGCTTTTTAATTATTTTTAAAATTTGATTATTAAAATTAATTCAGAAAAAATAAGACAAGATTAATTGATTTGTTAATACTTTTATTTTTTTTAATCTATATTAAAAATTTATCAAAAAATTCATAAAAAATATTCTTCATATATTTTTTTAGCAATTCTAATAAATATTTCCTGAAACAATCTTTTATAGATAAGTAATGTTTAAATATTAATTTCAATTTAATGATTTTATTATCTTTTATTCCTTCATTTTAAAAATAAATCATGAATAAATTATATTAATTGATTAATTTTCTTTTTTTATAATAAATCTTTTTATAATCTTTACTGATATTGATTATACACAAGAAAATAAATCATTCAATAGAAAAACATTCATTTCAACAACTTTTCCACATTTTTTTTTAAAAAATAAAAAGAAAAATTTAATTATTTTTATAAACTTAAAATACTATTAAACACTTTATTATTAAATATCAATTAAAAATATTAGTATTTTGATTCCGAATTAATAAAAATCAAAAACTACTAAATCAAAAATATATTAAATACTTTTGTTTGATTGATTCAAAATACTAACACCATCTAAATGTCTAAATATTCCTTAAAAAAACTTCATGTAGCAAAGCCAATACCTAACCCTAACAATAATTCTGTTTTATAAACGAGTCTTGAAACTTTGAAATAACTAAAACGTCCAATCATGTTATCCATTAAACCATTAATAACTCCAACTTTAATAAGTAAATTATTTGATCGATTTCCTTTACTTCACTATGATTCTATTCAGGTCCAATCACCTCTTGATACATCATGTAATTTATTATTTATTCAATCTGAAGAAGCATTAGAACAAAAACCATCATATGATCTTGAATCATTAAGATGGCAGGTGAAAACATTATAAAGTTGAAAAAATATACTTATAAATAGACAGACATATTTTATATTTTCTAAGATCCCTCATGTATTAGTTCCTTCAACACCCTATGCATCATCATCAAATAAACTACCATTCTTTATACCAAGTAATTCATCTATACCCTTTGCTTTGTCATCTACAGAATTTCAAAATTGGCTTTTATTACAAGGAGTTAAAGATTTTTCTGAAAAGGAACCATTACTGTCTGCAGATACAGATAGTTATGTTTCTTTGGTTGAAAATACACTTTATGATGCATGGGTAAGTAAATATTTATTGAATATATTATATATATATATAATTAGTATTATGGATTTTTTATAGAACCAGAGAATTTTAAGCAAGTTACAAGTTTATTATATATTAAAGATGCCTGGCCTATTTGTATTTTTACTAAATGGCAATTTCAAAATCAAATTAGAAAAAAGCTTTCCGTTAGACAAAAAACAGGACTTTTAAACGCAAAAGAAGTATTTTTAAAGAATTATATAAAAAGAATAATAAAATAATTCATATAGATTTATGCAGATGCTTCACATGCCTTACATGCACTTTCTGTTAAATTGGGTCAAGATAAATGGTTTTTTGGAGCAGAGTAGGACAAATTCAACATCTTTTTTATACAAATTAATTAATATAATACAGAGATCCAAGTTATATTGATGCGACCCTTTTTGCTTATACACATCTAGTCTTATCAATAAACTTGCCTGATGATACACTTGCTCATGAAATAAAAAAACATGAAAACCTGGTTAAACATGCAGAAAGAGTCTTAAATATATGTTTTCCAGAGAAATAAATTTATAAAAAAAACTTTAAATGTAGATACACTTAATATAAATATAACTCTTATATCTTATACAGAACATACATTAAAAATACATTCGTTTTTTGACATAAAGAAATTATGCGTTTTTCATAAATTAAATAAGGGAAGATAAAATTAAGCCAAACGTATATATAGTTTTGAAATAAATACTATTAGTCCTAAATTTTAAACAAAAGCCTTGATAGATTCCCATAATTGGGCTTTAAAACATCAATGCTGCACCTTTGGTCTTTTTATCCCCGCCCAACTTTTTTTTTTACAAATAAGTTTGTTCAAAAAAAAATTCTCACCTCAAAATGTTTGCAACGTTTTAAAGGAATTTGTTTTTTGCGTTTACAAACAGTGCATTCTAGCTTCAAGACCACTTTTTTAGTCGTCTTTGCCTACACAATACTTAAAATAATGTACTAACTATTAAAATAATAAACTGACTTTTTTTCGAAAAATCTGCTTTGTTTGACCACCATAACCTCTTTGTTTCCGATCATAACGTCGTTTTCCTTGAGCATACAGAGAATCTTTTCCTTTCTTATATTGCGTTACTTTATGTTGTGTATGTTTTCGACATTGTTTTGCTTCACAAAATGTGCGTCTTAATTTAGGAATATTAACCTATTTTAAAATTAGTATTTAAATTCTTAAAAAACAACTCGAATGTTAGCTTAAACATTAACTTATTTCTTAATTCGAGTTTAAATTATATCTAATTTTATTTCTAAACTTACCATTTTTTTATCGTTTCTTAAAAAAATTATTTCAACTTTATTTAAAAATATAATTGCATTTAATATTATTAATAAAATTTAAAAAAAATTAAATGGAAAAAATAAGACAAAACCAAGAGATTTTAGAATCAGAAATAAAATTAAGAATTCAGCATATTTTAAGCCAAGCATTTGATAATTTATCTTCATACGATCCAGTAAATATGCGTGAAGGTCAACGTAGTATTGAATCATTAATGGCAGAGATTTGTCTTGGAGGGAAGCCAGGCCTTAAAGAATTTTGTGAATTACAAGATGGATTTGAATTAAATAGTAAGGAGGAGCAAAATTATTAGATTTTATATCTAATAAATGATAAAGTAGCAACACAGTTAATTACATGCTTAGAAAGATTATTAGGAAAAGATACAAGTAAGTTTTTATTAACTAGTTTATTAAATATTTAATATGTCAAAAATAATGAAATAATTGTTTTAATAGATTAATGCTTATTAAGTATAGATCATCCAATTTCTTCACATATATGTCATACGTTAGAATTACTTCAGGGGAGTTTATTATTACATCCAGCGTCAAGAAGTCTTTTTTCTCGTCATATTAATATGAATGTATAGAATACTTTTAATATTTAATATATATTTATTTTTTAGATTTTACTTGATCTTCTTGAACCACAATCAGAACCAGAAGTTCATATCGCAACACTTGCAACACTGGTAGCAGCATTGGTGGATAATTGGGATAATGTTAGAGTAAATATATATTTTTTATATTTTATTATTTAGGCAAACATAACTAGGTTTTTGAATCATTAAATGGTCTAGCATCGGTGGCGTCGCTTATGAAATCAAAAAATTCTACACAAAAAGTCAAGTATCATTTATCTATAATTTTATTTTTACTGATTATCTAGACTTAAAGTTGCAGAATTCCTTTATTTCTATCTTATTCCAGAACCCACTTTTTCAGGGCCTATAATTAACAAAAAACTAAATATACGTCGTTCAACTGAAGAAAAGGAACTTATGCTTGCAAAATATTTACATAACGTACGCAGTCTTGTGAAAGATCTACAAGAACTTACACCGTTTGGTGAATTATAAATTTTTAAAATATAAATATTATATTACAAATAAAGTCGAAATACAAAAATATCTTTTAAGACACCTAGTACATATAGGATTTATAATACGTTCATTGTCATCATCGATTTTTATAAGGTTAAATAAACTCATAACATTATTTGTTAAGTCCTTTTTTGCTAATTATTATGAACATTATATCTATGAGATAGCATTTTTTTGCAACGACATTTTTTGGATATACTTTTTTAATATTTAAGCCAAAGAAATGCGCAGCAGGATTAACGATTTTTAAAAGGATGTATCTTTATAAGTTTTAGAAAGCATATTAGACATTTTTTTTTCTTCCATTTGTTTATCAAAAAATTCTCGAATAGCATCTTCTGTAACAACCTTTCCTTCTTCTGCATATGGTCGTAAAAATTTGCTCAATGCATCTTTCATATAATTATACGCAATAATACCTTCAATTGCTTGAACACGAGGAAGAGAATTTAATGCTCGAACACCAGCATCAATTAGACTTTCTGTTATTCATATAATTAAAAGATAGACATCAATAATAAATATTTCTTACCATCATCACTATCTTCTGGTGGCTCATATGTCTCTTCCTCAGCCAACAACACCGGATTTTTAGCCATCAAAGCAAGACACTAATAAACTTGTTATTTTTTAATATAAATTAATTAAAAATTACTTGAACACAATGACATATACCAAGTCGAAAGTCATTTGAAAGAAATAGAGAAACATCTTCCTTAGGACCCATCGGTAGAATTGCCCAAGAACAAGATTGTTGAATATTATTTTCTGTTTTAAGTCTTTTTGGAGATAATTCTAGGAATTCATCATCATTCAGCTTTCGTTTCATATTTTTATCAGAATTTAATACGGGGATTTCTTCATTTGCAGTGGATGCTGTATTTAAGATATTTTTTCGTTCATTTTGATAAGACGGTTCATTTTTTTTATTACACACAAAGCCCTTCACATGTAGATATCTTTTCAACCAGGATTCCTTTTTTACACAGCTTCTACAAATAAAAAAATCATAATCATCACTATTTTTAATATTTTCCATTCCTATACATTGATCATGAAACCAATCTTCACATAACAAACATTGAAACATAGTACGTTCATCTGTTGCTGGATCATAATCAGCATCACACCTTATGTACTATTAAAGATAAAAAGATAAAAAGAAAACAAACCAGCAAAATTTTCCCTCAAAATTATGATTATATTGATTATCTGGATCGACTGGCGAATGTTCTTTACGAATTTTGCAAATCTCTGTTCCAAGTCGATCTGTACCACAATCACAGCGGAAATCACGTTTACAAAAAAGTTCAATCAGTTCATGGTCTAATATAACATCAAAAACCCAATTATAAACGCAATTTAATTTAATTACCTCCGTGACATTGAATACTACAAGAATAACAAATACCTCCTTTTTGACGCTCTCCGTTTACTGGAAAACACGTTTTACATACATACAAAGGCTGACGGAGACGACGATCATAAGTACAATGGTCAAAATTATATGGAAGACTTTCTCTAGCCTCTTCTTCTCTATATTTAGTACCAAAAATATGATAAATAATTGGCTTTTTTAAGCAGAAAAAAACCTACAGATGAGATTGTTCTTCAATATAATCAATAAGACTCATTTCTGATCCAACATGAGATTCTTGATCAGTTTTCCTGTCAATTTCTTTTCCTACCATTTTGTAAGTAATCATTGGCGATCGAGATACGTGCATTGAGTTTTAAATATTTTATTAAGAAGGATTGTGAATCTAATTATAGGAATATTCTAGTATTTTTAAGGAAAAAAAGTATATAATAAGTTTTTTTTAAGATGGTATTCTTTTTAAAAAAAAATTACATTTTTTTCTGACAAAAAATGAGTCAAATAAGCGCATACGAGATGATAGGGAAATTACCACGTCTAATGACGGTTCAATGAGTGAATTACCGTTTTCTTTACCACCAAGTAGTCCTCCTATGTTGAGCGGATTTGATATTTCTGAAAATGAGGCTTTAATTGATGATATGGTTGACAATTTAGATGATGCAGCAGAAGAGGAGGATGGGGAAGATCTTTTTGGAGAAAATATGGAACGGTATGATACCAAAAGGCTATTATAATGCCTTTTCTTTGAAGAAGGTTGTTTATCTTATTATAAAGGGATTATGTGCAAAATATTGAGCTTGATCATTATGATATTGATGAACTAGATGATGAAGAGGAATATGAGGCAATGGATCCAGCATTGCGACGAGAAGTTGAAGAAAAACTTAGAAGACGTGATAGAGAGTTAGAAAAAGCTAAAGGGCTTCATAAAACAACAGCATTTCTTCAAGATGGTAATAAAGTTTATATAAATTATTTAATCTTAATACAATAAAGATGAAAATGATTCACTTGATTTTTCCATAAGACGTAGACGTAGACATTATTATGATGATAAACAAGATGATATGAATGAGGAATTCGTGGAAGAACTTACATTGGATGCTCTTATGGATATTAAAGCAGATTCAATAAATGAATGGATATTAATGGATCCCGTACAAAATGCAATTTCACGTGAATTTAGGACGTTTCTTCTTGAATATACTGATGATAAGGGTACATCTGTATATGGTAATCGTATTCGAACACTTGGAGAAATCAACTCTGAAAGCCTTGAAATCAATTATACACATCTTTTAGAATCAAAAGCAATATTAGCATATTTCCTTGTTAATTCTCCATCAGAACTTCTTTCTATATTTAATAGAGTAGCTATGGAAACAACACTTTTACATTATCCAGATTATGAACGTATCCATAGTGAAATTCATGTTCGTATTATAGAATTGCCTAAAACCTTCACACTTAGGGAATTACGACAATCACACCTTAATTGTCTTGTTAAAGTATCGGGTATTGTTACTCGACGTACTGGAGTATTTCCTCAACTTAAATACGTTAAATTTGACTGTCAAAAATGTGGAATTGTACTCGGTCCATTTTCTCAGGATTCTAACACAGAAATAAAAATAGGATTTTGCCATAATTGTCAAAGTAAAGGCCCCTTTTCTCTTAATTCGGAAAAAACAATATATAGAAATTATCAAAAAATGATGCTTCAAGAAAGCCCAGGAACTATTTCACCTGGTCGTCTACCTCGTCACAGAGAAGTTATTTTATTATGGGATCTTATTGATAGTGCAAAACCTGGTGAAGAAATTGAAGTTACGGGGATTTATAAGAATAATTTTGAAGCATCTTTAAATGTGAAAAATGGATTTCCAGTTTTTGCTACAGTTATTGAAGCCAATCATATTAGCAAAACATATGATCAGTTTGCAGCATTTAGGTTAACAGAGGAAGATGAAAAAGCTATTAGACAATTGTCTAAAACTGAAAATATCGATAAAAAGGTAACATTTTATCGTTTTGTTGTATTTTATTAAATATCTTTAGATCATTGCATCAATTGCTCCTTCTATTTATGGGCATTATGATATAAAACAAGCTATTGCTTGTTCTTTATTTGGAGGAGTTCCGAAAGATATAAATGGTAAACATAGTATTCGTGGAGACATTAATGTACTTTTATTGGGAGATCCAGGCACTGCAAAGTCTCAATTCCTAAAATATGTCGAAAAAATAGCACATAGGGCTGTATTTGCAACTGGACAGGGAGCAAGCGCAGTTGGTTTAACAGCTAGTGTAAGAAAAGATCCCGTAACTGGAGAATGGACTTTAGAAGGTGGAGCACTGGTACTTGCAGATAAAGGTGTTTGTTTAATTGATGAGTTTGACAAAATGAATGATAGAGACAGGTAGTTGAAAATCTATATTATTTTAATGATATTTATTTTATTAAAGAACATCAATTCACGAAGCTATGGAACAACAGTCTATTTCTATTTCTAAAGCAGGTATTGTAACAACACTTCAGGCTCGATGCGCAGTATTAGCAGCTGCAAATCCTATAGGTGGACGATATAATACGACAATACCTTTTAATCAAAATGTTGAACTTACAGAACCGATATTGTCTCGATTTGATATTTTAAATATTGTAAAAGATACAGTGGATCCGGAAGAAGATGAAAGATTAGCAAAATTTGTCATTGGATCACATTTAAGAAGCCATCCTTATTACAGTCCTAACGCGGAGAACTTAATTGATCATAAACAACCTATGGGAGCAATTGAACCTATACCTCAAGATTTATTGCGAAAATATATAATGTATGCTAGAGAATATATACATCCAAAACTTCACCAAATTGACCAAGATAAAATTTCTAAATTATATAGCGATATGAGAAGAGAATCTTTAGCAACTGGATCGTATCCTATTACAGTACGTCATCTAGAATCAATTATTCGAATTAGTGAAGCAGTAAGTTTTCAAATATAATTTTTATAATTTATCTATTTAGTTTGCTAAAATGCATCTTTCTGAATATGTTAAAACACAACACATCGATTCTGCGATTAAAGTGATTGTTGATTCTTTTATTAGTGCTCAAAAATTAAGTGTTAAAAAATCCTTATCAAGAGGTAATATTTATACACAAATGTTCTATAAATCTAATGCAAGTAAAGCACTAGCTAAATATATATTACCTAAAAGTAATAGAGTTCCTATTAAAGCTTAAAAAACTCTATAACATATATTGCTGTTACATAATTTTTTACATATTTGTCTCGGATTGATCCTTTTTATAATCATACACATGGCAATACATAAATTTTATTCATATTTTAAAAGACAGTTTTTTATCATTGGATTTTATTATATAAAAATATTAATTTACCTTTCTAAATTTATCGTATATATCAACTTATATGTCTTAATGGAGGAAAATACAGAAAAAGTATTAATTAAACAGGGCGCAGAATCTGTAGCATATAAAACTTTGTTTTTACCTGAAATAACATGCTTTTTGAAAGTTAGACTTGCAAAGCTTTATAGACATCCGCTTTTAGATGAACGTTTGACAAAACATCGGATTAACATAGAAGCTAGGCTTCTATATAAATGTTACAAAGGCGGTGTTAGTTGCCCTTCTATATATTTTATAGACATAAAAAAAAGGGAGCTTTGGATTGAATGGATTGAAGGAAAAACAGTGAAAGATCAACTTATACAATGGGAAAGTAATATTAGCATGTATGAACAGGTTTACAAGCCAATCATGGAGTCAATTGGCCGTAATATTGGGTTAATGCATCAACTAGATGTTGTTCATGGTGATTTAACAACAAGTAATATCATGATTCGTTTACAATCTTCTCAACAGTCATTTTTGCCTTTAGCAAATTCAATAAAAAGCGATGAAATTGTAATTATTGACTTCGGTCTAGGATCTGTTACGCAAATGATTGAAAATAAGGCAGTAGATTTATATGTTTTAGAAAGGACATTTCAAAGCACTCATCCACAAAGCAGTTTTATGGTAAAAAACATATTATATTTTTTTATTAGTAAATTTCTTAGTTTAAACACATTATAGATGCATATTCAGAATCATGGAAAGATGCTAAACACGTTTTAAAACGTCTAGAACAAGGTAGATTTTTTTTACTCTTAGAAATCGACTTTTTTATATTTTCTAGTTAGATTGAGAGGAAGAAAAAGAAACATAGCTGGTTAAAGAAAGTATATGTAGGGAATGGATTCATCAAAATTCATATATCTTTGATAATATTAATTCTGATAAGTTTTAATCACAGCATTTTTTTATAAGCTATAATATCAATCAAAACAAATACTGTTCTAGAATTCAGATGAAATAATTGAAATCAAGATTTTATATTAAAGAAATAAATCTATAGGTGATTTTGAATAACTGAATCTTCGTTTTGATTTGAGGATAAATTATTTTAACATATAATGCTTTTATCAAAACAAAACTAAAAATATTCATCTGAAACATAGAAATAAAATATGGTATAAATAATCGCAAAAATTGTTCCTATTATCAAGTAATCTATTTTTTTTGTTTTGCAAAATATTTTTTTCACTAAGTTTTTAATATTTTAACAAACATAAAAATCCTTTTTATGAATCGTTTCTTTAGAATAAATCAGACAAATTTCGGTACTTAACTCTTTTCTTTTGTATATATTTTAAGTAGTTTTCTTTACTAGGTAAATAACACTATTTACGCAGCCAACGTGAATGAACTTAAGCCGATTTCTCTTTAGGGCACTTTAAATAATTACAAAAATCTATATTCTTAAAAAAGGCTGATGTTTTAGAATTTCTAATGGGTATTTCTTATATTTTCTTAGTAAGTCGTCAAGGAAAGATCAGACTTGTTAAATGGTTTATATCATTAAATTTAAAAGACAAATCAAGAATTTTAAAAGAAGTTTCCCAAGCAGTTATTCAAAGACGATCAAAGGCATGTAATTTTTTAGAATATAAAGGTTCATTTATTCTTTTTTTTCCGATTTTTTATCTTTTTTTTTTAAAATAACTAAGATTTCATTAGATACAAAAGTATGTTATCGTCGGTAAGATAATTATAAATCTAAGAAAAAAACACATTTTAATAATATTTAACCAGTTATGCTTCTCTTTTTTTTATTATTGGTATTGAGCAAACAGATAATGAATTAATTACTCTAGAAATTATACATAGATATGTTGAAACTCTTGATAGATATTTCGGCAATGTAAACACAAAACTATAATCAAATACAAATACTAAGACACTTAGGTCTGTGAACTTGATATTATTTTTAATTTTCAAAAAGCATATTTTATTCTTGATGAACTAATTATGGCGGGAGAAATGCAAGAAAGTAGTAAAAAAAATATTCTTAAGATTGTTTCACAGCAAGATATGTATGAAGAGCAAGAACAAGCTGAAGAATCGTTTAGTATTTTAAGCAGAAGTGTATAAAAATTAGTAATATGGATAATTTAATATTCATAAAATAATACATATTATTTCTTATTTTATTCAGCTTGTATATTATTTTAGAATCGATCCCGCATAATTCAAAGGCTTTCGTATATAAACATGTTATTTAAATATAAAATCAAATTAACTTAAATAGATGGGTTTTTTATCATATTTTTTGAAAATAGCTTTATATTTCTCAAGATTTTCCATATAAATCTTAAGATTTGAATTTTTTAATAAAAATATCTTTAAAATTTTTTAATTCTTTTTACTAGTTATCGGGATTTCTTATGAAAATCAATATTAAAAGTAAACATTTTTAATTTCTTTTTAAACAAAAATAACATATATTAAGGTTGGCATGCAGTTGCAAGTTGGCACTGGAATGTTCCTGCAGATGACGTATGCGGGATTTGTCGAGTTCCTTTTGACGGTTGTTGCCCTGATTGCAAAATGCCAGGTGACGACTGTCCAATTGGTAAGAATATTGATAAAAAAAGAAGTTTTTAAAAATATTAGTATGGGGGAAATGCAACCATACTTTTCATATTCATTGCATTATGAAATGGTTAAATACAGAATCATCTAAAGGTCAATGTCCTATGGATAGAAGGAAATTTGAGATTCGTACATAGAACTTAATTTAAAACTTATAAACTCTTAAAGGCTTATAATTTTCTTCGATAAATATGTTATATTCTGTTTAAAAACAATAAAGATCTATACAGAATATTAAATATAGATTTTTATCTAACAATTTATAACAAAAAAATATTAGTTTCATATAGCATCTGAAACTGATTCTATATATATAATTCTATGGAATGCACTCTTAAATGGGTCAAATATAACATTTAAAATATAGGTTTGAACTATAAACAATTTAAATACATATAGTAAAAAATATGTACAAGAAATGAGAATCCGAACCATAATGCTTATAATATTAATTATTCTTTTATTTTTTATTAAATATACGCTTAAATTGTCATTTGTATCTACATATAAAAAACAAATAAAAATTAATAACTCTAGTTATATCAAAAACCACAAATCATTTATTTTCATATTAATATATCAAAAAATCAATTTCGTATATTAAACTATTTTTTTCAACTCCTCACTTTGAAAATTAAAAAAAGAAAAAAAAACATAATTTCATTTCTAACTACAATAATATATATTCTTCATAAACAAAATGAACCTCTATATTTTTAATTATCTTATATTCTTTTTATCTCTTTATCTTTAGATAATCTATAATGAATAACGCGTATTGCTTTTAATAATACACGTCTTTGTTTATATATAATATTTCTATATTAAGTGAATAAAAAAAAATAAAAAAAAATAATAAAAAATAATAAAAAAATAAACAGCCATTATTGTTGTTATGTTTCAAAATGAATAGATTGTTTTTAGGTTTTAATTATTTTTTATTATTTTTTTACCTTATTTTTTAGAAATTTAGTTACGACACGAAGACCTTAAATAGTGAAACATAAACCTTTAATAAATTTAACAAAGAAATATGGCAATTTAATACAATTTTGTATAAAAGAGTGAATGTATACGTATATCATAAGAAATTAGGTATTTTTGTGTCATTTATTCCTCAAAATAACGTCTTTTGAAGATTTTTAAATATATAAATGCTAAAATAATGACATCAGTATCAAAGCTTCGGATAAGTAATATTTTACCGCCTATTAAATGCTCGAATTGCGAGGAATATGTCCAATTATCAAAAATGGGAGAGCATATATGTGAGAAAACAAAAGGTTTGTAAAGGAATAAGTGTTTTTTTAAAGTTGTTTACTAAATAATAAAAGAAATATACCAAAAAAATTTTAAGAATTATGCATATTCATCATCATTTCCTGAGGCATCTAAATCACCATTGGGGTCGAGTACGTTAAAATTAACAGATTATATGCGCGTATATATTGGAGTTAACGTTTATTTTTAGATAAAGAGATGAATGATATAAGTCTATTTACATCTTCACATAATAAATCAGTTTCTTCTAGCGAAGTTACTTATAAGGATGATGAAATAAGTAAAAAGGAGAATTGTCAAAAAAAGCGCCATATTTTTGAGCGTTTAAATACAGTTACACCAGGACCTTTAGGCTTACGTAATCATTCAGATCTTAAGAACACGAAATGTATGGAATCAGAACGTTCTTGTAAAGATTCTTTGGTACAAGGAGTACAGGACAAGAGTGCGAAAAAACGTAGTGCTAGACTTCAACCTTATAGATGGCCTAATAGTACATCAAGTCAATCTTCAATATCTATGTTTGATTCATCGCCATCAGAGAAAAATTGTATAGATTCAATGTCTCAAAAAAAAAATAAGGATGATATAGAAGTGAATTATGAGCAAATGATCTCGCCGACATGTGAAAATATTGAAAAAATATTAACATTGAAAGATAAATCGAATTTAACAGAATATACAAGAGACAGGAGCTCTTGTACAGAAAAAAAATCAAAAACAAGAAATGAGACACATTTACGTCAAAATTCGAGGAAAGAGTCAAGATTTCCGGATGAAAATAGCGAAAGATATTTAATAGAATGGGCGCGGAGAGATAAAGAGCTTTCTTCAAAATTTATTGAGAAAACACCAAATCCCGTTATATCAATTCAAGAATGCAATAATAAGAATATACATTCAAGACCATTTAATGAAAAGAAAATTTATAATAACAAGCATAGTTATTTTTTTGAACGAAATAGTAATTCTACCGCTTTTTCAACATCTAGTAATATTAGTCGAGATGGAAAGATATCTTCGTGTTCTATATCAAGTAAATAAGGCTTATTTATCCTAAACATTGACTAATATTTATTTATAGGTCCTAATTCTGAAATTTCTGTATCAAATCTTCAAAAGCAAAATGTTATTTCTAAGGACGAGCTACACACAGGATCTTTTGATAAAACGTTCAATGATCCGGAAAATTCTCTTCATATGTTTCATGCTCGTTCTGACGATATACTTGCATTTCATATTAATAATACTTCTCAAAAAAACATAATCAGAAATAAATATTTATCTGATTTTTATTGCAAAAGATGTAATAAATATATTGAAGGGAAATCTATTCGCTGTTCAGATGGAAAAATCTCTGGTAGATTTCACCGTGAATGTTTTAAATGTTTTAATCCGGTATGTTTTACTTTTTTTTTTAGTTCCCTTTAAGTTATTTTAGAACTGTCAAAATTTATTTACTACTTCTGAAGTCTACGTTTTTGAAGGTGAACCGTTTTGTTCCAAACATTACCATATTCTTAATAATTCCTTATGTACTGCATGTGGGGAAGGTATAGAAGGTAAATGTTTTCAAACGGAAACCAACGATAAATACCATTTTTATTGTTTTACATGCTATGTAGGCAATCTTATCATTTTAAACATTTTCTAATCCCTTAGTCTTGTAAAAAGCCTCTCAATGGTGAATATTTTGATATCGATGGGAAAACTTATTGTGAAAATGATGTTGCCAAGCTCCTTACTCTTAAGATGCTTCCATATCAACGTTTAGAGAAACGGAAGACTAAAATACTTACTATGGGGACATTTTAATTCGTTTTTGTTCGGTTTTGTTGGATTTAAATATTTTTGAATGTATATATATAGTACTTCGAATCTTAAAAAATGTATTCTTTTATACAATAATTTCTTCGAATATGTCATTTTTTATTGTATTTTTATATCTTTTAATAAAAATTTAATCGATCAATAAAAATTTATGGATTCTATTTATCTTCATAAAAAAGCCTTTATTGAATCACAAATACGTCTTCTTTCAAGACCTCTTGATCCACCCCCTAATTGGCGGGAAAATGCTAAACTAGATGAAGATGGGAATGAATTGTCAGAAACTGCTGTTATACATGCAATTTACTGCTGTTTGTTTTTTATAATATTATAAAATATTAAGATTTATAGTAAATGTATTATTGCGTAAGCAATATCGTATTATTTTCAGTTCTCAAGCAATTCGACATGTTTCTGAGCAAATTGATCGATTGTATCACTCACCTCTTGAAATTTCTTTAATAGAACCAGTAGAATGTGATTTTCAATCTCTTGAGTAAGAAAAGTTCATAATATTGGAGAAATAATAAAAGTTTTAAGAAATATTGAAAGACTTCCGTCTGTTTGGCCATCAGACGATGAAAAAAGCAGTGAAAAGTAGGTAAATATTAAGATATAAACTCATTTTAATGTATTCAAAGATATACAAATATTCGTGCGCGATTAATTTCACTTACAGTAGCTTTGAGTCATCTTCGACAAAAATATGCATTTTACGAATCAATTGAATCATCATTAAGACAGTTAAGACAACAAACAGATCTATCATCTCGTCTTTCTGTTGAACTTGAACGGACAAAGAAATTAACGGCAAAAATCAGACAAAAACTTAAGAAAAGTAACATTAAAGTAAAACCTCAAACACAAGAAACAGTGCCTGAATCTTTTATGGAGTTTTGCTCACGAATAAAACCTGATATCATAAATTAAGAATAAAATGAAATTATGAAACAAAAATAAATTGTAATAATAAAAAAAGAATTTCTATTAAAAATAATTCATTAATTCTTAAAAGGGACATCTTCTGTTTTATTATAAATGATTTAATCGAGAAAAAGCTATTTTAGTTAATTTAAAGTCTGGGTATTATTATTGATATCGGGTATATCTCAAAAAATAACTTCCAAAGCAAACAAAAATATTTAAAGCATAGCCTGAGGAATATAAATGATATCTAGGAGATATTCTTCCTCTCAAATATCCATTTTTCTAACTATATCTTGTTCAAATTCGTTATAAATACATCCTTTGTCACTTGATAATGCATCATCATCTTCTAATTCATCATCCATATGTCTTGAACGCTGGAAAGAAACTTTACTAAGATTAATATATAAAACTCTTTTCATTGTTCTATTAAAGAAGAAATAACATGTGCTCCATATTAATCCTTCTTCTCCTAAAGGATTAGAATCACTATCTGGCTGATATACATAAATATCACACTGAGACAGTTCAATATGCTTATCAATCACTTCCCAAAGACCAGATGTTGAAAATTGTTGCCGGCTTAAATTCAATAAAGTCATATTCAATACGTTTAGCGTCATCGCCAGCGAGCGCTCTTTACGAAAATCTTCCGGCTGAAGATTAGTAAAATCGTGATCAGGATGGGATGCATTCAACGTTGCCACAATATATGCAAACGTTTTCCGAGAAGATGGATGATCTAAGGGCCCAAAAGGTGACATTTGTTGTACCATACTAACTCCTGATTCTAATGATCTTTCCAGTGCTAAATCTTCTTGATAACGTGTTTCTAAGGATTTATCAATAGCTTTATAAAGCTTTTTATCCCTTCCTGCCGCCTTTTCTAATTAAATTTATGTATCTTAACAAAATGTTTTATACTTTAGTTGTATATAATTCACAACGTCCTAAAACACGGCAATCATCCGCATCAAAAACAAGTGCCTTGTTTATTGCCTCAAAATCCTGAATCTCAAGAAACTTCAATTTTAATCTTAATATTTAGAATATTCTTTATTTTTACCTTCATTTTAACCTACGTTTAATTTACAACTCATTTGTAACTCTAGTCTTGTCTATTTTAACAAATTTTAACTTTAATTTAACCCTTGATTAAACCTTAAGTTAACACTATTAATCTTAACTTTTTTAACAGTCGGTTAAGACTCGGTTTAAGAATTATTAAAAAAAAGCTGGCGGAATATAACCATCAACCAGGCGTTTTGCGCCTTAAAGGAGACGGGCCTAAAACGTATTAAACAGTATTTAATATCTATATTTGGGCTTATAAGGTTTAGAAAACGAAAAAAAATAGTGAATTTAGAAGAAAGAACAGTAAAGCCTGAGCCGGAATCTAATATACTATATAAAACACCAACTGAGCAGAAATTTGAAGAAATTTGGAGGAAACGGGTATGGGGCAGGGAAAATATTTAGAAAAAAATGCTAATTTTTGTTTTTAGATGGATGAAAGAGTAGAAAAAACAGCAGCAAAAAGTCATCGAGAACGAGTTGCAGAATTTAACAAGAAATTAAGTGAACTATCAGAACATAATGATATACCTAAGGTAAATAAGATAGAATTTGTTTGAGTTATGAATAATATTTTTTTTAGGTTGGACCAGGTTAAGTTATATATAATAAATTAAATTTATTTCAATATATAATAATATTGATATTGGATTAAAGATGTTAAGATTTTTGAGTTGCAAAGTTTTTGGTTATATATTAGATTTTTATTTAATAAGCTTTTTTTATGATAATCTTTATTTTTGAAATATTAGGAAAAAGGATTACTATTTTCAAGGTGAAAATAGTTAAAGGGGATTTTTTAATGCTTTTAATAGTTTTTATATATTTTAAATTTTAGTTCTATTATGTAGTGAAGATATATTATTATTCTTTAAAGTTTAAAAATATTTTAAAAAGAACGAATAATACTATTTTAAGGTGTTTATTAACATTTCATTTGTAATTTTAAAACCAATATTAAAAGTGTTAACTATTTTATATTTTTTTATTAGTTACACTTAATTAGAATCAATAATATTATAAAACAATTGAGACAAAATAAATTTTTCAAATATTGTTTTTAAATTAGAAAAAAATAACTAAATATTAAGTTTTTTTAAAAATAGATAAGAATCTATATAAACTAATCTAAAAATAATTGCTAAAGATCAAAATATTTCAGAATTTTAATATGTTCATTTATTATCTTTATAAAACATTTCATTTATCAATGATCTATTAGAATAATCTGATATATTTATCATAAAATATCAAAAATATTTAATTTAAATTATACATTAAAAATATTTTAGTATAACATTGATTATTAAAATTGATAATCTTAACTTTTTCCATAAAAAGAATAAAGATATAATTTGATATTTAACACAAAATACAGCATTTTTATAAGAATTATGGTCTCTTTATGAAAAAAATCTGTCAAAAATACAAAGAAAAACATTAAAATCTATTTAAAATCTATTTATAAACTATTTTTAATTCAAATATTTGAAAAATACTTAAATTACTTAAAATTTATTTATGACTAATCCAAGACAGCATAAAAAAAGAAAGAAAATCAAATTAAAAAAAAGAAAAAAGACCTCAAATAAAAGTTCATCAGTTTCTATCTGTCTTGGACCTATTTTATCGGAAAAGTGGAAAAAAGAAAAGACACTAGAGCAAAAGTAAGCGAATATACATTATTAAAATCTTATATTTATATTTTTTTGAAAAGCTATAGAGAATTAGGCATTGTTTTAAAACAAAATAAAGAAAAAGAAAGTCCTAGAAAAGCAGAAGAATCCAATGGATTTTTTTCTAATAAAAAGAATTTATTAAAATTAAAACCTAATGAAGCACAAATTTTGAGAGACGATCAAGGAAATATTATTAAAGTTATTTATGAAAAACAATATGACTTTGACGATGAGTTAAACGAGATAGCCATGGAAAATACAAAAGCTAAAACACAAGTTATTGAAGGTAATTTATTTTTTTTTATAAAAATTTTAATCAGTCTTAGAATTAAAAAATAAAATAAAAAACAATATTAAATTTAACCGAAGACCCTCTCAAAATGAAATAAACTTTCTAAACAGACTTATTGAACTTTATGGAGATAATGTAGATGCTATGGCTAAAGATATTAAATTAAATCCTATGCAACAAACCGCAGCTGATCTTCGAAGACGTATTAGCAAATTAAAACAGTAGTAATGGTATTCATTTTTATTCAAATTTCTAAAAACGCTCGATATATTATCCATTCTTGACTTTTACCAATCATTTCTGTTTCAACAAATGCTCCAACAAAATATACAAATCCAAGATTCATTTTATATATATTTCCATTTACTTTCACTTCACCTTCACCTTGTATACAAATCATAATACTTGGTCCTTTTAATCCTTCTATCCAATGTTTTTGATCCTTTTTTATAAAAATCTTCATAACCTCAAATTCATCAATCGGAGGCTTAAATAGACGTACATCTCCTTCGCCTTTGGATCTTTCAAATACTTTTCCTTCCATTTTTTTTACTGATTCTAATCCATATTTATAACTCAGCATTGATATTAACGTATTCACATCCTTATATTTAGGTGTAAATCCCACCCTAACAACATTGTCACTTGATGCCATACATTCAACAATTTCTATTTTTTCTTAACTTGTATATTTTTTCTCTTTATCTTTTCATACCTCCTGATAAATATGCATGAGGTGTATTAGCTTCAAGAAAAAGACCTTCACCTGGTTTTAATTGAATATGGTTTAATAAAAACACGCAAAATAGTCCAATATCCGACGGAAATTGCTCATTTAATCGAAGAATCAAATCTCCCCATTCCGTTTTCTTATTTTTTAATATAAATTGAATCAATTTTTTAGCACAAATTTCAACATGAGTTCTAGGTTGTTGAATAAATGTTTTAAAAAGCTTAGATAATATTAATCGATTTGATTCCATATTTTGTCCTATCTTAACATGTTTTATAAAATCAAATGTTACTTCATCACCAACTAATTCATTAAAAGCTTTAACAGATTCAAGAAATTCACAAATTTCTTCCAAAGGACGAAAACCACAAAGTGCTTCAAATGGTGTTATTGCAATTGCCATCTCAGGCTTATGATTTGCATCTATAAATAAATAATACCATCTATAAAAACTTATAAATGTACCTGGATAATTTTTAGGATCTTTATTATGCAAAATTTGTGCTAACATTTTATCTGGATGTGCTTGAATAGATAAAGCTTTATTAATGGAAAGAATTTTAAATAAAAAAGGAAGCGTAGGTCCATAAGCATCAATAATAGATTTAGTTAAAAGCACCTGATTCATTTCAAGATGATTTTGAAGAAATTGTCTAGAATATTGGACAATAGATGGAGCAGAAGGATGAACTCCCATCCAAAGCTAATAAAAAAAACAAAAATTAAATAAATTAAAAGCATTTTTCTAAAAAAAACCTCTGCATATGGTTCATCACAATGTAATGTCACTTCTGGCTGTGCAGATGCAAGGAATCGAGCAATACATGAACTAAATCCAATTTGACCTTGATAAATCAAGTTTATATCAAAAATAAAAGGGTTCATACCCCATTCATACGTTTTAAAACCACATTCAAGCCGAAAAAAATCAGTCATAAATAAATTATTAAAATAAGATATATAAAGACAAATATCTTAAAGCTTAATGGTAAAATCTAAAGAATATATTGAAACGGTGAGCTGAATCAATTAAAAAAGCGTCGATTGACATAAAAAAAAGGACACAGGAAATAAAATTTCACGTCTTCGAACTACAATTCTTGGTTCACAGAATATAATTTTAGGAGGAAAAGTATTGAAAAAAAATAACAAATCAACTAAATTAATAAGAATATAGACTGTTATTCAATCAGAATGTACAATTAGAGGGGACTTAAGACGTTTTGATAGCAATTCAGATACAATTGCTATTATAATTGGAAAATATAGTTTTATTGCTGTTGGAACAGTGATCCGGCCACCTAGCAAGATGCATCAAGGGTAATTATAAAAGAGAATAAAAATACAAGAATTAAGGGGAAATGAGTGTATTTAATTATTATCCAATAAAAATAGGAGATTTTGTTCAAATTGGAGAAGGGTCAATGATTGAAGCAGCAAGCATTGGATCTTATGTAAAAATAGGAAAAGAATGTGTAATTGTAAAATACAAAAAAAATAAAAAAAAAAGAAAGAATTGACATTAAATAATAGGGAAAATTTTGTATTATTAAAGATTGCGTGGAAATTCGAGAGGGAACGATTTTACCAGAACATTCAGTTATTCCATCTTTTTCTATCGTTGAAGGTAGACCAGGTAAGAAAATGTATGAAATATAAAGAAAGAGTTAAAAAGAACAAAAGGATTAGTTATTGAAGAATTACCGGAATGTACACAAGAATTATTTGAAAAAGAATGTCGAACAAAATATCATGAGATTTAAAATATGAATGATCCAATGTAAAAATTAAAGAAAAAAAAGAAATAATGAAGAAATACTTAATATAATTCAAAGTTTAAATATTAAGAACAATGCGTATCAAAATGTTTATTTTTTTAATGTAGCTTTTGCATTACTGCTAAGCCAGGCCTATAAAAACGATTATTTTAAAAGATTAAATAAAATGAATATTACAAGTCCTTCAAAAAGACCTTCACCTGTTGTTGCACAACTAATATAATCAAAAATATAGAAAAAGTAATAAAAAATATATACCTTGGGTAAACATACCATAAATTATATATTTTATCTAATTGAAGTTTTTCTGTTACTTCACCTGGAGACATTGCTATATTGATTTATTTTAAGAAATAAATAAAAAAAAAAATACCAGTTTCTAAATCTTGTTTATTCGCAAATACCAACAAGATAGAATCCCTCATTTCTCGGTCGGATATAATTCTATGAAGTTCTTTACGTGCTTCATCAATCCGATCTCTATCGGCAGAGTCTATAACAAAAATTAAGCCTTGAGTACCTAATAATTAATTGTCATAAATCAAATCCTAAAAATATTATAAAATTACCAGTATAGTAATGTCTCCAAAGCGGTCTAATTTTATCTTGCCCTCCGACATCCTAACTCAATTATTAAATAATTAAATTTAATTATTATATAGATACCCAAACATTAAATTTAACATTTTTATAAATCACTGTTTCCACATTGAATCCTACTGTAGGAATCGTTGTCACACTTTAACAATATTATAAAGTATAGTCAAACTTCATTTCTCTTTACGTTTGATTTAATTTTAATTTATATAAAATTGCTAGCAATGTTTCAATAATTCTTGATAGAATATAACATTTAAATACTTGTTTTCCCTGCTGCATCTAACCCGAGCATAAGAATACGCATCTCTTTGTTTCCAAACAGTCGATTCATTAATTTAGATATTGAAGTACCCATTGTTATAATTGATTTAAAAAAAATGCAATGAATCTTAACTTTAACCCTTATATTTCCGTGATTTAATAAGAAATAATGTTTATAAAGACTTTTATAAGCTTAATATTTTTTTGAAGACGTTTAAATATCGACCAAAATCTCCGCAAGATTTAATTCAACCCTTAAAAACAGACGAAGTTAAGAATAACAAAAAACAACAAAATCTAATAAATCCCATACATATAGTTTCTATGCTTTGTACTTTATTTTTATATCTTTCTTTTTTTTTGAATATATTTGTCTAAAAGTTAAAGATATATCAAAAAAATATAAAGACTCTCAATAGATCCAAATTGATATGGAATTAAAGTTTTCTCTTTTAATAGAATATTATATATATTTATTAATATGTATATATATAAATCTAAATGAAATTATTCTTTATAAATAGAAAATATGCAATTGACAACCGTTTATTATGAGTTGAGATATATAAAACATGTAAAAACAATATTAAAAAATTAAATATTTAGTGTCAATACTGTTTTTAAAATAGAATAAAAATACTGTTTGAAAATCCCATGTTATTCATCAAATATTTAAAAATATTATTTAATGTATTAAAACATTTTTTAAAGTCTTTAAATCACTTCTAAAAGTTAAAATATGAATAAATTATTAAAAGATATCATAATTAATAAAAAATACTATTCTAATATTTCATATTATAAAACCATAGTATAAAATTTGTGAAAAAGATATATCTTAAAACCAAACTTATAAAATATGTTACAATCCTTATCAAAAAATGCAAATTCATCCTTTAACAATAAAAAATCATTCAATATAATTAGATCTTTATTTTTATTCAGTCTCATCCTCAAGATTCATATACGCATCCATATAATCAGTAGGCAACGGTTCCTTGTCATTTAAAACTAACAATAATAATTACACAATAAAAACATATAAAAACAATAAATTACATGTAATACTATATATTGAATCAGACATAACAACATACATAACAGTAGATTCTTTTTGATCCGTCTAAAATCATTAATTCTTCATTTTTCAATATAAAAAAATTACGTCAAAAACAAACACTGTCCCTGACGATGGATCAATATTCCATAGATATCCAGAAAGTGAATCTAACCCTTTTTTAAATTTAATGCAAATTGCATGACCCCGTTTCATCTCAATCGTTGCCAGTGACATACCATATAAAATACTTAACCCTTCAGGATTCTCCATTATTATTTCATCAAAACCTTATAACTGTTTAAAATCCAACCGTTTTGCCATCAAAAAATACATAAAAACTATTGGTTCATACTTTTATATGCTTACTCGTCATATTATGACCTACCCTAAACCTGTACTATACTAACCCTAGATAGGCTATGCATAGTCCCCAACGGTAAGCGATGCAGGCACGTCTCCGATGAACAACAGCTGGCATGATTTTTTAAAAAGGAAACATATTAATAGATAGAAGACTATATAAACCAGCAGAAATAAAGTGTAAAACAGAGGAGGTAAAGCTACCGTTTTTCTAGGAAAAAAACGGGCTAAAAATGACCATTATATCTGGAGAACATCATCAAAAAAATATAAAGGTAATTATTCACCAATTTTACAAGTATATTTTTTCCTGATAAGTACTTAGGATATTCCCCAATGCCAAGAAGTTGCACAAAAGAATGTTGCTGCATCATCTATTATTTTTCATCAAGCGAAAAAACAATTTGCAGCGTTAAAATTAGAAAATAAGTCATCACCATCAAATATAAAGACTAGTGAAAATGTTCAGGTTTCGATCAAACCAATTGGGATCACGAAAGTTCAGGGATTGCCTCCTTTTCAAAATAAAATTCCTGTCTTAAGAATTTCACCGTCACTTAATACAATGATGTCATCAAAAAGTAGCAATAGTGTAATTATAAGAGCCAAAGTACCGAAAAGTGTTATAAAACCCGGGGAAGAAGCACGTGCTCCAGAAGTGTCAAAAAAAGTAACTACAAACGGTACGGTAATTAGAGCCTCGCAAACACCAAAGGGTACACGAATTAAAACGGCAACCGTTTCACCATATCAACAGAAACATCCTTCACAACAAACATCTACATCAGCAAATAAAAGTTTAATTAAGAAACCTAATATGCCTATAACGTTGCGTGTGAAGCCAGGTACACCTTATGCCTCTTTAGCTACATCATCACCACGTTCTCAGATACAGAAAAAATCGGAAATAAAAAAGACAGATAATCAGCAAGAAACTCGAAAGAAACAACCTGGTGCAATCAAAGTGATTTCTGTTAACGCGCTTAATGCACGTCAACCAAAAATAATTACAACAGAAAATGTTCCAAATAATAAGCCCCTTAGACTTGCACCGTCGCTTTCGAAAGCCAATTTCATGCCAAAAACAAATCAATGTTTATCCCCAAACAGCAAATCAACTCTTAAACCTTTTACTAGTGTAACTAATCTAGTATCGCATGAAAAACTTGGAAAACCGATTTTTGTAGCTTCTAATATAAATAATGGAAGCAGTCAAATGAAAAGGATATAATGTTTGAATAAGAAAAACCCTTATTTATTTTTTTGAGTAAGTTTAATAGGTTTACTTAAAATAAATTATTTTTAAATATGTATTTTAAACGAAATATTGATATTTATTTTTTAATGAATTTTAAGATATTTGAATATAATAATAACCTGAAAATTGAAATTTATGCATTCAACGAGGTCCAAGTTTCTCTAATGCTCTTGTACCATATCTAATAATATTAAATAAGATTAGAGAATATTGTAAGATCTTTACTCGCTCCAATCGTTTCTGGTTATCCACATATTATCATTATCTTTTATTATATTAGCAAGCACTGCACCACCCAAAAATACCATATGTCGTCGACGAGGTGGATCTTCAATTCGTACTTTAAATTTCTAGAAAAAAAATCAATTTATACATTAAATAGGATCATTTTTATACATTAAAACGGGAAGGATCCCCATTCAATGCTCTTGTTAGCCACAACTGCTTAAGTTCTTTTTCAAGTCTAGTAGGAAAACCTAAATCTATTCAATGATTGATTTTTTTTAAAAAAAATCGTACCTGGATACATACTTGTACCACCAGATAAAACAATAGATTTAAATAGAGAAGAGCGAATATCCATATCTGCACTATTTTCATAATTAAAAAAGAAGTATTGAAAAAAATAATTAACCTTTGTATTGTATTATAAAGACATTCAGCAATTCCTGGTTGCTCTAAACCAATTAAATGAGGCTGAAATAAACACTCAGGTGCTTCAAATCTCTCTGAGCTAAGCTTAATTACACGCCCATCAGGAAGAGTATAACTTTCAACCAAAATACTAGTCTCTTGAGATAATTTATGATCTAATGTAAGATCACAACTGACAAATAAAAATCAATAAGGTAAAAATATAGATAAAAAATACCTAACATAACATAATTTTTCTTTAATTTGTCTAACAGTTTCAAAATCTGCTGTTCTATTAAAAGCATATCCTCTTCGCAAAAGCAAATCAATCAATTGACGTGTAACACTACGTCCTGCAACATCCAATCTACGAGTAAGATGATTAAGAACTACGTTTTCATAAACAGGAACAATGTGAGTCACTCCATCACCAGAATCTACAACAACTCCCGTTGTCAGACCTATATTGCATTATAAAAAAAAATTAAACAATAATTTATATTCCTTGCGCATATAAAGAAAGAACTGCTTGAATAGCTACAGAAACACCGTAAAAATCATATTTTTCAATCATAACTTCACACATTTTCTCTCTATTTGCTAGTGGATTCATAGGAGGTTCTGTAAGTAAAATCTTACGATCCCTTGTATCCACTTTAAGCTTCTCATTAAAAGTATAGTCCCTGGATATCATAATTATTCAATATTACAAACTAGCTGTATAAATATATACCAAATATATTGCATATCTTCCCAATTACGAATAATCCCATTTTCCATCTAAAAACATCATTACATATAAAATAAAAAAAAAAAATTACAGGATACGAAATCTGAAGCATGTTTCTAACTGCTGCTGCTTCATCCCCAACCATAATATCTCTAATAGGTGTATCTATCATTTGCTCTTCTACACGAAGTATAGGACGTCCAACAATTGAAGGAAAAACATAATCAGGGAAATTACTTCCTAAAACAATATATTTTAATTTTAATATAAAAATTATACTTTAATTTTACCTGCATATCCGACTTTAACAAATCCCGTACCATTGTCTGCCACTATTAAGGTCAATTTCATAATTTCTTGCCAAAAAAAAGGAAAAACCGTACCAATGGGTATCTCATTCATAATTAATGCAATAAAAACCCTTTATTTAATAGTCTAAACAGCCAATTTTTAAAAAAAGCTTTTCTTCAAAAATATATCGTTGTCTCGGAGCTTGCCGGACTTTATAAATAGGATATAAAAACTTAATTAATTTTATATCAATAGAGTATTTTTGATAAAATGTATAGTTTAATGGCTTAAAAAAGAAAAAAATAAATCTAATATAATGCCTAGATATCTAAGAAAATATTAGATTTTTTTTAGATTATCAATCATTTTTTAAAAAATATTTGTATAGATTAAAAGAATTTATAAAACATTTCCGATAAAAGAAAGTATTGTTATTGAAATCTAAGAATTTTTGTGAAATCCTAATTTTTTTGAAGCTTATTTATTAATAAATCCAGAATTATCATTATTTAACGATTAAAAAATGGAATTAGATGAAAATGCAAAAGATCCATACTTTCCATTGGTAAATATTAATATGTTCACCTTTTTTTCAAATGAGATTAGGCTAATGAAAAAATACTGAGCCGGCTTTCAGAGAGTATCCATATATTTTTAGAAAGACGTAAAGAATTATGGGAGAAGAACCAAAATATTGTTAAAATAGGTATTGAAATAGAACATGATCTATTACCTGTTGAATCAGGAAAAAATATGGTGAAGGAACATACCGATTTTTCGAAAGATTTTCATTAAAAATCGAAAAAAAAGATATCAGTCTAATTCATGTCACGTTAATAATATAGTTATTGTTTTAAAAATGATCAGTTTATATATATCCTAATAAAGTGTAGAGGAATATTACTTATTAGGTTAATTCTAATACAAGCTTCCTTTCAACTTCTGTTTCTTTTTCAACTTCTCCTTCAAAACGTAATTTACAAGTCCCATCTCTCTTCTTTTTTTAGTAAAGAAAAAAAGAAGAGCAGATACAAAAAAATACTTGCCTTTGTACTAATTACTTCTGCATTATAAAACGTTGTTGTTTCTGGATATCTCGCAAGAACTTGTGTACCAGGTGATAAAGGTCGAAGTCCTACTGAACTATTGGGAATTAAAATCAGGTTTGAAGCAACAGTTTTATATATTCTATAACAAAAATATTAGTTTTTCTATCTTATTTCGCCATTCAAACAAACTGCCCAGGATGATGGTTTTCATCTGGTTCAGGATCCTGAACCTCATATCGAACTTTAGATCCTTCCCCAATAACACGTGTAACAATACATTGAATCCAATCGCCTTGACTATTTTTTGTTTTTGGTTGGCGAAAAGCAACCTCATTATCATTAGTAAAATACTATAAATAAATGATAATAGGTTAATAAATATCTAATAATAAAATAGATTAGAAAATATAAATATTCCTTAAAAATAATTATTTAAAAAATAAATAAACATCTCCATAAGAATTAGTAGGATAAAATATCAAATATCCTTAAAGTATTTTTTATTAACCTTTTAAAATTATTTACCTGAGATCCAACTTGTAAAATATCACGAGTAATTGTTTGGCTAATTTATTAATAAAAAACATTATTAAATTACCTTTTATACAATACCTTCGTGATTTCTTTACTCGAGAAATAGTAGTATCAGAAGAATTCTCTTCAATTCGCCGCTTTTTTATTTTAAAATCCTCTGAAAAAAATTAACAAAATAAAAAGAGATATAAACCGCACCTGAGACTTTTCCCGTTTCTTCTGATTGACGATGTGCAATGAGAGTATCAAGATTTTCTTGTATTTGTAAAAGTAAACTAAAGAATAGATTTTATTCAACTAAATATATTTATTAATAAATTTATACCTTTGTTGCTCATTCAGTACATCAACTGCCTCCTGATAAGCATCCCTAAGAGCCTTAACAGAAAAATAATTCGTCTCTTTTGGAAATCAATTATAAAATCTATCATTTAACTACTTTTAATAGCCACCTATCCCTACTTTTTCCTGTGCTTTTTTAATTTCTAAATTAAACGAATCTTCATGTCCTTGAAGCTTCTCAAAATGCTTAAAATGTTTCAAAATATTCTGCCAAATGTCTATATCTTCAAACTTTTCGGTTTCTGTTACAGAATGACGGTTTCTTGACATAATTTGTTCTTTAAAATGTTATTTTTTAGACAACATTCAATTGTAGCTAAAAAAAATTCTTAAAAATAACACGAACGTATTCTATTATTTCAAATACATCATCTATGTCTTTTTGAAATGCTATTCTTGTATTTTCTTGTAGATTTCATGTTTTTGACAACTAATTTTTCGTAATAAGATCGTTTAAAAATACTAAATATGTTTTACAAAACTTTAAAAGTTATAAAGAGATTTAAATGTATTTTAAATAAATAATCTTAAAAAAGCTCTATTTTTTCATAATAAAAATATTTTTTATTTATTCAAATATATTTCATACCATGTAAATTTTATTCAATCTATAAAGATAAAACCTGAGGATCCAAAACTATTAAGCTGCGAAAATTAACAAAAGATTCATTAAAATAACTATCATACAATATCTGTATAATCTATGCTTTAAGATATAGTTAAAATTTTAATAAATACATTTTTTATAAATATATAGATAAAAAAACTATATATCTAAGCCTTAGAAAAAAATAATCCATTTAGTTATCTTCAATGCAAATTTTTAATTACAATCTGTGCCACCTTTTCAATTTCTTTAGAAATATCAATTATTGATGCCATTGTTCCTTTGATTCCTACAACAGATGCAATCAAAGGAAGCTTTACTTTTGCAATTTCAGTAGGACCTTTAGTTCCATCCATAGAATTTACCATTTCCCGTTCGAACATTCTATCATCAGTACAACTAACTTGAACTAATTCCGCGCCAACATATGGGTCTTCAAGACAAAAATATGAACCAACAACACGTTTGGGTTTTCCAAGTTGAAGCCGTGATATCATTTCATATGCTTGACAAAAAAGACTAGTTAAACTAGCCAAATTTTTAAATTGTGCACTAGATGTGCAAGTTGTAAAAATAGGAACAGCGCCATAATTTGTTAGATGAAAGATAGATGTTGATGGTACATTAATAATACTTGGAATACGTTCGAAATATACATGTAGCGGTAGTAAATTAGATGAAGACTCGCTTTTTTCTTTTACTGTAGCTGACATTAGTTCTAAATTATCCTATAAATCGACTTTTTTATATTTGTAAAAAAATCAGAAAAAAATTATGATATCAAGTACTAATGAAATATATATAAATCAGATAAATTAAGGTTGAGAATATGTTATATTATTATAATCTAGTTTTTGTTTTCCAGAAAAAAATTAAACTTTGATTTTTAAAAAAAATAAGATAAAAAAATATAATATTTATAGAGTTTGAACATCTATGTACTATTGGTTTAATAATATAAAGCTTGAGAAAAAACATAGATAAAAAAGATAGCTTAACTAAAGAATTGAAATCAAATATATTATAAAAAAAATAACTTCATACATATTAATAACAGATTATTATTATTTTTAAAAAATTGTCCATCACCGGTTCTATTGTAAAAAAATGGAATTAAGGCTTAATTATAAAAGATCAAATAATTTATTCATCTATGAATGCCCATAATTATTTTATAATCTTATATTTTTTATAAATATTTTAGAAATATTTAATAAGTTCTTAAAATTTATATAAGTGATATTGTATAAATTAAAGAATTTGATAAAGTAGAATTAGGAAAAAGACTTCAAGAAAATATGTCTGTTTAGTTTTGGTATTGCTAGTTAGGAATATGAAATTTACTTTAAAGAAAATAAAAATCTACTAAATTTGTTAAAAAAACCATTAAATATAAAGATAATTTTATTATAATCTAGATTTATGATATGAAATAAAATCGGATATATATTAAAGATATTGATATTTTTTGCAATATCTTTATTTTTAAAAAAATTATTTTAGATACTCAATACAATTAATAAACTTAAAGATATAAAAGAACATATAACTTAAAGATTTCTAGACATTCAAAATATTCTCTGTGGAAAAATGAGAAAAACTTTTTTATACAAAATCTTTCATTTTAATGATATTTTAAATAATTAATACCTATAAACAAAAATTTCTACTTTAGTAAATGATATTCTATTTTTTTGGTTAATAATTAATATTTTAAATTGAAATAATTCAACAATATGTTTTTATAAATAAACATTTATTATTCTACTCTGATTTATCTAATAACTCTTAGTATTCATTATAAATAATTATAAACAATAGTCGTAAGCTTAAATAATATTGGCAAGTGTCTTTAAATACGCAAATTCCATTAATTAGAATTAGCCATTCGGAAAGGCTATTACTGCTTATTTTATTTTGTTCACATTATACTTTATCAAAAATTAGTAAAGTACAATATTAAGAAAATAAATTTATTTATAACAAAACTGTAATATTAAAAATACAAAAAAAAATAAATATAAATAGTGCTATAAAATGGAAAAATATCATTTTAACTATATTATATAAGTAAATTTTATTTTTATATATCTATAATTTAAATTTAAAAACAAAAATATTTATATGATGAGAAATTTGATATAGTAATGTAAATGAAGTATTAAAAAATAAAAAGATATCATTTTTCTAATATACGTTATATTTATTTGAAGATCTTTTGAAAATAAATTGCAATAATAGAGATTTTAGAAATTCTATATGAAATCTAGAAATATTTATAAATTTTCTTAAAATATATAAAGGTAAATTAGTACCAAATAGAGACATAGAAAGTAAATATTTAAAATATTTAAATAATCTAGATAATAAAAATGTTAAAAAATATTCATTTATTTATAATTTATAATATAAAAAGACGCAAGTCTAATATTTTATAATATACAAGAAATATATATATACATAAAAAATAATGGATATTGTGTTTATTTTTTAAAGATAAAAATAGTAATTAAAAACGTTATTAATAAATGATTATATTAATAAATTCAAAAATCAAAAAAGAATATAGTTATGATCATATTATATAACTTCCAAATAGATGTATTTATTATATTTAATCAAAAGTTTCATTATTATTATAAACTTTAAAAAGAAACCATCAAAAAATAAAAATTAATACTATTGATAAATTTCAAAAATAAAAAATCTTTTCTTACTAATGATAATAAAAGAAGTCTAATAATATAGCTCTTTTTCTATTTTATATTTCTAAAGAACAATAATTATCATGAAAAAACCTAAAAGCACTTTTGTGTTATAAATAATTTTAAACTTTAGAAAAAATTCTTAAAGAACTAAACACATTATTTAAAATAGAACAGTAATTTATACTATCTAACATATGATTCAACTAGATCATAAAATAACACTGATTTATATAAAAATTAAACAAGTAATTTTTCAATGTGATTCTAATCTCATTAGTATATCATTAGACAATAACTTATATATTTACTTTGATTGTTTGAATTTGTTGTTTTAAATCAGATGCTTCATTTGTCGTAATACTTGCTGAAATAACCGGGCGTGAAACACCACATGCACGCCCTAAGGCTGCTTTTGAAGATATAAAAACATAAGGTACATTCTAAATAATATTAATACATAGATTCTAATTATTCCTTTTACGACCTTATCCTCGCAAAGTAACGGAAGATGCAGAAGTATCTCAATAGGCTCTGTATCTGCTGCCATAACAATAAATTCACTAATTCCTCGATTCAATGTCTTTGTCGCTTCATTCGCTCCTTTTTTCAATTGTTTATAATGAGATGCTTGCTGTACCAAGTCTAGGATTTGCTGTGTTAAACTTGTATCTGCCAAAGGAAAGGCTATATAAAAATTTTAATATTAAACCAAAAATAATAGCTTTAAAAACAAAAAAGATGCATCCATATAATACGTACCTTTGGGATTAATACATGACATTCCTTAGATTAACCTATTTCTATCAAAATATTGATTTTTTCAAGAAAAATCTGTTTTCGTATGAAAACTATAAAAACCCTCGAAATTTAAAAAATCTCTAAAATTTTTCAAAAACATCTTTATTAATATTTTATCATAAACATCTGGTACTAAACACAAATAAAATAAAAGATATTAACAATTTATTTTAAATATTTATTTATATATTTTATTATTATATTTCAACATATCGATTAAGAAAACTTAAGATACAAAAAAAATAATAAAATTACATTGAAGATACTCAAAAATTCACAAAAAATACAACAAAAAATCGTATACTTTCACTATTATGTGGGAAGAAAGCATTTCATTAATTTTTGACCCTTCTAACTTAATTTTAAAATTCAATTATCAGTTACCATGACAACCCTTATCTAGTTTTGATAAGACACAATTGACCAATCAAATTTTTCCAAAAAAATTCTATAAAAAGATATAAAAATCAAAATTTAAATGATCAAATCCTGCATTATTTTCGAAGACGCATACAACACAGGGAAAGGTAAGAAAAAAAGGAATTTATACATATTTTTTAAGAGAAAAAAATAGTTAAATCCAATTCAAAAACATTTATCTTTTTTTGAGAAATAATTATGATTTTTTTCAATGGTTTTTTGATTTTCTTACTTTTAAATAAGGTAAAAATAGCAGTAAATGCGCTGAATCCCATCATTATACGAGGTATTTAGAATCAAATAATATATATAATATACATAATTAAAAAATAATTGCAGGAAATGCATTTTTTGATAGTATTACAAATGAACGTTTCTATATAAAAGGAGTGGATTATCAGCCAGGTGGAAGTTCGGGCATTATCGATCCTCTTTCAAATAAAGAAGCATGTGAAAGAGATTTCCCTTTGATGAAAGAATTGGGAATTAATTCAATTCGTGTTTATCAGGTAGACAATGCTGATAATCATGATTATTGTATGGATATTTTGGATAAAAATGGAATTTATCTATTTCTTGATGTTAATACAGCACTTATATCACTCTGGAGCCTTAATACTAAATCTTCATATACACAAGAATATCTTCAAAACATTTTCGCAACAGTTGATGCTTTTAAAAAATATTCTAATGTTGCAGGGTTTTTCGCAGGGAATGAAGTAGTTGCATCAGTAGAACAAACCAATGCCTTACCTTGGGTTAAAGCAGTAGTTCGGTTACTTGATCTATATTTTTTTAATAATAAATTTACTTCTATAGAGATTTAAAGAAATATATTTCTTTGCAGTCATCAAGAAAAATACCTGTAGGTTATTCTGCAACAGATCTTAATAATCGTGTTCCTACAGCATTCTATTTAAACTGTGGAGAAGAGGCAGAGCGTGTGGATTTTTATGCCATTAATTTATATTCATGGTGTTCTCCTTCCTCATTTACAACCAGTGGATATTCTCAGAGGGTCGTTGATTTCTTTGATTTTACAATTCCTATATTTTTTAGTGAATATGGTTGTAATAGAGCAGTCCCAAGGCCATTTGATGAAGTTGAGCACATTTATTCATCCAAAATGATACATGTTTTTTCTGGAGGACTTGTTTATGAATGGACAGAAGAGAAGAATAACCCGAATTATGGACTTGTTATTGTTAATGGAAAAGAAGTTACAAAAAAACAAGATTATTTAAATCTAAAAGAACAATATTCAAAATTAAGTTTTCCTAGTAATGGAGGTGGATATAAAATTAGAGGAGGGGGTAACGAATGTCCAAAAGATGCATTTTCTTTTAATGTTCATGCTGCTCTTCCAAATGTACCCCGAGGTGCTGAAAGATACTTTAAGAATGGAGCTGGGAGACCTCTAGGACTTCGTCCTTTAGGATCAAAAAATAGATATATTAGACCAATAGTAAGAAAGGCATATATAGATAGATAGATTAATTCTAATCTCTATAGGATTACAATAATAATCCCGAAGATACAAGCGACACTACATCTGATGATTCCAATGATAATACCACCCCTTCTAAGGATAAGGGTGCTTCCACGAGGATCTATTTTAATTTAAGGTTTTATATTTATTTCATCTTGTTTATTCCATTATTTCGAATATACGTATTTTAATATTTTTCTATACGATTATAGTAATAGCTTCTAAATTCAACCTAGAGATTAACCATATTGCTAATTTTAGTGTTTATATATAGAAAGCAAATGCATTGTTTCGAAACATATACACTTCATTTTATTTAAATAAATTAAAACATATAATAATTATTTGATATCTAAGTTTTCAATGCTTCCTTAATTACTTAAAAGAATCAGTTACTAAAAATATAACTAGCATGATTATACTTTTTTCAAGTTCTTCCAGATCATCTGTAGGAACTTTAATCATCGATTTTCCAAAATACTGTTGTATAACATTCATTTCCTCAAAACTTTTTTTGTCATGTACAAAATTTATGCTAACACCAGTACGTCCAAATCTTCCTGTTCTACCAATTCTATGAAGGTATGTTTGAGGATCTGGTTTGTTCATATGATCTAATGGAATATCATAGTTAACAACCATATTCACTTGTGAAACGTCTATTCCTCTTGCTATAACCTAATAACATAATAATATATATATATATATATATTTGTTTAAACACACTTACGTTGGTTGTTATCAAAACTTTACTTTTCCCGGAACGGAAATCATCCATTATTGAATCTCTTTGAGAACCATCAAGAGCTCCATGTAGTGACACAACAGCATGCCCACTTTCCGTCATTTTCTTGGCTATCATATCGGCCTGATTACGTTGCTGTGGAATTAATTTTATTATAATTAACCTTTTCAAACTTACTCTTACAAATATAATAGATTGTCCTATTGTCAAAAAAGTATACAACTCAACCAAAACATCATATTTATGCTGTTCATTTCTACAATCCATATAAAACTGTTTTATTCCATCCAAACTGAGTTCCTCTATTTTTAGCCGTATCTCATTGGCATTGGGTGCAAATCTTGAAGAAAATTCTACCACATCATCAGGAAAAGTTGCACTAAAGAGAACAATTTGAGTCGTTTTTGGTAACCGACTAATCTCAAATTAATAAATTGTTTTTATATTTAAAATACAACGAATAAACCTTTTAATCCTCATACTTTGAGCCCCAAGACTTTGTTGATCAAGCATATTATCCGCCTCATCTAAAACGAAGATTTTAATATCCTCAGTATCAATTAACCTCCTTGTAATTAAATCTAATACAGTGCCAGGAGTCCCAACAACAACATGCGCCGCTATTTTTTCTTTCTTTACTAAAGAATCTTTAACAGCAAAAGCTATTTTTACAGGTGTAAACCGTCCCATTTCAGAAATAACATTCATCGTTTGCCTAGCAAGTTCTCTAGATGGAAACAAACATATAGCCTAACAATTTAGTTTTATTTTATAATAATATAAACACAACCTGAACAACATTTCTACTATAATCTATCCTAGATAACACCGTCAATGAAAATGCTGCTGTTTTTCCTGTTCCTGATTGAGATTGTCCTATCATATTTCTAGGTCTATTTTTTTAATATTTATTTCTATATTCTTAAAAAAACATACGGATTACTAAGAAGTAAAGGCAAAGCTTTTTCTTGAATTTTAGAGGGTCTCTGAAATTTCAAAGCATAGATTCCTTTTAACAAATCTTCATGACTATAATAATAAAACTAGGAATTATTATATATATAAACACTTACAGCGCAAGATCTTCAAATCTTTTCGCTGAATAAAGCGGTGAATTAGGATCTCCTTGTATATCCGTCAACTTAACAGTAATATCAACATTATTATCAATTAAATTATCATGATAATTTTCTGTTTTTTCTAATAACTCCTTATCCTTTTTAATTTCTAAAATCTCATCAATTTTTCCCTTTTTTAAAGAAAAAAAACAACCATAATTAACAGAGTCAACATCCCCAATGTTTTTTGTAAAAATGAAAGCGTTTGAAGCAATATTATTGTCATTTTTCACTTCATTATTGTTTTCATTTGTTTTTTCGTTTTGCACCCTCAAAATGTCCATTTTTTTTTCGAGTTTTTCAACATCTCCTGTTATAATATCATTCTTGATTATCTTACTATTTTTAGGAAAAAGTTCTGAGCAATTTGTACTCATTTTTATTTTTTTTTAAAAATATAAAAACTTTATAATAAACTTTTAACGTCTTCGTTTATCTTAAAAAAACTAAGTTAAAAATCTCAAGAAAACTACTTTATTTATATGAAGTATAATATATATAACATGTTAAATACACATTATTAAAAAGGTTTTTTTTTAAAATAGGAATTAATTGTATTTTATAGTGTTTTTTTTCTAAATTTAAAGCTAAGTATTTTGATATATGGAATCTCAAAGAACAAGTTTCGGGGAAGAATTAAAGGAAAGTCGAAGTTTAAATATGAAAATATGTATTGTACTAATTTTTTTTAAAGGATGCATTCAAACCTGTCGAGAATTGGGTATTTTTTGATGGAATTCAGAAGAGTTACGTTAAAGATATTTATAGGTAAATAATGGTATAAAATGGTTAGATGATCTCCAGTCGTTTTATAGAGAACGGTCAATTATAGGTATATGGATTTGGAGAAAGAATTGGTATTTAAAATGATATAGAGAAAGAATATTCTCTTAAGCTTGCTTCATTATCAAGAAAATATCATGAAAAAAAAGGGAAAAGATCTACAAGCTTGTCGGTAGGAGATAATCCTAAAATGACACCTGGTTCGTTAGAATCGTATGGATCCTTTGTTGTAATTGCAATTTAAATAATATTAGTGCATCTGTTACTACATGGGAAAATATATTAAATCATACGGAAAATTTGGCTAAGGAACGACAAATATTTTCAGAAGAACTTCAGACACAAGTGGTGGATAAACTTAAGGCGTTAGCAATTAAGTCAGATGATTTAAGAAAGAAGGTTTATATTGAATTTAATGTTAAAATTAAAATAATATATTAGCATGTTGTTTTTTCAGAAAGGCTTTTAGAGGAAAGAGAAAGGATATATATGGAATTAAAAAAGGTATTTAATCATGGTTATTTTTTTTTTTTTAAATTTAATAATATTAAGATGAAATTAAAATACGATGAACATTGTCATTTAGTTGAAAATTCTCGTCAAAAACATGAAAAATCAAGTGAAGAAAATAAGGTACTACTTTTTATATTGTTTTTATAATTTAATAAAGAGATATGTAGACAAAAGCAAAAAAAATATATAATCAGGTACCTTTTCAAATTTGTTTTATTTATAAGTCTTATATGCAATAACAGAATATTCTTAATATGAATAATGCCAAGGTTATCTATAAATAATATGTGTGTTTTTATTGATGTTTTAGAATAATTATATTATTGCAATTCATGTGGCCAATGCACATAAAAATAAGTATTTCTTTTCAGATATTCCTGATATTTTAGATGTAATAACAAAATCTATTCATAGGAAAGATTTTTAATTTTTTCAGAGTATGCAGGATATAAATGAGTTACGTATTCAAAGTATGAATTCCATATGGACTACTGCTGCCCATCTTGAAATTTCTACTTTCAGTAAATGTAAAAATCATCTTAATGATCTTATTAAATTTGTGGGGAAAAATGATCCAATTCTTGATTCCACTATGTTTGTACACCATAATGTGAGTTCCTGGCATGAACCACCCGATTTTGTATTTGAACCATGTTCTATTTGGCATGACTCGGTATATTTTAATATTTCTATTTAATATTCTAAAATTAATAAAATTCAAGGATCAAATGATAGCAGATGATCATTCTATAATTTTTTTAAAAAATAAAGCACTTAGATCTCGTATAAAACTATTACAATTACAAGAAAACGTAGATACAAAAAAACGGGAAATCAATGGTTTACAAAATCTTAGAGAAGTTTATTCAAAAAATCCTAATCTAGGAAGCCAAGATGAAGTTACAAATGTAATTGTTTATATTATAATGAAATCTACTAATTATTTTAGAATCTTCTTGATGCACGGAGAGAAGTGGCTTTTATGGATAATCGGAGATTAACACTTGAAATAGAAGTTAATATCATTTCTAATATTATAGGAGGTGTTTTCATTTCCTGTTTATTTTCTTTTTTAATAAGTGATAGAAATTGATACCAATATATTATTACATGATTTTAAACCTTCTTCTTTTACAATTCCTACGAATTGCGATTGTTGTCATTCTACTATTTGGGGATTAACACGTCAAGGATTAACATGCAAATGTCTTTATTATTTTCTTTTCTAAACGTTTCTTATTATCTATAGTTTGTAACTATAATTGCCATTTTAAATGCGAGATGAAAGTTTCAATAAGCTGCCCAGGAAAAAAGGAAGGGAAAAAAACAAGAAAAACGAAAGAAGTTTTAGAATCGCAAAATTTTGGAAAAAATACATCATCATCTTTATCTCCATCTTTTAAAAGTATTTTACTGATTTAATAATAATAAACTAACAAATAAGATATTGATTTAGATAAATCATCTTCTCATGAAAAAATCCCCTCGCATAGTCCTTTAAAAACAACAATGTTGATGAACCAATCTCATATTTCATTATCATCTTCTTCCGAAAAACAAATAGCTAAAGTTCTTTATAATTATGGTAATTTTAATATAAATTTTATTTATTACTAAATAAAAATAGTTTCTGGTAGTAATACTGAACTTAGCGTAAAAGAGGGTGACGAAATTATCGTTTTGGAAAAAGACGGTAATTATAAAAACATTAAATATATTTCTAATTACCAATAGATGGTTCTGGATGGATTACTGCTCGTCTTGGATCACAAGAAGGAATTGTTCCAACTACTTATGTAAAAATGTTGAATTCACAGGGTTTTATATCAAATGAAAGTGTATCTTCTACACTTGTTAAACCAGAAAAAAAATCAGGACCCGCTGTTGTTCCAAGACGAGCAAAAAAAAAAGAAATATATGTAAAAGCTTTATATAATTATGATGCAGTTTCAGATTTTGAAATATCCATTAAAAGAGGCGATTTAATTAAATTAATAAAAAGCGATCAAGGAGATGGATGGAATGAAGGTTTTACATCAACATTAACAAATTATAAAGATTAATAAATTCAGGCGAATTAAATGGCGCTATTGGCCAATTTCCTGCAAGGTAATTCTGAAAATATCATTTTTAAAAATTTCATATTAATAAAAATAGTTATGTTGAAATAACATCAGAAAGACCATAATAACATATTTTCTTAATACTATACAATACAGTAAAAACTATTACATTTTAACAAATTTGTTCACTCAATATTTATAATGCTATTTATTATCCAATTTTACTCGCTTGTTGAACATTAATCTCAGTGAATCTATGCATTTTTTTCAGTTAACATAAAATACATACTAGTTAATCACCTTTGTCCAACTCTTTCACTATGTTTAAGGAATTTGTTAGCACATCGAATAACACATGTTTCCTTTTATCATAATTATATCAAAATTTTCATAAATACTTCTTCTACCTCTTTAGAATTAAGCGACTTACTTACAAATTCATTAATACAGTCTGAAAAACATTTATTAACTAAATTAGAATACATCTATATATTTTTTTTTAATTAATATATATATATATATATATTTTATACAACCTTCATAAAATCTTTCATCTGTTTAGCTTCTAAAATACCTTGTAATGTCGCCTTCAAAAATAAACCCTCATTTCTTACAAAGCCTTAGACTTACTTGTTCTTTCTGATTTAAACTTTCCATTTTTCTAAAATATACTTTTTTACGCACCGCTTATTTTTTTTTACAAATTAAATTTTAATTAAAAATCATTAATTATATATTAAAAACTATTTAAAACAAAAATATTTAATAAATACTAACTTTTCTTATCTTAAAAAGACTATTTCTATTCATTATATATAAATACTTTTAATTTTGTATATATTGGATCTAGATTTGACGAAAAACTAAATCTATCGATGTTTTATTTCAACATAATAGAGAAAAATATAGGATAAGAGATATAAAATAAAATATAATAACAGATACAAAGAGCCCTTATATATTTAATAGCTTTTGTTTAAACATAAGGAACTTTTTTGGACTTTTTTCCGGTTATTTAAAGATAAAAAAGACGATATTTTAGATTAATTATTTTATTATATCATAAGGTTAAAAAATGCAGGAAAAAGGACAAAAATTAAATGAAGCTATAACACTTAGTCAAAAACTATCACTTTTTCTATCATGGAGACAATTTAAAGAAAAACAAGGGTGGAAAAAGCTTGTTACAGAAAAAACAAAAGGCATGTTTTATTCATCTATAATAAAAAAAATAAACGAAATTTTAATTAAATATTATTAAATAATAGTTTTTTAGAAGATCTAATATATTTTTATAGGGATTTTTGGAGTTCCTTTGCAAATATCACTTCGATATGCAAATGTAGCTATTTCTTTTGTAGATAATAATGAAAATTCAATGATATATGGGCATATACCTGTTGTTGTAGCGAAGTGTGGTGCATTTTTGAAGGAGAACGCGAAAGATGTTAAAGGAATATTTCGTCTTAATGGATCAGCAAAAAGATGTAAAGAACTACAAACAATATTTGATACTCCACCTAAGTATGGAAGAAATTTAGAATGGGATGGATTTACAGTTCATGATGCAGCAAGTATTTTGAGGCGATATCTTAACTATCTTCCAGAACCCATTATACCTCATAAATTTTATGAACCATTTCGAAAACCTCTGAGTATAAAAAAAAGAAATCTAATATAATCTTATTTTTATATAGAAAATGAATCCTATAATAAAGAAGAATATATTTCGATATATAAAAGGCTTATTGCGTCACTTCCGCCTATAAATAGACAATTATTGTTATATATATTAGATTTATTAGCTGTTTTTGCTTCAAAATCCAAAGAAAATTTGATGACAGTGTCCAATCTTTCATCTATTTTTCAACCTGGTATTCTTTCACATCCTGAACATGATATGTCACCTAAAGATTATTTCCTTTCGCAAAAAGTTCTGATATTTCTTGTGGATAATCAAGATCATTTTTTCACGAATACAGCTGGGATAGATTCTGATTTAGTAATATCATTAACGCGTTGTAGAGATAACGATATTTTAGAGAGAGCATCTACTATAAATTCTCTTAAGTTTGCATCCAGAAAGAAACATAATGTTTTAAAAAAAATACCACATGTCAGTTCGAAGAGTTTAAGTTTCCATAAAAATAAACATTCAAAATCAATGGATTTTAATTTGAAAAAATCTTTTCGATTCCTATTACGCAGCAACGTATTACCAAATAAATCTCAGTGTATAGAGATTGATTCTCATGTTATACAAGACTTAGTTTCCCCTAAAAAGTTAAAGACGTTAAAAAATTCTAAATTTCCGTCGCGAAAATTGTCTATTGACAATAACACCTTTTACAATAAGATAAAAAGGTTAGTTTATCTCCTATTTAAACATCTCTATTTATAGTCTTTAAAATAGGAGGAATTCATATTCTAGCATGGGAACATCTACAGAAGATATTCATATTTATTCAACTTCAAGGACTTCAAAAAATACAAAGTCAAAGTCATTTATATATACTTTTTCATCATCTCTAGTTGACGCAATTCGACCATTGAAATTTCAAAATAAGTCTTTATACAAAACAATACCAATTAATTTATCATCATCATCGTTGAAAACTATTGGAACTTGTTCTAATACATCTCCATTAAAGCTAGAAGCACATCGATCTTCTCAATCTATACATTCGGCTCATTCTCGAACCATTTCAATTCCTAGTTCTTTAGCATCGGAAGATAAATTTTCTAGAGATAGTTCGATTTTTACAAAAAAAGCACCAAGAAAAGATTCATCTGGAGATGCTCAATATATTTAGGAAATCTCAGTTTATAATAAATGGAAGAATACAGGAATTCTATTACGCTCATAAAAGTTGTATGATTATTTTGTTTGGTATATATTATTTTTTTTTATTTTTATATTAATGTTTTTCTTAGGACTATCTTTAATATTTAAAACTGAAATAATATATGATGTTATTTAAGATAAGTTATATTTACACGGAAATTCCTTTTTCTATTATTTCAAACCTTTCAATACTTTATTTTTCATTAATATCGTTTTCTTTTATAAATATTTTAATTAATATCTTATATAATATTTTATCAATTTACTTTTAATTATAAAATAGCCTTTAGCCATCTTCTTCTTATTTATTTTTTTAATCATCTATTAAAAATTGTCGTGAATATATAAGTTATACTATCATTTGTGCTAATTTAGATACAAATATATCTTAGATATAAAAAATCTAGAAATACATTCCCTTTTTTTTAAAAAAAACAAAAAATTCAAATATTTTACAAATATAATTTTAATATCCTTTTAAATGAAAAAACATTAAATATTTCTCCAAAAATAAGTTAAAAATAACACTTTATAATAAATCTTAAAAAAATTAAAATATTAAAAAACCAATTAATTATGTTATCATAAAAAGGTTAAAATAAGATTAAAAAATTAATATAAAAATATAAAAAAGAATCTATTTATTCCAAGATATTCAAAAAATGAATATGGAATTAATTAAAAACTTTTTTTAAATTTTTTTCCGATTTACCAATAACCTTTATAAAATTTAAATATTTAATATGAAGGATAAAACATTTTGGATTAGATATATTTTTACATTTTCTATTTTAATATTAATATTTTCTTGTGACAATGTGAAAGCATCAAGACACGATTGGTCTAAAAGGGAAATGCCAAGAAATCCTAAAGAAAAAGATCCGTTCTCTGAAATTTCATTGAATGAAACTATAGAACTTTTAATAAATGATATTTCTTCAGGAAAATTTGGGTTTCTTTCAGCAGTATTATTTCTTATTTTTATATTGAAATCTGATTTTTAAGGGTTTTGGCAATTGTCCATTTTTATCTGAATGTCAGGAATCAAGAATTCCATATCTTCATCTAGGTTATGATTGTTATACATATACTATGCAAAATATTTCAAATATTTTTAGATCATGTCAACAATTGGCAGTATTTTTACAATTAAAGTAAGATTTCTCAACAGTATAGAAACGTATTAATATTTTAGGAATTTTGTAAATTATAGAAAAGACCAAGAGCCTGACGAACCAGAAGGCAATAAAAGCGAATTTTGCCAGCATTTATGTTCAGATTCAAAAAAATGTCCGTCGTACAATAAAGATAATAAATTAGAATCTCTTAAAGATTTAGTATACAAGTTTGAAGATCATATAATGGTATTTTTTATATCTAATTTAATATTGGGAAAATATTTAAAAATTTTAGGAATGTCTAAATATAGACAAAAAATCTCATAACCCAATCTATTTTAATATATACGAAAAAAAAAAAGGTAAATTACTCCAGACCTTTTTCCCATTTTCACCGACTATTAATTCAATATTGGCCACTTTTTACATCTCAGGTCCTCCCAACTTTGTTTTGATGCTTATTCCAAATAATATAAATAAATCTCTTTTGGATATTTTAGTTGCATTTGCAATTGGTGGCTTTTTTGGAGATATTTTCTTACATCTTCTTCCCAAAGTATTTTTAGATAAAAAAACTAACAGGGATTTCGATATAACATTTTTTGACAATCAGAAAAATATTGTTCTTAGCTTTTTTATTCTTATGGGTTTTGTTTGTTTTATGTTAATAGATAAAACTTTGCGATTGTTTATAAAACATGATTCTAATCATGACCATAATGAAAAATATATAAAAGATGGTGAAGATAAAAAACATGATAAGCCTATAGCAGTATCTACTTCTATATCTTTAAAATCGGATAATACAAATGATATTAAAAAGAGGATTGTAGTTAACGATGAAAAAAAAAGAGATTCTTCAATATCTTCTGCAAAGGTTTTAAAACCAGCATTATCTGGTTATCTCAATTTTATAGCAGATTTTTTTCATAACTTTACCGATGGTTTAGCTTTATCTACATCATTTTATGTTTCTCCTATAACTGGGATGACAACAACAATGGCTATTTTCTTTCATGAAATTCCACATGAATTAGGAGATTTCGCTGTTATTTTGCATTCTGGATTTACAAAATATAAAGCATTAAGCTGCCAATTTATAACAGCTACTGGCGCCTTTCTAGGAACATTTATAGGGATTCTAATAAATAAATTTTCAACAAATTTTTTTAATACTAAAACATATCTTTTTAATACTTCTATTGTTTTAAACGATCTTGTTTTATCTTTTGTAATAGGTAAAAAGTTTTAATTAATACACATTTTTTATTTAATATTTAGGAACATTTCTTTATGTAGGAACTATAGGAATTGTTCCCGAACTGCTAAATGATAAAAATAATAGATTTTTTATAGTATTTGCTCAATTAATTGCAATTTTTTTAGGTTTCGGATGTATGCTTATTATTTGAGCGAATATTCAATTTTCTGTTAAATAATAACATTTAACCATTAACATTTTTGATCTTAAATATATATTGAATATATTTAACAACATAATTCAAACATATAAATTAGAAATAATTATTTTAATATTCTTTATCAACATTTTCACTTATTAGTTATGTAAATATCTTTTTTTAAAACCTATAATTTCAGATATTTGATTTACAAATTTATATAACCATTCAGTAAAAAAAGTTAGTCCTCCAATAATTGCAAAAATACGCATCAAAAAATGAAATAATGAAGTTCTTTTTCCAGTAATTGTTAAACTAATAGGTTCAATATCATAAATGAAGAGTATTCCTATTAAAAACTAAGATATTTTCTCAAAAAAGAAAAAAGATATTACCTGGAACATTAAAATAATCAACTGCGGATGCCTTTCCTTTAACAGAATATTTATTAGTTAATACACGTTTATTGCCTTTAACAAATGTAGTGGGAACAATAGATATATAATATTGAAACAAATAAAAATCTATTATTAATATAATTTGAAACTTTATCATACAGATTACTTACTTTCATGTGTAATTTCTCCAGTTTTATCTAAAGGACTAATAATATTAGAATAATAGGTACCAAATGAAAAACTATTAATAATATGTGTAAAATTCATTTCTATTTTCATTATTTATCTGAAATAAAACATAAAATATTACTTTTATGACTTAAATGTTTAATTCCATATCCATGTCCTTGAGCTGTAATATGAAAAATTCCTACAACCCTATGAATCTCTATACTTCCATAAACCCTACAAGCAGAAGCATTCAATACATTTTTTCCTGGCTTAAAGCTTTTCTTTCCCAAATTTTGAAAAACATGTTTTACACTTTCAATTGGCTGAAAATATTTTCCTGAAAAATCAATTGATGAAGGTTCAAAAAGCGCCTATATATATAGAATTAGTCCTCATATTATGTAGAGATATATGGCCCATTACACCCTCCTTTTTTAATGTTTGTCCCGCCAAAATCAACTCTGAAGTAACATCTTTTACATTTACATCAATTACTGAAAAAAAAAACAAAAATTAGAGAAAATACAACTCATGAACTCTTCTATATACCATCACAAGGCATTGCAACAACAATATCAACATTTAAAGTTATATGTTCCATCAAATCTTTCTCAATATTAAATTGATGCTCTTCTACACCAGTTTTATAGATTAATATCTCTTTCCAAACGAAAAAAATGAGTAATATAATCCATATAAGTGTAAAAAGACTCCCTTTTGATGATTTTTTTGTATAACATGAGTCTATTTTAGGGAAATAATCTAATTTTTTAATATGTGGAAAAGCAGAAAATTTTCTAATGCCAGGAAGCCCTTCAAAATTTTCCATTTAAACATACACTCGATTCTTTAATATTTCCTGAATGTTCATTATATTTTAAAAAACATATGTAGACAAGGTTCGAAAACTTTATAAGGATGTTTAAAGTTTTATTTATATTTTCAAAAATGATAGAAATTATATAAAGAGAGAATAATTTTTATATTGTTATATATGAAAATAAGGAGTATGTATCATCTTTAAAATAGTGTTACATAAAAAGCATTTTTGTTATGAATCATTTTGCATATCACAAATACAACGAATACAATTTCCAGTCTATATTTAAAATTATTTTGAGAAAAAAAATAGAAAAAAACTTACTTTCATTATTTGAAATCCTTCATTGATAGTTTTTATATTTTTTTTATGAGTAATATATTCATCAAGTTTAAGTTGACCTTTCATATAAAGTTCAACAAGTTGAGGAATTTCAGATCGACCTTTAATACCGCCAAAAGCAGATCCAATAATTTGACGACCAGTTACGACAAGAAAAGCTTAAAATTAAATATGGAATGAATTTTAAATAATAAAAACTTACGTGCAAAGCAAAGTTTTTTACCTTCAAGAGAAGAACCTATAATGCAAAGCTTTCCCCATCCTTTTGCTGATACTTCAAGAGCTTGTTCCATAACATGAACATTCCCTGTACAATCAAATGTATAATCAAACCCCCCATCTGATATTTCTATAAGATAATCCCGAATAGAAACATCCATTTTTAAAGGATTAACAAATTCAAAATCCGTATTAGCCACAAACTTTCTTGCCCATGATTCTTTATCACTATTAATATCAATTGCTACAATTTTTTTGGCTCTAGATGCTACTGCTCCTTGAATAACTGATAAACCAACACATCCAATACCAAAAACAGCAACTGTTGACCCAGGATCTATTTTTACAGAACGAGTAGCTGCTCCATATCCAGATGTTATTCCTAAAATATATTTATATCAATAAAAAATAAATTAAAATATACCACAACCGAGCAAACAGATCTTATCCAAAGGAGCTTCTTTAGAAATAACTACCAACGAAATATCTGGAATTACTAATAGTAACATTATATAAAAGTTTTTAAAATATCTATATATTTATTTTTTACCTGTATATTGAGAAAAAGTCGATGCACCCATAAAATGAAAAATTTCTCTCCCATTTGCCCTAAATCTCGTTGTTCCATCTGGCATTGTCCCTCTAGCCTGTGTTTCACTGATTTTCATACATAAATTTGTTTTGTCACTCTGACAAAATTTACACATTTTACATTCAGGAATATATAATACCAATACTTTTCTAATTAAAAAAAATATATAACCCTTTCCATATAATACCATGATCCCCTTTTTTTATGTCAATTACACCCTTTCCAACAGATTCTACAATTCCTGCTCCTTCATGTCCAAGTATCATTGGAAATTTCGCTTCTTCCTTCCCCATAAGCGTATATACATCTGTATGACATAAAGCAGACCTAATCCCCATCTATTTAGTACAAAATAATAAAAACCTATGCCATTATTTAACAATGACAATTATTATTTAATACCAAATAATTTTTACACGGACTTCATGAGCTTTTGGTGCTAATACTTCTATTTCTTCATATGAAAGTTCTTTTCCTAATTCCCAAGCAATCGCTGCCTAACAATTCTATTTAATCAGTCCTAATTAATATCTAAATAACTTACCTTACATCGGATCCTCTTTGTGTTTGACATAAAACTTGATAAAAGATTCCTTGATTATCTTATTTTATCTATCCCCATCCCTATCTCTGTAAGATTACGGACTTTACTAGGGTTAGATTTAAGGGTATAGGATACAGATGATATTAGAAAGTCAATAACTAGGGTTAGGTGTATGGTAATAGGGCGTTGAGAGGCTGGAAGACTAGGTATTATGCGAAAGTTCTTTAGGTTGATATAAAAGACATATTTTTAAGGTGCAATATAAATAAAAAGGATGAGAAATAAACTAACAAAAGGATAGGAGAGGAGGTTTATTATAAATTTCTTTAAATTATTGATAACTTTATTTCCGAGAAGTTTTACCTCAAAGCCGTTCGATTAAAGTGAGGAAAAAAGAGAATTAAATAGAAAAGCAAAATTTGAAGAAAAAAGTTAAAAAATAAGCTAATAATAATTGTTTTCTATCCTTTGAATTCACAAAGGTATGGAAGGGTGTTTTATGTATTCTTTGAACGGTATTTTTATTGAAACTAGAAAAATAATTGAATTTAAGTAATTAAAAGAAGTCTTTTTTGACTAAAGTAAAATATTTTTTATTTTTATCAGTTAAAGGATTGATACATAAGAAATAGAAGGGATTTTTTTAAAAAAATAGACTTTAATTAAAAAATGCAAATATTTGTTAAAACACTTACAGGAAAAACGATTACTCTTGAGGTTGAATCGTCGGACACGATTGATAATGTTAAAAGCAAGATTCAGGATAAAGAAGGGATTCCTCCAGATCAACAACGTTTAATATTTGCAGGAAAACAATTAGAAGATGGAAGAACTTTATCAGATTATAATATTCAAAAAGAATCTACGTTACACTTAGTTCTTCGTCTTCGCGGTGGAGCAATTCAAAGATGTACCATGAAGCAATGTAGTGCATCTGCTGTAAGAATTGTAGGTGACTGTAACTTTTGCGATGGACATTTTTGTGGCCGGCATCGACAGCTTGAAAACCATGCTTGTACAGGTTTGCAGGAATGTCGTCAACAAAGTCATGAACGAAACAGAACTAAGCTCCAAAAAGAACAATGTGTAGCAAGTAAAGTATAGATATTGTTTTATGCAAGTCTTCGCACTTTTTTGTATTATTCACTGAGATATCAGTGATTTTTTTATTATAATTGCGTTTAATAAGATTTTTATTTTTTATCTGTTAAATATTTATATAAAAAACTTTATGAAGATTTTGTAATATCAAGCAACTGAAGGATGGAGTCACAAGATTTTCAACATAAGCTTGATGCAGCAAAAAAACATATGAATGAAGTAAAAAAGAAGAAACGTGTAAATTCTTCTATAAATAATCAAGATTTAAATGAAAATGTTTCAGTTTCTCTAGAAAGTTCAGAAACAATATCTTCTCCTGTAACAAATAAACCTATGTTAGAAACTGTAAAAGAGGATCCTGAAATTTATTCTAAATCACAAATCAAAGAAAAAATTTTAAATCAAGTAAATATTCAGGACGTTGAAAGTTCTAAGTTTATGGAAAATGTTAAATCTTTAGAAGAAGATATAGTAACAAAACTACACTCAAAAAAAACAGTTTTAAATGATTCACTAAATCCTTCTGAATCTATAAGAACACTACAAAATGAAGTAAATGAGCTAAAATTACGTGTATCATTATTAGAAAAGAATTATCATGAAATCAATGATAAGTTAAATATAATTTTATCAAAAATACAAGTAAATAATGCACTATTTGAGGAAAAAAAAGAAGCGGGATTTATAGATAATGAAAGAATAAATCAATTGGAAATGATCGTAGAGGATTTAAAAGATAAGTTAGAGAAAAGTCAAGAAAAACAAAAAATATTAGAAGCATCGCCGAAAATAATTTGTCAAACAAATCCTCAAACACATGATGATTTAAGTTTTGAAGATATTTCATTAAATACTACCTATCTGTCGCCGATAGTAAAAAATACTACACAAATTTACCATGAAACATGTAAGATAGACTTAAAAAAAATAGGTGGATGTGCAGGATGTATAGGGGATATTTTTGAAGTATAGATATATATATAAAGAACAATGAGATATACTATATTATAATATAGATTTGATAAATTATACATAAATATTTTATCAAAAATTTAATACTTGCTTTGGTAAATTTAATAGAACCTATAACATAATCCACCTATGCATCCCCATTCATTATCATTCCATTCAGCTAAACCTGCATATTAGATAATAAATAAAAAATATAATAGGTCTTTACAAAATATATTCCTAAGATTCATTTTTATTGCCCTATTATTTGAAGATGATTCTAATAATGACATTGGCTTAATTGTTGACTTAATTATACATGAAGTAGTTTCTAAAAAGTCAATCATTAGATATAATTTACAATAGAAATTACCATCACGAAATTGTTTTAAAAATGAAATAAGATTTGTCCCTCCAGTGCCTTTTAGATTTTCTTTCTCATTAACATGTTGTGCAAGACCTATATTCATAGAATTCTTTTTATAATCTTTATTCTCAAAATTTTCAATTTTACTTTGAATAATAATATATCGTGAAACAACTTGTAAATGTTTATCACGTAATGTTTTAAGACTAGTTACACATGCATTATATGCAGAAACAACATCAAGGTCGTTAGAATTATCAAGAGAAAACTGCCTAATATTCATAATTTTTTCAAGATGTTCTAAAAATCGTCTATGTGATCCTGGCATATATTCCCTCATTTCTTGAAAAAAATTGCATTTTTTTTGAACAGGTGTATTACATGCATTAGTTCTATAAAATAGTATACCAGTAGGGCGGTGATCAACTCCTAGCGCAATATCAAGAAGATGAATTAGTGCAGATTGACCATTTGATCCACCAGAATATTGGCGATAATCTTCCGAACATCCTTCATAAATAACACCTTTTGGAAGCCCTGTATCAGCCATATTTTTCCAACCCGAAAGATATGGACGTATCTAAAAAATTAGATACTTTTCATAAGAATAATAAATTACCTTCCAGTAAAAAATATATGGATCACATTTTTCATAAATTCTACAAAAAATTTCTGTAATTTTTTCTATATAAAAAGAAAGCCTTTTCATATTATAAACATATGTATTCTTATCCCTAGCATATGCTGCTGAAATAGTGTCTAAAATAATCTGAAGACAAGGTGCACCTTCAATCTCAATAAAAGTAGAAATAAGATAAAACCAAGATTCATCTTTTGTACCAGAAAATGTATGTAACGTCGTCAAATTTGAAAGATCTATAGGCTCATTTGGAAAAGGGTGTCTCCAATTCCATAAGCATACTGCTGCATAAGAAATAACAGGACGTATTTCAAGAATCTCTGAGACTTGTACCCATGGTTTTGCAATAGATGCAGGCAATCTATCCGATGGTTTTTTCTCAATCCATACATAAGAATGAGCCATAAAACTTAAAATAAGATAACTTCGTTGTTTTTCTTTTAAAGAATCCAGATATTCAACTGAAAGAATTGGAAGCTAATTTAGATTATATATTTCTTAAATAAAAAAATATTCCTAAAAAATATACCTCATCAATAACTCTTCTAAATCGTCCCATAAGAATATAATCATTATAATGATCCATTATTTTTTCCCATGGCTCATAATATTTTTTAGTTAATCGAGCTAAAGGCTCTTTATCTGGTAAAAACCCCATCTTCTCTGAAAGCCCGTATTCTTCGAGACGAGGAATCCTTATTTCCATATTTTATATAGCAATAACTATCTATTCATTTATAAGATCTGTATATCTCTAATTTTCTTAAAATTGATATGTTGATAAAATCACGTGGCAATATAATCCAAAATCTTTAATTCGTTTTACGTATTGAATAATTTCATATATTGCATTTTAGATATTTTGTATAATATCATTTAATCCTATTAAGCAGATATATATATAAATAGATTATAAAATTTTCAAATATTCATATAAAAAATAAATTGTTTCTTTTAAATATTAAAAAAAATCTTTATAGTATCAATTCATAAAAATATAATCTTCAACAGGTGAAAAAAAGCGAATCCAGTCTTTCAATTCTTTAGAAATCAATTGATATCTTGTAAAATTATTAATGCAAAAACGTATATAATTTTAAATTATAATCTTCCAAGAAATAAAGACAAAAATAATTCGATTAAACCAAAAAAACCCTATATTCCATTCTATAAATAGTTTGACAGGATGTAATTGTACCTCTTTTTATCCATTTTCATTCTTTTAAAATCATGTTATACGAACCAAAAAAAACACTACAAAGAACGATATAAAAACAACTATAATACTTAAAAGACTAAGCCAAAACGTTCCTGAATTGACTCTACGATATTTTTCAAGTCGTTTATTAGTTATCTGTATTATATTTAAATTTTTTCCTAATAAATTCCCCGTCGATAAAATAAGCTACATTTATCAGCTTTTTTCTTATAAATTAATCCATTTCCCAACTGATTGATCTCTCTCCGCTATTTCCCCCATAGCCCTTGCATTTACTTTCATTTCTTGAGCCAAACGCAACATTTTTTCTGTCATTGCATCTGCCATCTCTCGATGTTGTATTAAAATCTCTTCTGTTGCTTCTAATTCAATATTCTCTACTGATTTTTCTTCTACTTCATCTATTTCTAAGTTATCTTCTTCTTTCTGTTTTTCCTCAATTCTCTCAATAATCTCCTCAATTTTCTGCCTTTCTACTCTCATATTCTGCCCCAAATCCTCTGCACGCAATATAAGTTTTCTTGCATACCTTGCATTGGCACGTATTTTTGCAAGCTCGGGTGTCTCAGCATAGGAAAGCTTTGTGAGATTGACCTGAAGACGACTAATAAAACGCTGGATATCCATACTTTAAGATTTAATATATAAAACGAAGCGAACACGTAGACTTGGATTAACTCTGATATTTTTTTATAAGTAAATGAGGAGTCATTAAAGAAAAAAAGAATAGTTAAAGAGTAATAGGAAAAGGAAAATTGAATATTAGGTCTATTTTTGAAAACAGAAACTGTATATCTTTTTTTTCTTATTAAATGGAAGATAATTAATAAAAGATTAAATAATAATTATTATGTCAGAATTAAGGAGAAAAGGAATAAAGAATGGAGATTTTGTACTTTCAGGGAAAGAAAGAAATATAGGAGGTCGTCAAATGGCAGAAATAAATAAGAATGAGACGTTAAAAATGAGTTTTTTCAAGGGTACACATTTTAGACAATTTCAAGACCGAATGCCATTGAATAAGAAAAATACAGAGACAGGGAATGAGTCAAAAATATGGTCTTCAAATATAAAAAGAAAATCCCATTCATTTCGTCCTAATTATTATAAATATAAAAAAAAATCAAGAAATATTCTTAAACGATCAATTTCAACAGAATGTTTAGATAATATTTCATTACCCTTTACAGCGTCGTCGAGTATTGCTAGATTTTCGTCATTATCATTGCCAATTGCGTTTCATAATACGGTTCAAGATAGTTCATTATATGGACATGATTTTGAGCATTCGAGTGGGACTTTTCGGAAGAAGATAAGTTTATCAAAGCAACCTAAGTATGCACCGTTTCTATTTTATTCTCTGGCTACGACAGAAATAGCCAAACCTAGTATGTTAATTTCTACATGAGATTTTTATATTTATTTTCAGACATAAGTTCCATTGTTTTTTCAACGATTTCTATTATGCAAACTATTGGATTGCCTTCATTTATAATTCGATCTATGATAACTGAACAGGATCTTTATGCACTTCGTGAACTTTGGATTCGTCGACAAGCGGCAAAGCATGGTTTCGATATAACAAATATTCTCAATAGACCATATTCTATATCTACGAATCCTTCAATTTTGACGCTTCCAACGCTCATTAGTCCGAGTTTTAGTGAAATTAGCGTTTTTGAAAGCGACAGTGAAGACAATAAATCATTAAAAGATGCATCAAAAAAATTTAAAACTAAAAAATCGTATGTGAATTTTAATTTTCTAATTGTTTTTTATTTATAATAGATGGTCAAATTTTATACGTTTCAAGCAACCTTTACAATTAAATTCTAATAAATCTAAACTTAGAAAAAAACGAAATGGTATTTTTATTATATATAAAGTATTGTTATTTTAAATAATTTAGTGTCTTATATGATATATGGTTCTTGTAAAACAGAGGAGGAAATTTTTAATTTATCAGAAAATACAATTTTACATATTCAAGACGATATGGGTTTTGATGTTTTGGTTACAGCCAAAAATCATTCAAAACGTTATATATTAATTGCAGGAACAATTGATTGTTTAGTAGCACAATGTTCTTTGAGTCTTAATAAGACTTTAGATCATGATCATGTTGAACTATTGATTCGCAGTTTCTCTTTTTTTTGTACTATTACTCAATTTTTAAAAATAATCATTAATCAATTTCGAGTTTCATTTCGTAATCCTAATGGTAAAGTTGCACGATCAAGGTAGTTTTTATTAAAGCTTTCTTTGTATATTTTTAAGTTATAATATAGAATTTCCTCTGTTTTAACAAAATGGCTTGCTATTCAACCAGAAGATATTTGCCGAAATAGTACTGCTTATGAAATGTTTTATATGTTTATTGAGGAAGTAAAATTTTGTGGATGTTTTTTTGAAGCTGAACAATGCGAAACTATTCTTAAAGCTCAACTAGCTTTACTTGAATCACGACGTGCTTTTTATAAACGTAATTTTCATTTAAATTTTCAGCGAGAATTAGCTTCTTTTTATAAATTTTCTAAAGGAAAATTAAAGCTTGTTGGTAATTTGCCTTCGATTTTTTTAAATCCTTTTACAGTAGCTAAATACCTTGCTGTTATGGATTATATACTAAGCAGAGATGCTGTTGATTTTGCTGCTATAAAACTTTATTGGCATAAAAGAGGAACTCTAGATAGTAGAAAAAAAAAGCTTGTTGATAAAATAGATCGTTTTGTTAGACGAACTGCAATGGTAATGTTTAATTTATTATACCTTTCTTTAATTATTATTTTAGTTGGCTCATTGGATAGCAGTTGAAATTCTTCAACAAAACTCTTCTGAAAAAAGAGCAAAAACTATTTGTTGGTTTATAGATATTGCAAAGGTTTTTTTCTTATATGTTTTAAAATTTTATTCATATTATTAGAATTTATATCATTTAAATGATTTTCATTCAACAATTATTATTACTAATGTTTTAATTAATCCTCCTGTTAAAACTCTTTATCAAACTTGGGCTGCTGTACCCTCATCATATATTGCATTTATGGATACTTTAAAAAATCTCGCTTGTCATTCGGATGGAATGATAGCTTATCGTAAGCTTTTAACACAATCTAAATCAACAACGATACCTTATTTTGGTAAAAAAGTTATTTAAATATTTTAAAAATACCATTTAACTTTAAATAGCACTATATTTAGAAGATATGTCATCTATTACTAATCTTCCAACATACATTTCTTCTGTTATTCCTGGACATTCTACAGAAAAACATTTTGTAGCAAACGTTTCTGTCCTTCCTTCATTAGCATCTTTAATTCCACGAAATGTCGATCCTGAAATGATTAATCTCCAAAAATTTAGGGCGTTTTGTAAAGAAGTCAATACTTTCTTAAATTATCTTTCTGAACCTTATCCATTCTATCTTGAACTTGATTGTAATTCTTACGGTTTACAACTATATCCTATATTCAATCCTATATCAATTTCTCACAAAACAATTCCTACTGGTAGTTTAAATTATATATCTGAAATCATCGATAAGGCTCTTTTATACGCATGGACTTTATCTGAAAATGATGATATTATTCATGTTGAAAATCCTCAACTTTTAGTTTTAACAAAGCTTTTGGAAATGACTGGGGAGAACTATTCTTTTTAATATTTATAGTTATTATATTCCTTATTTTCTACATTTCATAAACTACTAGTTCCATATATATAATATTATTTAACTTTTAAACATATCTTTTATTGCTTTTTCCATTTAATATTTCATCTATATCTTTAACCCTGCGAATAAGAAGGTTTTTTTCCTTTGAAAGACTTTTTAAAATATCAAAGGATGCCTAGAGAAATTATTACAATTCAAGCTGGACAATGTGGAAATCAAAGTAAAAAAGCGTTTTATTATAGATTTAAGTTAACAATTAATTTTTTATAGTTGGATCTCAGTTTTGGCAACAATTATGTTTGGAACATGGTATTCGTGCAGATGGAAATCTTCAAGACTTTGCGAATGAAGGCGGAGATCGTAAAGATGTGTTTTTTTATCAATCAGATGATACTCGTTATGTTCCTCGTGCAATTCTTGTAGATTTAGAACCAAAGGTTATTTTTATATAAATTAAAAAGTTAAAAGAAAAATTGATAAGTATAAAAGGTTATAAATAGTATTCTTTCAGGCGCATTTTCAAAATTATATAATCCGGAAAATGTATATCTTTCAAAAGAAGGAGGAGGAGCAGGGAACAATTGGGCTACAGGATATTCTTCAGCAGAAAAGATTTTTGAAGACGTTATGGATATGATTGATAGAGAAGCAGATGGAAGTGATTCTCTAGAAGTTTGTTTTCTTGTTTTTTCTTTATAGAATTATTAAGTGTTTTTATATTAGGGATTTCAATTATTACATTCTATCGCTGGAGGTACAGGTTCAGGTCTTGGATCATTTTTATTAGAAAGATTAAATGATCGGTTTCCTAAGAAGCTTATTCAGACATATTCAGTTTTTCCAGTTAATCAACAAACATCAGATGTTGTTGTACAACCTTATAATAGCTTATTATCTATGAAACGTTTATCGCAAAATGCAGATTCAGTTGTAAAATCTTATTTTAAGAGATTATTCAACCTTCTTAATTGTTTAGGCAGTTTTAGATAATGCAGCTCTAATGAGAATTGTAGCAGATCGTTTACATGTGCAGCATGCGTCATTTTCTCAAACAAATCAACTTGTATATATTTATTAATTTATTGGTAGTGCAATAATTAATAGAAACTAGGTATCTACAGTGATGTCAGCTAGCACAGCAACTTTAAGATATCCAGGATATATGCATAATGATCTTGTGTCAATTATTGCATCTCTTATTCCTACTCCACGGTGTCACTTTCTCATGACATCATATACACCATTCATGGGTGATTATGTCGAACAAGTAATTATTTATAATTGTTATTTTTGTTTTATTGGTTTTTAGGCAAAAACCGTAAGAAAAACTACTGTTCTTGATGTTATGAGAAGATTACTTCAACCAAAAAACAGACACGTATCTGTAAATCCTAGCAAAAAGAGTTGTTTTATTTCTATTTTAAATATTATACAAGGAGAGGCAGATCCAACTGATGTATTTTTTTATCTATATTTTCTTTTCTAAATATAATAAGGTTCATAAATCCCTTTTAAGAATTAGAGAAAGAAAGCTTGCTACGTTTATACCCTGGGGACCAGCAAGTATTCAAGTGGCATTATCGAAGAAATCTCCATACATTCAAACTTCTCATAAAGTAAGCGGATTGATGTTAGCTAATCATACAAGCATTGCTTCTGTATCTTTTTTTCAATAATTATATTTGATTCTTTTTGACATGCTTAGTTATTCAAGCGTATCTTAGATCAATATGATCGTTTACGCAAAAGAAATGCATATATTGAGCAATATCGCAAAGAACCAATGTTTGAAGATGGTCTTGAAGAATTTGATGATTCTAGGTAAGCCATCTAAAATACAAAATAATATTTGTCATCCAATATACTGATGTTATTTAGACAAGTAGTAAAAGATTTGGTAAAAAATTCAAATTTCAGTATGTTTCTAATTTTATTTAGATAAATGAATATGAAGCTTGTGAAAATGCAGATTATTTAAATTTTGATGGAAATAATGATTGACTTGTCTTTATAAATTTCTGAAATATTTTAAAGATTTTTCATGATATAAAATGTAAATTAAGAAAATTTACAATTTAATATCGATATATCAAGCTAGGTCTTCGACATCTATAATTTTATATTTATTTATTATATTCTCTAGATTTGAAGTATTATTCATATTTTCTGTATCCTTTTCATATAGATTTTTAGATAAAATATTTTTTTCTTTTATTGAGCTTGGACACAAATTTTGAGAACTTAGTGTACATTGTGAACATTTTCTCCCACGTGGTAAACATATAGTTTGTCCAAAACTAAAAAATAGTCAATTTTAAATTATTTTTAAATTTAATATACCCAACAAATAAATGATTAATTTCTTTCCAATATTTTTTTGGCAACCATGATTCAAGCTTTAATCGTGTTTGTTCCGGGGTCTTTGTATTTACCCATCCGAGCAAATTTGATATTCTATGTACATGAACATCTACACCAATCCCTTCAGTTTTATTCCAAGCAGAAGAAAGACAAAGATGTGCCATTTTAAGACCTAAAAAATTTTAGAACTAATATAGTAAAAAATTCGGTTTTACCTACTCCAGGAAGAGCAACAAGATCTTCAATAGTTGATGGAATATCTCCATTATAATCTTTTTCAAGAATTTTAACAGTTTCTTTAATATATTTCCTAAGTAATATTAAAAATATTAATATATCTTTATAAAATTACGTTTTTCTATTGTGAAAACCAACAGGTCTAATATAATCATTAAGTAGATTTTCATCAACTTCTATTAAGCTTTTTAATGTTAATCCACCAGGAAGTTTTTGTTTTAATGTTTTCATTGCAATATAATTTGCTGTATCTTTTGTTTGACTTGAAAGCATAAGACTTATAAGAGTTTGTAAACGACTGGTCTAAAATAATAAGAAAAATTTTACATATAATTATAAATAAATATCTTAACATCAACATCTTTGTCTGCTGCTACATCACATCCCATAGTATCTACTGGAGCATTTGATGCAATTGTTTCCCTCATTTTCTTAATTTCATTATATACTACTTTCCAATATTTTGGTGAACTTTCTGATGTATTTTCATTATAATCAATTCTCGAATGTAATAATATATCTGTTTCTAATTTTTTCACCGCATCAGAACGTCCTTGTTCTTTCATCTTTTGTATACCATTTGGAAACCTATTTCTTGTATTCTTTCTTAAAAAATTGATTACTGTTTTTTTAGTTGTATTTTTTGAAGCGCAGTAAGATCTTTGAGTCATTAAAACTTACTTAATAGAAATAATTATCAATATTCCTAATAAATAATAATATCTTTTATCCTTAATTTAATATTTTAATTATAAAGGAATTGCTTTTTATAAATATATTTAAGATATTTATGCAATCCTTTTTTACTATTTTTTCTAATATTTAAAAACTTTTTTTAAGAAATAAAACAAAGTCCTTCCAAATAATCATTTATATATAAAAGTAAATGTCTAAATGACTTTAAATATATAACTCTCGAGATTAGATATTTTTTTAATATTTAAGACGTTGCGATCTTATATCTTAAGTAAATATTATAAGAAAAACAAATAAATGAGGGTAAATGTTAGAAATTTTTAAGGAGTTAACTTATTTTTTAGTTATAGATCTATATTTATTTTTAATATAGTTTTTTGAACAATTTTAAATAAGTGTATAAGACCTCTAAGTTTTAAGAAATATTTAAAAAAATACATGAATATTTTATAAAAAGATGTTATTTGAATCATTTCAAAAAGATAAGGATCTATCAGTCATTTTGCCTCAAGTTGAATGTATTGTTCGTGCAAGAATCCCTACGATATCAGGAACTGAACATTTTATTCATTTATATCATAATGATTTTGATAAAAAAGAACATCTTGCTATTGTATTTGGGAATAAGATTAAAAGTTCATCACTTTATCGTTCTAGAAATGGGGAAACAGAGACAGATAGGATGATACGTGGAGCGTATAATGGTAAACTATATCCTGGTAGAACATCTTCTAAAGAAAATTGTGCGGAAAGTAACAATTATTCATTATCAAGGGCACCTCTTGTTAGGATTCATTCGGAATGTTATACGGGTGAAATAGCATGGTCAGCAAGATGTGATTGTGGAGAGCAATTAGAAGAAGCAAGACGATTGATGACATTGGAGAATGATGGAGTCATTATTTACTTGCGTCAAGAGGGGAGAGGTATTGGATTAAAAGAAAAATTAAAGTACAGTGACTTAATATAAAAAATTATATTAATAAAAAGTTAAGGGCATATAATCTCCAGGATTTAGGAAATGATACAGTACAAGCTAATCTGTTTTTAAATCATCCAGCAGATGCACGTACATACGGGGTTGCTATTGCTATTCTTTTAGATTTAGGATTGAAGAACGTTAGATTATTAACCAATAATCCAGATAAAATAAGATCTATTGAAAAGCATCACCAAAAAATAAACGTTATAGAACGTATTCCAATGATTCCGAGGAACTGGACAGGTGAAAATAAAACTAGAATAGCAGAAAAAGATAAATATTTATCAACAAAGGTAGGAATGAAAAGTATATATTTTACGTGTTTCTTATTAATTAAGGTCGAAAAAATGGGCCATTTGTTAACAAAACCATAACATAGATATTAACAATATTGTTTCTAAAATCCGTATTTTTTAAAAATCATAAAAGTGTCATAAGATATATTTATAATATTATTAAAGCATATATTGAAAACACTTAAACTTTAAGTCATAAATACTAATAACTTTTTCAAATAATTCTATATAGATATTTAGATGGTATGCTATATTTCGTGAATATCATAAGAAATGACTTGAATATTATCAATTAATTAATAATTTATGGGTTTTAAGAATTTTTTAGTTCTAATAAAATCTCATGGAACATTTAAATTCTTCTATAAAATACAATAATTTTAATCTTTATAAAAAAATTGATATTTATGAATATTAAAAAAAGAAATAAAAGATTTTTAAATATATAATATTTATTTAGACTAATTTCATAATCCTATAAAATAATCTTTAAAATTTAATTTTCTTTTTTAAAAATACTAAAAATATTTACCTATTTTAAAAAACATAGAATATTGAATAAGCAATGATAACACTCTTTTGATAAGATTTTTATTCTTATAATATATAAAAAAGCCGATCAAAAATATAAATAATTATCATTTATTTATTCGATTTTTGAATTTGAAAACCAGGAATACTATATGGATTAAATTGTCTATCACAATCTGAATATGCTTTTCCAAGTCCAAATCCAAAGCCTATAAAAAATATCAAATATTTATATTTTCAAATAAAAGTTTATACCTAACATAGCCGGCCACATTTTTCCTAAATAATTAAATATATATTCATTTTTAAGAATATTTAAACATAAAGACGCTTACGTTTAAATAAACATACAGACGCAATAATTCCTGAACCCAAGCCTATTCCGGCATTGACTATTGCGTTCGATAAACAAAGATCCCACTATTAAAAATTGCCCTTTTTAACCACAAAAAAATATAATCAATTATAAATCATGCAAACCTTTTCACCGAAGATATCTTCACTATAACTTGTCTTTGTTTGTACCATTTAAAAATCAAAAATAAAAAATTTCCAAATTTAAACTTTTTATAGCTTTTTTTTTTGAAAAAAAAAGATTTATAGACTAAAAAACCATCAGAATTCTCGTTTCATACATAATTAAAGGCAAAATCTCTGAAAACTTCTCCTTTACTTAAATAACTCCCCTCCGCCTTTTTATGACGTTCGATACCTCGCTAACTTCAAAAATATGAATGTTTTAAAGCAAGGTCTCCAAGAGCTTAGAAATCTCTTTAACACTAAACAATATATAAAATGCAGTGAGCTACTAACAAGGCTTAAGATTGCACTTTCAGAGGAAAATTTACTTGTTCCTGGAGCTCATTTAGAGGTTAATGATATGATTCTTGCACGTATTTTAATATTTTTGTATTTATGAAATATTAAGATTTAAGGTGAAATTTTCGAAATCGGTGCGTATACATCTTTGCGTTTATCAGATACAGAGGCGTTTGTACGTTATACGTCACAACTTCAGCCATATTTCTCTAATCCATTGCTTTCAAAATTACCATTATCACAACACCAATCATTATTAACAGGGCTTTGGCTGTTAAATTTACTTGCTAAGAACTGTATTGCAGAGTTTTATACAAGTCTTGAGACCTTGCCTACAGATATGATTGAATATGACAAGTATATTTCATGGGTAATAAAACTTGAACAAAGTATTATGGAAGGATCATATGACCGAGTAAAAAAAATGTTGATACATTGCCCTTCTCCAGAGTATGAGATTTATGTTAATATGATTATGGATTTGGTTAGGTAGATTTATAAATATTATGAAAAAAAAAGATTTATAATTGTAGGAACGAAATAGCAAATTGTTTAGAAAAGGCATATACATCACTTCCTTTGCAAAATGCAGTTGGACTGTTGTTTCTATCAAATTTAAATGAAATTATAGAATTTTCTAATAAAGTATATTTTTAATTAAATTTAAGAATAATTTAAACGTTTTTATAGAAAGAATGGCTTATACAAAATGATAGAATTTATTTCCCGGATAAAGCGTCAGAATCTGTAGATGAAATGTTAATTGATGATCAAACAGGCTCTTTTAAATTTAATGGCATCAAATCAGAAACACCTAATTTAAATTTTGTTCAGCAAATACTTGGATACGCAGAAGAATTAGAACAAATTGTTTAATAATGTTTTTAAAAATATAAATCACTAATTTTATATTATCTATTTTCACCATAAACATATTTTTTTATCATAAAAACTACATGTTACAACTTCCTGTTCATTATACCAGTCTCCAGCATAAACTATACTTTCATGCTCCACAAATTCTTTATATACTCTTACTTTATATACATCATTTTCCAAGATATCTAAATCAAACAACTTTGCTCCTTCATACATTAAACAACCAAGAATCCTAAATTGATTTTCAGAATGCTGAACAAGTCTCCATGGACTGCTCATATTTTCTTTCCAGACATTTTTACTAAAATCACGAGAATCAAATAACCTAATATGATCATCAAATGATCCTGTAATCAACTTTTTGTCAAATGAAATAAAAGATATTACTCCTGCTTCATGACTTTTTGTATTTGTAAATAAAGGTTGCGCTGATGAACGAATATCCCAAATTTTAAAAGTACAATCATCAGAACCTGAAAATATAGCAGATGAATCAATATTATAACATGCTGTCCAACATTCTAATTCATGCGCTTTCCATTTTTGCAGTACTTGAAGTGAATTTAAATCAAAAATACACAAATCTCCCATAGATGTAGAAACTATGGCAGATTTTCTAATACTTGATATTGAAACAGACAAAATTAAAGTATTTGAATCAAAAATTTGTTTAAACCATATACACCTCAAAATAGGATTCTATCAATTAATTAAAACAAATAAAATAAAAAATCTGTATTACACAAGGACCCAATAACTCATAAATAGATATCCCTCCCGTAGAATTAGTAATAAGAAGTTTTTCTTGAGAATTTGAGATCCTAAAAAGTTAAAAATATTATTTAAATACTAATTTTACCATTTCATATCAAGTATTGCATCACATTCAAGATTTTGGATTAACTTTCTAATAAAAATTTAATTCATTCCTCAAAGTTATTTCTTCTTTTTACATTGTCTTTCCACTATAGTCAACCTCATAAAGAAATAAATGTCCCTTTCTTTTATTCTTTGTTTCTAAAAAATATGATCCTGCAACAAACAAATTTAAATAAATATGTGAAAAAAGAATTACATCAATTGGATATGGAGAATATTCTGTATATTTTGATTCCGCTATCATCTCTAAATATTTATATTTTTTAAATATTAACCAATAAGTCCTTTTAAAACCCAGAAGCTTCCAGATTTTCTATTGATCTTAAAAACCAAGGTGTTTAGAAAAAAAACAGGGTTAAAATGGAAGTATTTCCATGCGAAAAAGCCTTCTATAAGAATATCTTTGAAAAAAACACAAGTTTTGATGATAAATGGGAGGCAGGGAATGGATTTGAACCAAATAACTTATATTCTAAACACTCTGAAATATATCAAGACAATTGGTATCCTAAAATAAAGTATGAAGAAACAAAGATTAAGGAGCTTTCAGAATCTAATTCACCGATTGTATACTGGTCAAAATTCTTTATATTATGTGTTAATATTTTATTAGGCATTGACAGGGCGTATTGTAAATATTTATGAAATAAATAATCAAAAAAATATAGAAAATACTTTAATATTAATCTATATAAAGGATGAAACAGATGTTGTTGAGGTATTTGTAAGTTTAGAAGTTCTTTTCCTAAGAAAATCAGGTTAAATATTGGTTAAACAAAAGAAATGTTAAGGAAATTCATTATAATTTAAAAATTGATACATTATGTACAGCCTTTGTAACAAAAACATGTATAAAAAAGGAAGACATATCTAGATTTAAAAAAGCATCAACAGTTCCTTTTTATGTTATAGTTTCAGATGATAATGAAATAACGCATCTTTCAATTTTTAAAAATCAGGACAAAATCTATAAAAAACCATTAAAAATTCAGAAAGATTGCATAATACAGGACTTAATGTCATTGTCTACGTTTATTAATGGAGGATATATGGCTATTTCTAAACCAAAAGTATTAGTATCTATTAGAAAGGTAAAAATAAATATGATATGCTTTTAATTTTTTTAAAAATTAGATTGGAAATATAAGAAAGATAAATACAAAGAATGGCTATTCGGATATGATTGAATTGCGTGTTTTTGATGATACATATGATGCCGTCTTAATTTTATGGGGAAATAATGCAAAATCTGCTGAGTTATGGACGCCTTTTGATACAAGTATAATATTAATTTAAGTAATTGATAACTTACTTATTATTAAAAAGTACTCCTTCTCACTGATGTTTCTTTATCATTTCGTTGTGAAAAGGCGTATCTTACTTTCCAGAAATATTCAATAGTTGAAGTTAATCCAGATATGGATATAGAGGTTAGAGTCTAGTTTTTTATAAATTATTCATTAACCTTAAATTAGTGGCTTCGAAAATATTCTACTGATATAAGTAATAAAGTATCAGATATGCATAAATTATCTCTTGAAGATAGAAGTAAGTATTAAATAGATTATTTCTCTCTATTGCATTAAATTAATTATAGTTATAAGTACATCACCTACTATGGCAACATATACTCTTGCTGAGATTGATACCATGATTCGTTTAAATCCAAAAGGTATTTTAATATTAATTTTTAAATAAATTTTGATTTATTCAGAACCTATCATTGGTTTCATTAATGTTCTTATTGTTAAGACTGCTAAGCTTTCAACACTTCGCTCTTCTAATAAAATTTTTGTTGGAAAATGGTATAAACAATTTATAATAATCGCCTTTATAATATTTAATTAGCTGTGACAAAGTTATTAATGCTTTAGATAACAATGTTAAATGTTCTATCTGTCACCAAAAAATAAAGCTATTCAATGATTCGTTCGTATGAATATATTTTTATAAGAACATTAAAATTCTCAAATATATATAGATCATCGGGCTTTTAGATGAATCAGCTCAGCTTTTATATCCTATGGTTTCTTCTACTGCTTTAATTCAATTGCTTGAAAATTACAAGGAACTTTTTACGCATTATTTTTTTTTTAAAAAAAACTAATGTTTATAGTTAAATCTTTATAATTCCAGTAATTCTGAACTTGATGATTTTTCAGACACGATTCTTTATTCTAGAATATTGTTTCTCTTTGGAATTGAAAGAAATGATGATATTTGGAAGGTTAATTTAATAAAAATAGTAGATAATATAAAATAGTATTTGGTATTTTAAATTATCTTTAAAGTTTGCATTTTTATTTAAATTGTTCTAATATTTATGATTAAAAACATCTAGTAGAAAAAACAATAAAGTGAGAATCTTTATTTTTTATTATTGTATAATTTGATATTTTAAAATTCAAAATTTATAAATTTATATTTAAAAAATATAATTAATATAAAATTAACTTAATTTTTATATAATATAAATATTATAATTTTATTGATATTTTAACTTAATATTTTTAAACCTTAATTTAAAATATATCTAATAAAATAATCTAATATTTCTTAGAATAGATAAATCCTATACGTAAATCACATTCCCTAAAGAAATATTTGTAATAATTATTTTGCAAGATATAATTGCAAAAATTAAGATATAAAAAATATAAATCAAATAAAAGTTTCAGAAAAAGATCTACTAAGTATAACACAAACAACAAAAGAATAAACAATTAAAACATAATAAACAGATAAAAGGTCATTCGCTGGTCATGTCTCTCTGAAATTTTAATATTATGATCGAGATTTCAACATCATTATATAATTGACCATAGTTTTAAAAAGATAGAATATCTAATGATTCTAAGGACCTTATTATATAAAATTCGTAGAAATATATGATTTACGTCTTTTACACAGAATAAAACTGAGATTTAAATGTTTATTAATTTTATAAAGTTAGTAAGAAATAATGTTTAAGAACCTATTTGAACCGTATATTCTGTAGTTAAACTTCTAGTATCATCATCATTTCCTCTAGAAATAGATGTTCCAGAAATAGGATAAGATTCCCTATGAGTTTTATAATCATCTAGATCATTATATGGCATGTTAGAATCTAAATCCTGCCCTAATGTTAATCTCTGACCAATAATCCGGTCAGCTTGTGAGTGAGTAGCAACCTTATGGTTTGCTTTATCGTATACAGATAAACTAGGCCAATTGTCCAAACCTGACAAAAAACTTCCACCAGAAAAGACATTTGAATAATTAGTATTAAATCCAGAAACATTTTGGGAAGTATAAGAATCAATATGTGTTGGAATATTTCCGATTATTGATGAATTATTAGGTATTAATTCAGAAGCAGGTGCTCGAGATGATTTATATGATGGACGATTAAGCGCCATTGTATGTCTCTGGGCTCCACGATATTCGGCTTTTGGCTTAGGAAAATGAATCATAGAGACCTGTAGATTATTTAATGGTCCCTCGACAAGGCAATTTTTTTCTTTGTAATGAACTAATAAATAATGCCATAATGGATGTTTGCACAACACTTTAGGATTACCCAATATAACTATACCATACTTTGCTCTAGTAAGAGCAACATTAAGTCTTCTTGGATCACTTAAAAAACCAATTCCTTGGTGCTCATTAGAACGAACACTAAAATTATTTAATAAATAAACGACCAATATATCAAACTTACCAAGAAACAATAATATAATCTTTTTCTCTTCCTTGGAATGCATCAACACTCGCCACTTCAATCTCTTTATATAGATCCTTTCGCAGAGAACCACTTTGCTGCATTGATGATACAATATATGATCTTTGCCCCTCATATGGCGTAATAATACCAATTTGTGAAAACTTTACACCAGCTTTAAAAAATTTTACTATAATTTTCTCACAGTTTGAAGCTTCCGTTCTAATAGATACATAAATAATAATTATAAAAAGAAATAGAAAACCTATTAAGATAAGAAGTTCCACTAGATGAGATCTCTTCCTGGCCAAGACTTATATGAAACATCATAGGCGTATCATTTACAGGCCATGGAAAATCTACATTTTTACGAAGTCTTTCATTTTTACTAACACCATTTTGCAAAGTTCCTTCATAAAACATATTACTTGGAAATTCACTTAAACAAGGATGCATTCTATATTGAACAGTAAGTCTGATTGGAGAAATTCCTAGAATAACTAATCTTTCAAAAAGCGATTGTTGAAGACCTGCTTTTGCAGCTTTTTTATTCATAATTACAGGACCTTATATATTTTAAAAAATAAATATTAAAAAAAATACTAACCAAGCTGTTGATGATCGCCTACAAGAACGACCTGCTTACAGCCCATAACCAAAGGAATCATGCACTCTGGCTCGGTTGCTTGTGTTGCTTCATCAATTAATACTGTACGAAATTTAAATCTAGATAAACGAGGATCACCACAACCAACACAAGTAGCACAAATAACATCCGCATTCTAGTTCATTAAAGATAATTGTTATTATAGAATAATACTCTACCGATAAAATCTCCTTTTCACAGGCTTTTACTAAAGCTTTATACTTTTTTTCGTCTTGACTACTTAATTCTCCAAGTTCATCTCTCAATTGAATCAATTTCTGCAATTCAGTGTTTGTATCATTATTCCGAACTTGTTCATGTAAAGTTAAAAAAGCAACAGGAGACTCTAAATCCTCTCTAGATTTTGCAGAAACTCTTACTACTTTAAGACCAGTTTGATGTATCTAAGGCAATAAATATAATATTTCTTGATAATAAATAATAAACCTTTTTACAAAGCTGATCTACTGCCACATTTGACGGAGCGCATACTAAGACTTGACCTGGATTCATCTTTGCAAGATGATAAACTATAGTAGCAGATGTAACTGTTTTACCAGTACCTGGAGGTCCCTAAAAATTATCATAAATAATTATAATTATATTGTATTGTAATTACCTGAATAAGAGACAAAGGCTTTTGAAGAACACTTCGTACAGCGTGAACTTGACTTACATTAAGTTCTGGAAGTCCAGGACTCGAAAACCTTATGAAAATTAAAAACATATTTTGAATATTATTAATAACATACCGTTTAGGCATTTGTGTCTTCAATACCAATGGTGCAATATCATGCCCTAAGAGCTTATGATATATATATCCACTGACACTAGTTTCATTGATTGCAAGTTGTTTTAATGCCATTTGCATCCTGTCAAAACTAGTACTTTTCCAAACATAATCAATAGAAAAATTGTGTGTACAATCTGTTTGAATTTTATCACTTTTTTTAAGTTCAAGACCAACTTCATCTGAAATATCTAAAATACAATTAAAACTTTATCGTCACAAAATTTAAATATCAACTATTAGGTATTTTAATAACATAACCAATGCTTTCCCAATGATTCCTCAATTCTCCAAGATATCTTAAACGCATTTCATCCCCAACTGCAACTTTTAAATCACCTGCTTCTAAGACTTTGATCTTAAAATATGCTAGATATTTTTGATTTAATCCTATGTCCCAACGTACAACTATTCCATCCTGTGTCTGTGATTCTTTAACCTTCCTATCATAATCTGCTTCTATTTTTACAAGAGGACCAAAAATATTTTGATATTGATATGCATCTTCATATTTCAAAAGTACTGGAACTGGTTCGTCATCAATTCCGGGCTTTTCAAGATCCTGAAGTGTTGCTTTAGAATTTTCTTTCCATAAATCCTCCAATTTATTGATTTGATATGAACTTATCTGTCTTGCGCGCAATACTTCGTGTTCTGTAGGGATTGATACTAGCCATGGAAGAAAACTACGATCATCGATAAGAGGTTGCCATTGTGATGTATCCCAATTCATATCTTTAGAACTTTGCGTTGAAGCACAAGGTTGACGACAAAGTAGAACAACAACTGTATCGCTAATAAAAAAAATAAACTGTTATTTCTTTTTTTTAATAAATATATACCTTTTAGCTGGAATAAATCCCAAAAGAAATACATTTTTAATTCCACAATTATAACATTCTAAAACCGTCTCTCCCAAAGGACTATTATGATGAAGCATAACATCTTTATGGCGAGCACGAACTAAATGTTTAACAATATGACTACTACTTGTATTTCCTCGAGAATTACAAAACCATTTACCACACGTTAAACACTTTAAAACAGAACTTGGCGTATAAATCCCACAATAGCTAAAAATATAAATATAAACACTTATATCTCCTCTATCTTTACTACCTGCATGCCCAGTCTGGTAGATCTTCTTTAAGTTCAATATCTTTTGGTTCCTCATATGTATCTTGTATATCAAGATGATTATCTTCTAAATTCAGATTCTTCAAAGACATAATATCTGACCTATTTTCATCGTAATTATCCTCATAGTCATCATCTGACTCCCCCCTATCCTCATAATCCTGTGCTTGTGTTGATTCTGTTAATGTTTGTGATTGGATTGATATCGTATCTTCAATATCTGAACTGCTATAAAAGTGAGAATCAAGGTGGCTGAAATCATCATTCATAATTTGTTTGGATGAAATAATAAGCCTTTCTTAATATTTTATCCTCTTTTTAACTCTTTTATTAGAAAATCCTTAAAAATGAATTTTTCGAAGGTTAATAATTTAAAAAAATGGTAAAAAAACTTTAAAATCTTAAAAATTATCTAACTTTTTTTAAAGCTACGTCGAATAATAAGACAAAGACGTCAATATTTATATCAACGTCTTCAGCACCAAAATGAAGCACAATTACGTGAAAAAAGAAAGTTATTAAAAGAGTCATTAGAAAAAGATAAGCTTCTTCCTTCCCATATACGAGATGATATACAACTTAGAAAGGATTATAAGTTTGATGAGGGGATGGTTATGGAAGATGTAGATGATATTGATGATGAATATGGAAATTTAGGAGAACGAGAGCCAAATGTTTTAATTACAACGTCTCGGAAGCCAAGTACTCGTCTTTTACAATTTACTAAGGAAATGAAATTATTAATTCCGAATTCTAGAAGAATGAATAGAGGGAATTCCGTTATTGAAGATATCGTTTCAACATGTCGGTCGAATGACGTTACAGATTTAATTATCTTACATGAAACACGAGGAATGCCGGATTGTGTAAGTTATTATATATATTTAATATATTCTTTTTTTATTAGTAGCTTATTATAAGCCATTTTCCTTATGGACCTACAGCATCGTTTACACTTCATAATGTATAACAAAAAAATTATTTTTTTAAAAAGATAAATTATTTTAGGTAGTTCTTAGGCATGATATACCTAATATAGGGAATGTTTCTGAAAGCTATCCGAGATTAATTATGTTAAATTTGACATCAAAACTGGGATTACGTGTAGAAAAAATTTTAAAGGCACTTTTTCCTCCAAATCCAAAAGAAAATAGTTCTCGTGTTATAACATTTGCAAATCAAAGTAAGATATTTTTTTTTGTATATTATTACTGATTTAATAAAGGAGATTATATAAGTTTAAGGTTGAACGTTTTGATTTAGTCAATAAATTATTAATTATATTAGACATCATGTTTATTTAAGAATAGATACAAAAAATATAGAACTTGTTGAAGTAGGACCTCGCTTTGAAATGCGGTAAGGTTTTATCAAAATTAATTTGAGATTTATTTTTTATTAGTTTGTATGAAATTAAATTGGGTACAGTAGAATCATCAACTGCTGACATAGAATGGAGTTTAAAACCTTATCAAAGACATAAATCTTTTGTTCTTTCTGAAACTTAATATTCATAAAATATAATTAAACTTTAAGAAATAAATATTTTGAAATTTATAGAAGTCTTTCTGCATATAGGGTTAATATGTATTCAAAGTTTTATTTATTGACAATTTATTTACGAGTCGAGTGCTTTTTTGATATTTGTCTTTTTAGAAAATGGTCATACGAATAGGCTCTTTAAGTAAAATATTACCATTAATACAAAATATAATGCTTGTTTTATTTATTTTTTTAATAATTTAAATGATTTATTTATTTATATTATTTTTATTAAAACCGATTTATTTTAAAAATTTTTATATTAAGAGTGAATTTTTGATAACATTTAAAAATTATGATTTTGTTACTTTTTAAGAAAAAAAAGACAGAAGATACTAATATTTTTAGTACCTCTAATATGGATTTAAAGATATCTAAATTAGTTTTTAAAAGGATCAATGAATTTTAAAAAAATTTCTTAAGATGTTAGATAAAAATTATTTATTTTATAAAGAAATAGAAGAGAATAAGGGAAAAAACCTACTCACTGCATTATCGAAATTAAGAAGCTTTGATATGTATGATCAAAATGGTAGAACTTTAGACTATAGACTTTTTAAAAAATCTAAATTTATTTTTTTTGATTGTGATGAAAAACAATCCAATTATAATACACTATTGATGCAGTCATTGACATTAGATTGTGGGTTTTTTGAAGAGTCGAAGTGTATAAAAGAGAATCTTGGCTTTTATAATTTTATTGTAGTACTATTTCAATCTTTATTTTTACAAAAAAAATTAAAAAATTATTTATCAGAAAATTTACTTTCAGATTCTTTTACAGGACCGATTGTTTCTAGAGCAAGGTTTTTATATACTATGAATCTTTCGACAGAATTATTGGATTTAATGTTTTTTTCCTTAAAGTATAAAGAACAAGGTACAATAATGTTCAAAGTAACAAGAAAAAAGAAACGGAAAATTATATTTTCTTTAAATTGTGAAAGCGGTTTAATTACATTTGATGGGAAATCATGTAAAACATGTAAGATATTTATTGTAATAATTCTAATCAAATAATTGATATTAGTTTCTGTTGATGATATTCAAGATATTCGTATTGGATTAGATTCTCGTAATTATAGGGAACAATTGAAAGTAGAAATGGACTATGAAGATAGGTGGTTTAGCATTATTTATCTTACTGATCATAAATTAAAAATACTACATTTAATAGCACCAACACATGAGCTTCGACAACAATGGCTAATTCTTTTGAAAAAAATCCAACTATATAGGATAGAAATAATGGGAAAGCTTGGACTTATGGGGAAAAAGTCTGATAATTGGTTAGAGAAACATTGGGAATTAATTCAAAAAAATCATTCTTTTCATTTCTATGATATTGAGAAATTATGTAAAAAGCTTCATGTAAATGCATCAAAGAAATATTTAAGGAACTTATTTAGTAAAGTTGATATACTTTTAACTGGAAAACTAGATTTTACACAGTTTCAAAAATTTGTTAAATTATTAAAAGAACGTCAGGAAATTAATGATATTTTTAGAACTTACACTAGATCTCATAGACATTTTTTGAATTTTGAAGAATTCCAATCTTTTTTGATAAATGAACAGGGGGTAACATAGAAAAAAATTAAAAAATAAAATAATTATATACTGATATTTTAAAGTTGGATAATGATCCAAATAATAAAGAGATTTTCAAAGAATATTCAGATAAACATAATAATCTTATGTCTGTTGATGATTTTGCAGAATTTTTATTTTCAGATAAAAATCCATTAATAATCAATTCTAATATTGATATGTCTCGTCCTCTGAATGAATATTATATTTCTTCAAGTCATAATACATATTTACTAGGCAAGCAGTTTGGAGGAGAAAGTAGTATAGAAGCGTATATTAAGGTACTGCAGAAGGGTTGTAGATGTATAGAGAGTATAAAAAATTCTGTTTTTTTCTATATTTTAATTTTCTAATAGTTGATTGTTGGGATGGTCCCGATGGTCCACTTGTATATCATGGTCGTTGTTTGTATGATTTTTCTTTTTTTATTATAAGCTAATCAATACTAGTACAACTAAAATATTGTTTTATGATGTTATTTCTACAATTTCAAAATATGCCTTTATTGTCTCTCCTTATCCCCTAATTCTTTCTCTTGAAGTTCATTGTTCATTTTCTCAGCAATCTTTAATGGTTTCAATATTAAAAGAATTACTTGGAGAAATGTTGATTACTTCTCCAACAAATAAAAATAGTCAAGTATTACCATCACCAATGGAGTTGAAATATAAAATCCTTTTAAAGGTTAAATAAAATTTAATTTATATTTATCTAATTTCTAAGGTTAAACAAAATCCTGAAAATAACTTGAATATTTTTGGATTAGATACATCAAGTAGCACTACTACGGATACTACTTGTTCATCTGATATTGATATGGACAATATAAATACGGAGAAATGTAAAACAAAATCTCATAAAAAAAATTCAGGAAAAATTATAGATTCTCTTTTAAATCTTTCAGTTTATATTAAAGGTATTAAGTTTCGTAATTTTTCTCTTCCAGGTAATATAATATTATCTTTAATTTTAGATAATTTATGTTTGAAGAGTCTAAAACAATAACACATATATTTTCTCTTTCTGAAAAAAGCTTTAGTAATCTTATTAAAACTTCTAGATTCCAATTGGAAAAACATAATGTTAAATATTTGATGAGATTATATCCTAATTTTACACGAATTAATTCTACAAATTTTGAACCTCAACAATATTGGCAAAAAGGTGTACAAATGGTTGCTTTAAATTGGCAAACTAATGGTAGTATTTGCTTATATTTACTATTTATTTAACTTTTATGCTTAGATCTTGGAATACAAATAAATGATGCTATGTTTTCTGGCAATGACAAATATGGATATATATTAAAACCATCATATTTGCGTATGACAGATGTAAAGCATAATGAATTTAGTATATTTGGTTTAAAGAAAATACTATTAGACATAAAGGTTTTTTTTAAATGTTTATATATTTAGTAATTTATTTATAGATAATATCAGCACAACAACTTCCTAGAACTAAAGATTTTAGAGAAGACATTTCTTTAAATCCTTTTGTCGAAATAAAACTCATAATGTTAAATAATGAACATAAATCTTGGAAAACATCTACAATTTATGATAATGGATATAAACCTATTTGGAATGAGACTTTTACAGTTATGATAGATAGATTTCAATATGATTTTATTTTTATACAATTTAATGTTTATAATAATAATTCATCTTATTCTTTGGATAATATATTAATAGCTACATATTGTTTAAGGTTAAGTTCTTCACTTCAAGGTAATATTTTTTATTCTATCTATTTAATTTTTGACTAATTATTAGGTTATAAACATATTCCTTTAAATGATCAATATGGAGAAAAATATTTATTTTCTACTCTTTTTATAAATCTTAAATGTAAAACATTATAGACATATTATAATCAATATTTATAATCTTTCAAAATTCAATTTTATATTTTCATCATATATTTATAATTTTAATTTACATCTTAAAAATATAACATCTTTATCTTTTTTCACAAAATAAATTCTTGTAATTAGTTCTTGGCTTTATTTGAAAAATAATTTGAGATTTAATTTTAAAATTTTTAACATTAAATTTTTAAAATTCATAGGCCGTTTACAAAAGAATTTTGAAATGAGTTCTTTTGATAATCATGATTGTAATATAGATGGATTTTTAATGTAAGATAATACAGTTTTATCTTACAATTAACTTATTTGAATTAAGAACTTTTAAATCATTTATTGATCTTGTTGAAGATTCTTTAATTTCTTTACCAGTTGAAATTTTAAAAGAAACATTTATAAAAAGGATAAATAATATCAATAAATATCTTAATGATAAGAAATATGTTTCAAAAGAATCAGAATATAATTTATTGGAAGATTTTTTGGATGTTTATGGAGAATTTACATCATTAATTAAAAATCATGAAAAAGTTGGTCATTATGCAAAAATTTTAAATATTAGTACATCTAATTGCTCAAAAATCATTTTTATAGCTCAGAAATTGTTTTTTATTTCTATTCAGGAGATTAATTTAGAATATATAATAAATACTTATATGTCTGAAAAACGGTATATGATTAGATTTATAATGAATATATTTCGTCTTAGCTCGGACGAAAAACATCCTTACTATGAGATTTTTAATATTCTTGTTTTGGAATTTCAAAAAGATGAAAATTTTATGCGTAATCTTATAGAAATGATAGAAACTATTCAAAAATATACACCTCCTTCATATTCTTTAGATGAATTTAATTTAACATCTTGGTTAAGAAATGTATAATATTGATATATATATATATATATTTACAGTTTTTAGGTGCTAAAAAAGCAATTCGAATTACTTAAACTCGTTTTTATTTCAATTTATTATAAAATGCCTTGTACTTTAGAAATGGCAGTTAGTTGGTTTAAACTAATGAAAGAATTTCATTATTTGTTAAACAAAAGAAAAGTATATTAATATTATCTTAACATGATTTTAATTTAATGAGACAAGATATATAGTATTAATAATGAAGTCAACTTATTACAACGAATTGTTTCTCTATCTCTTATTATTTCAATAGAAATAATAAGACCAAGCCGTAATTTAAATTTTTGTAAAGTATTTTTTTTTTATCTTAACTTTTTAATTTGATTTTTAGTAAATGAAAATCTCCATGATAATACCTTTTATAGTTCACCTGATGCATTTTTAGAAGTTCATAATATGATCGTAAAATTAGTAGAAGATCCAGTTTGGTCACCTGTAATTATAGCTTGGGGTATAATTTTGCATGAACTTTTTATTGATATTACAGAAAGACAAGATTTTTCTAAAGAATATCACTCAATTCAAGTTAAAATAATCGATTTGGTTTTAAATTTTATTAAGTTTTTATAGGATCAGATTTTTCCTAATAATT